AATCTGTTTCGTCCGATAATCTAGACTGGCTACTGTCTGCCATTGGCAACTTATGCTATAACCAGTTCATTCAATAATCTACGGGTGGCCAAGTCGTCTAAGGCGCCGCGATTCACTGTGCAGAGTTGCGTCCCTTGGGCACGCCAGAAACCTATGATTGTGGGTTCGAATCCCGGTTCGCCCCAATTATGTTTCTAGGTTTGTCAGCACCATACCCGTGCTCGTGGGTTTCACTGAAGTTGTAAACGTCTGAGACCTGCATCACTTCGGGCTTTCTTCCCACATCAAGCTGACACGCCGCGATATAACTGGAATACTGTTAAAAGCGGCGATACACCCAACTCACTCACTCACTCATCCAATAATGTGTACTTTTGCATAGGACATGATCCCCTATGGCTACAGTCGGAGTTCCTGCACATGGAGGGTCAAAATTGGTGCGTACGAAACTTTTACGGAACTGTCATCGTAATCGATACCAAAGCTTGTCTGAAGCAGCCTTCTCGCAGCCTTAACCAAAGCTGCCCAACGTGGAATAGCTAGGGCACTTATCCTCATACACTTGTGACTTGTTACGGGACGCACCATACTGTCGGGAGCGCTTGGCCGACCTCTCTGGACCCTCCCCGATCCGTAGGACTCTGTTACGAACGTAGACGACTGCGTTCAGACAATGATAGGACATTCCAGATCATTGAGGATAGTAATCCGACTTTTTCATTTTTCGTGTCGTAGCGCTGTCTGATCTCAAACGGGAGCCATAATCGGCACTGTGTGAACGCAGCCTAACATTCGGGAAACTAAGCCGATTTTGTCTAGTCGGATTACAATCGTGACTATGTCGTGACAGATTCTGCTGTATCGGATCACAATCGTAACAATGTCCTGTGTTGTCTGGACGGTGTCTTGTGGATCGGGACGCTGTCGTGATGAACGGACATGAATTGTTCATTGCCGTGTCTTGTCGATTGAGTCCAGATCTTGCCGAATGCGAACCGTCTTTGTCGGTTCACTGTCCGGTCACTGTCTGATCCCTGTCGGATCGCATTCGGAAAAATCGGGACGCTGTCGAGACAGATTCGGTCGTATTTTTAACATGCGGAAGCTACAAATCGGATCACTTCTTTTGCACAATGAATTATAACATGGTTTTTCGAGACTCAAGACTATAGGGTACGAAGGGGTTCTGTTCTCCCACAACCTACTAATGCTTGTCGTAAGAGGCGACTAACGGGATCGGGTGGTCAGGCTTGCTGACTTGGTTGATGCATGTCATCGTATTCCAATTGTATAGATCGATGCTCATGATGTCAATCACTGGATTGTCTCGATTATATATTTACAGGCCGCCGTTATATAGCTGGAATATTGCTGAGTGCGGCGTTAAACAACAAACACACAAACAAAACTAATGCACATGTCAATACAAGTGCACACTGAGCGAATGTTGCTTTTGGACGCAGGCAGTATTACGTTAAACAACATTCACTCACTCATAATTCCCGTTTACATAATATGTAATAACATGAAGAATTTGTTAGAAATAAAGCCAGTTTAGTATCTGTCCAAAAAGTCGTAAGTCTGTGTTAAAGTATAGGTGTTACGATCAACCTTGCCGCTACGATAGCTTCGTGGAACACACCCCTGAACATATACCCTGATCTCAATCAGTGAGGTGACATGTTGTTGCCTACTTGTGATAGACACTGGAGATCTGCTCTCAACGGAAAACCTCACGGTGTTTCAGTTCAGAGAACCGGGATTCAAAGCCACAATCATAGGTTTCTCGCGTGCCCAAGGGACGCAACTCTGCATAGCGAATCGCGGCGCCGTAGACGACTGGGCCATCCGTGCCCCCATCAAGGAGTAGAACGTCGGCACAACCAGTACGGGTCCCGGGATGGAAGTGGTCATGTTTAGATTTCGTCACTGGCAACCTATGCTTATCGTACGGGGCAACGTATTGGATCGGGTAGTCAGACTTGTTGACTTGGCTGATTGCATGTCATTGTGCCCCAACGGTGTAGGCCGATGCTCAGGACGTCAATCACAGGTTTGTCTCGTCCAGACTCGATTATTTACAGGCCGCCGCCATATAGCTGGGATATTGCTGAGAACGGGGTTAAACAACAAACCAACCAGACCCGATTATTTACATGCCGCAGTGATATGGCTCAACTATTGCTGAGAGCGACCTTAAACATTAAACAAACAAACAAAGCTTGTCGTAAGAGGCAATTACAATGAGGGTTGTGTCAGGCTCTATTAAAAACTTATTGTATAATCATACCTCAACTTTGCGATTTAAAGAGAAAAGCCTGATTATTGTAATGGAAGGGTCACATTATTCAAATAATAACTTCACTTCATAAGCTGGTTAATGAACTGGCGATTCCGATTTTTTTACAATGACTACGGTAAGGCTATGAACCGACATACCGGTATGTAATTTTGTTTTAGGAAGCAAGAGACAAATTCGCCTTCCAGCTTCGCAGCTTTGAGGTATATTTAACCAAAGTTCGTGAAGAACGTGTTTCCATGAAGAAGGACATGAAGTGCTTTTTGTCTGATAAGTGCGAAGACCCAGGGTAGAACAGGTGCTTCCATGCTTGCTGTAAAAGGCGACTAACAGGATCCGGTGGTCAGGCTCGCTGACTTGGTTGATGCATGTCATCGTATCCCAATTGCGTGGATCGATGGGCATGATGTCAATCACTGGATTGTCTGGTCCAGACTCGATTATTTACAGACCGCCTTCATATAGCTGGAATATTGCTGAGTGCGGCGTTAAACAACAAACAAACAAACAAGCAAACATCACGATATCTTTATTTGTTCATACTGAGGCCATTCCAGTTTCTTTCTTTTTTTCATTTACCATACCGCCATATAACTGGAATATTTCTCAGAATGGTGTTAAACAAGAAACAGATAGTGTCGCCGTAATACAAATGGAATATTGCCGACTGCAGCATTATGCAACATTTAAATTATATTTAATTCTCATTGATTTTAACAAAGTGTTGTTAAACTTAGTTATCAGATAGTACCAAATATTTTGAATTAATGCTTAAAAAACAATAACATAGGTTATTATAGTGTGTAGTAAAAATATTGTTTATCAGTGTTCCACAATGTCACGTTACTTTTCTTTGCAAAAAAATGCCGGTCTACGTTATCTATAACAGGGCGAACGCTTGAAAAGGGTCGAGTCGAACATTCAGAAAATGCGGACAAAGGTTAAGCTGTCTATACTTTCCTAGTTTGCCGCCTATATATGTGGGGCGGTGGGGTAGCCTGGTGGTTAAAGCATTCGCTCGTCACGCCCAAGACCCGGGTTCGATTCTCCACATGAGCAAAATGTGTGAAATCCATTTCTGTTGTCCCCCGACGTGACAACAATTCCAATTACTGGAAAATTGCTAAAAGCGGCGTAAAACCATACGCACTCACTCCTGAAAACAGCGCTTCACATTCAATCGGGTCCCTTCGGCATATTCCGCTACCTACACAATGGGCAGCATTCGTCACCACTCGCCCCTTTCCGTAAAACCATACTCACTCACTCACTAACTCACTCAATGAGCCGTGTTTTCAGCCCCTCGCTTGTCTGGTACAGACACCAATTGTGTACGGGCCACCTCATGGAATGCATATCATGACCATGAGATGACCCCTGGCGCGTCTGTTGTCAACAGCACATGGGGTGCTGATGTTGCCGCCAACATTGTAGGTGTCAATGTTGAGAAGATGACTCCTGCAACATCTGCAAAAACAACAAGGGAAGGAATAGCCACCATTGCAAGCCAAGCTTCCTGTGTCAGTAAAGTGATGAAGAAGCCTGTGTCATCTGCCACCATAACGTTCCGTCGAAAGTGACGTCACATGTTCACGTCAAATAATTCACTGGATAATCGAGGACGGTAATATTTTTTAGAAAAAAAATTTTCATTTTCTGCTGCAGTTTGTCAATCAAATGAAACGTGAATGTTGGTAACTAAATGCTTGTGATCCATTTCAAACCTGCAACAAGTGGTTACTCCTAGACTGAGTCTGTGACTATTGTTTTATGACGCAACTAGTTCAGCTATATTATGGCGACCTACAAATACTCGAATCTTGGCAAGGCAACCAATGGTTGATAATATAACACTATGCACGACGGTTTATGTCAATCAAGGTCACATGGAGTTATTCCTGGAACAAATGCAATCACTTTTCTGAAAAGAGTTTGTTTTAAATTTCATTTCAGGCAGACAAGGGTAAATAATCTACCATTACCCACAGGATGTGGTGAACCCACTCTCCTACCCAGAGTTCCACGCGACCAGCATAGTACACCTGTCACAGGCCAGCTCCATGTGACGATTCGTCACATCTTACACAGTCCATTCAAGATATTGCATATGATTTTCATCTGTTTCATTTTTGACGAGTCTACACATTTAGATTAACGTAAACTCTCACTGAGAAAATATTCTAAAACGTGAAAAACTGTTTCCATTTGCGTAGTTATTCTTTGTTTACATTGGTTGTACGTCTGCACGTGCTTTCATCGAAGCCCTACAGAGAGCTGGCGATAGGGTCACTTTGATGTCTAAAGGTATATTGTCATGACATTCACTGTCGCAGTTGTAGTAGCATATTTATATAATTATGCAAAACAATATGTAAAGCGCACCTAAAGGCTTGCATAAGTCCAGTCTGTTCTGATTTCAGAATAAAAGCGTTTGTTTACAAACAAGAGAAAAGTCCTGTTAGTGATATGCAAATTAGCATGTGGCATAAACTATGCCCCGTCTCTAATACCGCAAGTTGAGGACGCGCATAAGGATCCGGGAGCCAGCATACCTGTGGCAGTGGTGTTGTCACCACTGCGCCGGAGTGTGTGGTCAACCGAGCCTCCTACCAGTGTTTTTCAAATGACGTCATAGTGTCTTTGTCGTCACAGTCCGAATGACGTCACATTGAGCCACGCGATAAGCATGATGGGACGCGGTTGCTGGGTGAACAGGCCCATTGTTCTGTTGATTCAGACCTATGCAGACATTGTAAGAAGTTGTGATTATAAGGAGATACGGTTCATCAGTTATCTGTGTTGTTTCAAATCCAAACTCGACCACATTCGTCAGTAAGGTAAGTAGATCTTATGTGTTATTAGTTTTGCTGATTGAGTTTACTGATGTTGATAGAAGAAACATGTTTTCAAATGAGGAAAATATAAGCTGTATTTGGAAGATCTATCACATAATGTTTAACATACAACTGACACACACAAGTTTTTCAAAGAATTCGTTTCACTTAGGTGTCTATTATCATGTAAACGATGTCTTCTTTATAGGATGCCACGAATAGTCTACATACCACCTGACGATTTTGAACCATTACCGGAATGGATGGAAGGTTCGAATGTTGGTAAGTCGAGGAAGGTTGGTGGCGGTGACGGAGAGTCTGGGAGACGGATGAAGAAAGGAAGAGAGCAGAAGACAAGAGGAAGCAGGAAAGAGATGGAGAGAATGAGGAGATATGAGGAGAGCATGAAGAGGAAGGCGAAGATGGTGAAGGAGGATAGAAAAAGGAGCATCATGGCGGATAGTCCTGATATGACACAGATTTCTTTGAGAGAGGCGAGAAAGAACGGACAGAAAGCATCTAAGAATGATAAAGTGATCAGAGATGCAGGAAAGAGGTGGCAGCTGGGAGATGGATTCAAACTAACTCTTCAGAAAGACGCAGACAGCACTGGAAGATCTAAGAGTGGGAGGAAGAATCGAAACAGGCGGCATAGAGATGCGAGGAAGGAGGGTGTGGTTGTTGGGGTGGAGCGAGTTAGAGGCAAAGAGAAGGTGAAGGAATGGATGGCTAAAGTCCATATGGCGAATCTGATGGCCACCAGTGTCCAGGAGGTCAGCTCGGAGTCTTTCAGTAACCACACTGAAAGAAATGTCGATGGTTTTGACATTGTGTCTCCGTGGCCCATCTCACGCTATTGCATGGAAGATTCTGATTTCAAGTTAAAAGGTATGATAAAACTTGGACAGTTTCTCTTGGAGATTTAGTTAGTGATTCTTTCTCTTTTACTTAATAAAACACCAGTATAACGCTACAGCTAAAGAATTTGAATAAATATTTTAAGTTCTGCTTATAATCATAATTCCATTTTAGTCCAAGCTCATTGCAACAACAGCGACCCCTCAGACAGCCATGACCTTGGTGAGCGGCCTGTCAATTTTCTGTACTCCCTGTTTGGCCGCCCAGCACCAGACACCGGGGATGTCAAGGAACACTCAGATGAACAGATGACCCCTGGAGTGAAGTGTCAGAAAAGTGAATCTATTCGGAAACGATTTTCCTCGGTAATCTGATATTTTCAGTTATAAATGAAACATATTCTCCTTCCTCCTTCCTCCTAACAAAATTAAGCAATTTAACCTGTATTAAAATTTTGTTTTTCGCTGCATATACGTAGCTTAACTTATTTAAAAAAATATATATTTTTGTTAACTTACGTGTTTGATCTACACTATTCAGGTTGTAGTGAGTGAATGAGTGAGTTGGGTTTAACTCCGCTTTTAACAGTATTCCAGTTATATCGAGGCGTGTCAGCTTAATGTGGGAGGAAAGTCTGAAGTGATGCAAGTCTTAGACGTTTACCACTTCGGTGAAACCCACGAACACGGTATGGTGCTGACAAACCTAGAAACATAATCGGGGTACCGGTGAACAGGGATTCGAACCCACAATCATAGGTTTCTGGCGTGCCCAAGGGACACAACTCTGCACAGCGGGTTGCTGCGCCTTAGACGACTGGTCCACCCGTGCCCCCTCAGGGTTGTAACTACAACTGTCATGACTTGACCTTGTTGTGTTTCAGGCTCTCCATAGACTCGCTCGCTTCCTCCACAGATCAAGATAGACTTGAAACCAACACCGTTCCTTAACTCTGAACTTTGCTGCTGTCACCATGTGTAAATTAATCAAAACTTTGACAGAATATTTAAAAATTGTTTTTGTATCCATTTTAAACATATTTAATCATTTCCTATTTTATATAATATGTACATAAAAATGCTGTTCATGTCTTTAACAAGACTGAATTAAATCATCTTCACCATACAGCTTATATTTGTTGCCTGAGTTTGTTTAGTTGTTGTGTCATTTGGCCGCGATAGGGTATATACTTCGTCACCACAACCACGTGGGGAGTCCTGGCTAGGTCAGCCAAGACTTCCTGTCGTGTGGCGTCCCATCCCACTAAGTGAGTGAGTGATTTGGGTTTTACGGCGCTTTGAACAGTATTCCAGTTATATCACGGCGTGTCAGCTTAATGTGGAAGGAAAGCCCAAAGCGATGCAGGTCTCAGACGTTTACCACTTCGGTGAAACCCACGAACACGGGTATGGTGCTGACAAACCTAGAAACATAATCGGGGCTAACCGGGATTCGAACCCCCAATCATAGGTTTCTGGCGTGCCCAGGGGACGCAACTCTGCACAGCGAATCGCGGCGCATTAAGAAGAAGCGCTACAAGCATGCAAGTCCACAGATACTCGGCACACGGATGGCTCCGTCGTCTAAGGCGACGCAATTCACTGTGAAAAGTTGAATAAGTTGTGCCAGAAACCTACAAGTAGAGATTGCTGCAGAGCATCAATAGCTCCCCGCCATTGATGTTATGTGCAGAGGAAGGAAGTGTAAGCTATGGGAGGAGAGAATTTGTGTTAAGTACAAATTGGTTGTTATAAATGTACTTATCTTTGGAAAGCACAATAAAAGAAACAGTGTCTTCAATTGGTCAGCACAAAGAAAACCCAGGCAAGAAAACTAGGCCTGTCAGGCAAAACTTGATGTATTACATATTGTAAAAACAAAGGCCATAGGTCACTTTTCTCAAAACTTCGTTTAAGTAATCACAAACTAAAAATTGAAAAAATTGTAGATATACAATATACACATACATGTGATGTCTCAGAAGATGAACAACATTACGCACTGTCTTACATAATACAACCAAGAAAGAGAATCACAAATAATCCCCAATCATGATAAAGAATTTGGTACACTCTGTTAAAAGGAGCAGATTCTTAATAAGTTTACCAACAGTTATCCAGAAACAACTTCCAAGATCTGTTAACATATCAACAATTACAAACAAATTCCTTGTACATGTATATACTACATTCCAGAGTTTTGCTCAATTCTCATATTGTTTCCATATCATTATAAAACACTTGTTTTAGAAATTAAATTCTACCTCTTTTGAATGTTGAATGTTCCTGTGTTTTTTAATTGTCGTTTATTGTGCATGATTTTTGTAGTTTGTGATTGTGCAATATTGCCACTGTTTCTTCATGGAATGTTCCGCAATACATATCTCATCTAAAACATCTTTGTTGTATAATAGTTTCTTACAGTTGTTTACGGGGGCATGGTTGGCCCAGTCGCCGAAGGCGCTGCAATTCGCTATGCAGAGTTGTGTCCCTTGTGCACGCCAGAAACCTATGACAGTGTGTTTGAATCTCGGTTCGCCCCGATTTTGTTGTCAGCACAAAACCCTTGCTCGTTGGTTTCACCAAAGTGGTGAACGTCTAAGATCTGCATCACTTCAGACTTTCATCCCACTTCAAGCTGACACGGAATACTATTCAAGATGGCGTTAAACCCAACTACCTCACTCACTCTTGTGTATGGTTCCGTTTGGTTAACTGGGTTTGTGTTGTGATTGCTTCCGGCTTAGATTTGAAATTTGTTTAGAAGAATGTTACTATGTTCAACCCAAACATCGTGAAGATATCATGCAACCGTATTATCTTTTTGGAAAATAATTGCAAACTACAGACCAACCTGTTGATTTCCTATGTATCCAGAAGCAAAGAACATATACGGGTGTATGATCTCTGCTGGAGGTTATTTTTTTTTGTCAAAGCAATAAACCATGCAGAAACGTAAACCGCCGCATGAAACGGCATGTACCATACATTACATACAGTGAAGTATTTAAAACAATGCTGTGCTCAACTATGCACAGCAAGCGCCATACATGTGATTATGAAGACAACTAATAAAAAAATTCTCATATCAAACCCGTTGTTTTAAATGTGTTGTTTATTGAAAAAAGTCATAGTTTATAGAAGCCTGTTATTTAATCGTGTTGAACAATATGTTGCAATAGCAGTGTGAAAATTGAGTGCGCGTGACAGGCTTGGCCTAAATTCCTTCCTGGAACGTTTCTCGATGGCTGCCTGAATAACATACGATACATTGCAAAGGTAGTGCGCAATTAAACTGTTCGGGTAAGGGAGATAATCACTCACTCTCAGTGATACAGCTTGAATAAGATACGATGTACAGCAATGCAAGGTCAGTGCGTGAATTTATCACTTCTATACTACGCCTATAGCTAAAGAAGATAATCGCTCAATGCGCAATAGTTTATTCTTACAAAATATAGACCGGTTAACTTTAGAGAAATGGGATCATTTTTAGCTCTTTTAAAAACAAAATGAACAAATTTCATGGGTTATCAGCATTACGAAAAGTGACTAAGTCTCAGAATAGCAAGACGATTTTGAAGTATCTCTTATTGCTGGAAAAGATAAACATCAACATTTCACGCACATTTCACATGATTTGTATGTATCGTTTCGGTAACTGTGTGGCTTGATATTTCAAAGAAACCAACATGTCGACTTACATGCTCCAAAATTAACCTCTCCCGTATACTTCCCCGCCTTAAGGGCGGGGAAGAATGATCGTGGGTCTGAATCTCAAACTCGCCCTGATTATATTTCTTGGCTTATCGTCGATAAAATACCTCTTCACGTTGGTTTCACAAAAGTTTAAAACGTCCAAGACCTGCATTACATCAGGCTTGCTTCCCCCATCACGCTGACACAAGCCGTGACATAACTGAAATACTGTTCAAAGCGGCCTCACACCAAACCACCAGTATCCAGCTCAGCAAGTCGTTGACGGACATCCTACAAGCTGCCATTACTTCTATACTTAAAAGTAGTTTCAGTGAGAAGCCATGTCACAAACGGTTTGAGTGTTGGTTAGTGAGACAAAAACACAGTCATTTTGCAATGTGTACCGAAATGTTTCATTTGCCAGATAAAATCAAGATGTACAACGCATCCGTCCAACCTCTTAGCGTGCCTCGATGACTACCATTAATGCAGTTTTGTTTTCGTTGTTAACATGACTTTTATTGTGACTCTGTTCAGCTAATGAATTACCTATCGGCCAGAAGAGAAAGATGTATCTCTTTCAAAATTATACTGCTCACAAAAAGTAGGGGATATTGAAATTAAAATCAGTGGCACAAAGACAGTCATATAGAGGCCTACAAATAATTTATGTATGATTGAGGAAAAGCATAGGTCCGTCTGAGCATGCCTCACAATGACCACCAGATGCCCTTGCATCCAGGAAAATTGCACCCAAACGTACCATGGGGTGGGGATGAGAAATCACATCTTGTGTCACACGTGCAAATGAATAAATCCACGTGCCTCACGTGCAAAAATGGGTGTTTACATGGGTCTTGGACCAAGTTCATCCATCCCTTCACCACTTTCCACAATGCGAAGGTTACGAGAAGACGAAAGATTGAGAGCAATTGGGATGATCCAGGCCGGAAGAACGCAGGCCTACACAGCAGCACAACTGCATGTCTCACAGTCAGTAGTCAGCCGGTTGTGGGCACGTTACATTGCCACTGGAAGGGTTCAAGACAGACCCCGAAGTGGTCGTCCAAAATGCACGACCAGACGTGATGACCGGCGGATCATCACTGGAGCCCTCCGTGATCGACGTTTAAATGCGACACAGCTGCAGCAGGTTCACAGACATGCCACTGGGAACTCATCTCCACACAGACGGTACGAAACCGGCTCCATGCTGCAGAACTTCGAGCAAGGCGACCTTACAACACATTACCCCTAACAAACCGTCACAGATAAGCCCGGCGAGAGTGGGGTCGTCCTCACCAGAGGTGGAGCAATGCCCGGTGGTCCCATGTGATGTTCAGTGATGAGTCGAGGTTCTCTTTAGACTTCAATGATGGCCGTCATCGTGTCTGGCGTCGTCCTGGTGAGCGTCATCAGCCAGCTGCCATGATTCCACATGATCGGCATGGGAGGGGTTCTGTAATGGTGTGGGGTGGAATCACGGTGACAGGCAGAACCGATCTCCACATCTGCCAAGGAAGAGTTAAGGGTGTTTACTATCGGGACAACATCATCACGCCACATGTCCTGCAATTTGCACACCGTCACGGACAGGGTTTCATCTTCCAGGACGATAATGCCAGGGCTCACCTTGCGCACGTCGTCCTTAACCATTTGCGGCGGCACCAAATTGAAACTCTTCCATGGCCAGCGATGTCCCCCGACCTCTCCCCTATAGAGCATGTGTGGGATATGTTCGGAAGACGAGTGCAGATGCGGCATCCCCCATGTCAAGACTTGCAACAACTTGGTGTGGCACTCCAAGAGGAATGGCAGAGGATTCCCCAAGTTCACATTGGTCGCATCATTAGGAGTATGAGACGTCGGTGTAATGCTTGTTTGGCTGCTAATGGTGAGCCAACCCGGTATTAACCCATTTATGACTTTTGGGTTTCTACCCCTCATGAACTTTCCAGCGTCTACAAAATGAAATTGCAGCTTGAACAAAGTCATTACTTTCAAAACTGTTTCTTTACATTCTAATTTCCACATTATTATTGTTTCCCAATGAAAATTAAACATAATTCTGAAGCTTTTCGTCGTAACTTTTCAATATCCCCTACTTTGTGTGAGCAGTATATAAACATATAAAGAAATAATGCGTAAACTTGTGCAAATATATACAGATAAAACAATGTTTATATTTTTTTGCCGTTTCATTTTCTATTGGCGACCCGATGTCATAGATACGAGGGCTGGTCAAAAAGATATAAGCCTGGCTAACTTTCAACTATGGGCCACAAAGTGAACTAGTCAATGTAGTACATTGATTGAGTAGTTCATTGAAAGTGTATTTGGTCAGTTGAGGCCGTTTGTATTTTACAGACAGCCAGTTGAACGTGACAGGGGTCCAAATGGACACAGAAATGGGAAAGAATGATTAGCGAGCAGTCATCAATTGTTTACTTTAGAGAAAAGTACTCCCCAAGAAATTCACTACCGCATGTCATAAGTGTATTGGGATCAGCGCCCTGAAGCGCTGTTATAGGGGCACTGATCTAACGGACTGGTTGTTGCCTTTGTTATTGTTTTTCCCCCGTGAGTACCCGGATGATACGCAACGCAACTGAGCGTGACCAGAGACTGGGGTACCGTCTGCAAGGACAGCTAAATAAACTTGGAGGCTGGAGGCAATATTTGTTTTACGCATTTTTGAACACTGATTGGTTAACTGTGATCTATAAAGATTTCGACAAAGGGCGCATGTTAATTCATTTCTTCAGCCTAAACAAACAGACAAAAAGAACAAGGGAGCTCATCGGACGTCGTCATTTGGAAATACCCCAGATGGTTATAGTTTAATACTAAAAACAGTATCCATGCAGTGAAAGCATTTTCGGATTTCGGCTTGCGTCGATAATACGATTACTACTCCCTTGTTGTCATCCACGTTTTCTCGTATAACCCTACACTTGTGTATTTGTCGTCATTCACTTGATGCTCAGTTAATGAATTTATTACAGGTACAGTTAGTGGTAGCACCACTTATATTACCTGACAAAGGTTCCCATTTGGCATTAATTGTGTCTGGGGTAATTATTCAATCTAAATCCAGGTTTGAAGTGAGGTGAAATGTGTGTTATGTTATATGCACGTGGCAGCCCAGCAAGAGATGAATGATCACTTGATTTACTTTTTTTTGTAAATCAACGGATCGTTCCTAGTCATCAACGGATTAACAGAAAATACGTTGATTGATTAATCACTGTTATCTTGCACAGTGGATATGTCAAGAGTGAGTGTTTACATGTCTAGGTTTACTAAAACAAAGGGAATACACTCATAGCATGGCGCGAAGTGCCGATGTAAAAACAACATACTTTGTTCAAAGGGTTAACTGATAATACGTTGATTGATTGATCATTGTTATCTATCACTCAATGGAATTTTTAGGAACCGTGGACGCTATGAAAATAGTTGTCACGTGGGCTTTCTCAGCCGACCATTGAGATTTGACACCTATGTAAAACACCTGAAACAATCCAAGTGATCAGTTGAGAAACGAACACGGGTTATAATATCCCGAAACGATATATATCTTTTAAAATATTTGATTGTTACTGAGACACGTGACATCGAATAAGTTTCCTTGTACAGCTGCAGATGAGTGGGATATTGTTCCTTTGTGTGGATATTCACGGATACATTCCTCGAACAAGGAAGCTGCCTAAAACTTATACACATAAATTTGGTAGGTTGTAATTATGATATCTGCATTTTGTTTTCCTTCATTTGAACCGATTCGTTCTTGTTTCTCTACGTCTTGGTTGGGAAATTCTTCAATGCGCGATAGACGTTGTTGTCACAAGTCTTTTCCTTTGTAAGCGTGTATATATTACCGTCAATTTGTAAAATGTGATTCTCTCAGGCAATTTATAAAATGTGTAAATATTTCAGTCATTTTGACTAAAAAATCTGTCCAGATTGATCAAGACGATCAAAAGGGCCTACAAACATCACAACAGATTATTATGTAGGATTAAACGCAAAAAAACTTAGGAATGTACTTTTCAACGTTACATTTTCAGTCTCTTGGTGATGACATTAAACATCAAAATGTTTGGAATTCGTTGTCATAATAATACAGATGGAAATGTTTTTCAGTCACTTTGTAAAATAACTGAATATTTAGACGTTTAATAAATTTGTTACACATTTGACAGTAAAAAAATATACACACTATAAAAAAAGCATATGCTCAGGTGAAATATGTACTTTGTGTTGCAAGTCAAAATAGTGTAAACGAAAATCGCCAAATTACCAAGCAAGTGACTTATCAAAACTTCGTCACGATTACCGATGCTACTCACAAAGATACCTACATTTCCTTATTATCTCGAAAACTGTATTTCATTTTGTTGAGCAATGTGACCATACACCCTTATTACTATCCATAAAAGTGACTAATGCGCTTACGAATGGCGCAGCAGAGGTCGCGAACTAGTCTAGATTTCTGCTATACATCCGGGTATTTACTGGGGAAAAACAATAACAAAGGCAACAACCAGTCCCGGGGAATTGCGTTAGATCAGTGCCCCTTTAACATGAAAACAACCGCTATGGACGGGATAACAGGCTGAAGCACGGTTCGACACATTTACGCTATTAACTTTAATCCGACTTTATTGGAGTTGATTTAACATATACGTAAAATAGTGGGGCCAGGGGTATACTAGTACAAAGGTTGTATCCATGTCAGTTGATTACGATCAGTGGAAGCAATGTGTGGACCAATTCTAACTCGGGTCTTCATAAGTTGCTTACTAGTTTATAAGTTCCATTTTATAGTTAAATAGGGTTTTTTATCAATCAATAAAAAATATAGCATTTTGGTAAAAAAAAAGCATGTAAATAAGGTTTTTAAGTAATCAGCTGGTCTTAAGTTCGAAACTCAGATTGGCCCCGATTGCCGTGTGGTCTTTGGTCACACTCAAATACAAAAAATAACTTTATAGCCCCATGAGACCATGTAATTTTCGAGGAGGGCCGGTAAAAATATATATATATATATATATATATTCTATATTTTTAAAGCTACGAATTCCTGTTGTTGAGTCAAACCTGTCACTCCTATTTGTTGTTCTTTGTCAAATATAGTAATAGAATGCTTAATGTTTCCCGTTCACGTTAAAACACATGGAATGGCTAGAATATCACTGCTGTAGCTAGATGGACCTATTTTGTATAGATATTAGATAAGAAAAGAAACACCCTCTCAAATACAATTAATGGGCTTTTGATTATCACAAAAATAACCATGAATGATTGCCAGAATATATATGTGTTCATTCAGAAGATTTGAAAAATCGTTTACGTTTTGTGAGAGCCGAAAACCTTTTGAAGAACCGCGCTTCCCCAACACTAGGTCCAATGACGTGATCTCGCGTGATCTTTGTCGCCATAGTAACTGTTGTCACGACGCCATTTTTGGTGCACAGTCACAAATCCACTCTAAAGTCTGTTTTGAATTCTCTGGCACGTTACTGCCTCATTTTATCATCATGTTTGCGAATGTGGCCAGTGTTTATCACCAAGGTACTTTATCACCACCTTATATATTTTGGTTTGATTGATTTTGATTATTTTTTCTCATTTTCTTTTGGTAAGAACGCCAAAGCTTCTATCCGAAGTTTTATAGTTATGTTGAAATATAAATCTCAGTGTTTGTGATCCTTGGTTCCATCTCGAGCTCGTTCACAACCTTTCATGATATGTTGGTTCTATTCCCTTTTATTCATTTCCACAATTCCCCTTGATCTAAACTTACTCATTTTTGTCAATTTTATATCTTTTGTCATAGGTTGACAACAGAAACAAGACGAACTGTATAGGGCGCCGATTGATTAAAAAAATAATAACCTTATGTTAATGTTCGAGGATTTTTGGTCTTTCTCTACGTCTTGTGCGCATGTCTACACATTATTTTTGTTCCTCACACTCACAGCTCGGGATGAGTTGAACAACATGCAGAGACACAGCCTGGCTCTCTCCCACCCTGACACTCCCGTCCCCCTTCCAGTAGGTCATCATGGTCATTCGTGTTTAGTGTTTTCAGTCTGCAAGCTGTCGGGCGTTTTCTGTGAACAATGCCTCACTAGTTTGTTGATACTCTATGCCAGTCCTAACCATAATTAACCACTTACTAAAAGCTAACAGCCTTACACTCGTCTATAACCTAATGTCATACTGTAACCAAAAACTCAAAGAGCTAATCATGCATGCCCTTTATCATTGCTTAATTTTCAATCTTTCCCAGAACTATGTTCATTCTTTCTCAGGTCTATATCATTTAATAAATCAATGCACGTTACTTTTCTCTGATGCACCATTCTAACAACCAATTTGCACCCTTTTATCTTTTACCTTTTTAATAGAACCCCTCCACTACCGCTCGATTCAGCTACGACCCTCAGACACCCCATGCCGTCACCCACCCCCCTCTCTCCAACCCACCCCTCCGCTGTGTGGACATTGATCTGGGCGACCCCGTGCAATCCCTCCTGCCATCTGCTGTGACTGATACACACAAGACCGTACAAACACAACTGCAATGCATAGACATTGATCTAGGCGACCCGATAGTATCCCCATTCCCGAGTGTTTTGCAAGAAACGCCATTGCCATATGTTGTGATTGATGTGGGCGACATTAAAGAAACACAGACCCAGTCTTTCATTGGATCATGCTACTCGTTGGTGTTAAACTTCGTCAAGGGACTCTTTTCTATGTTTTAGATGAATAGTTTATTAATAATTGTCCAACATAAACCCACCGTGAACTCATTTATGGCGTCTATTCTAAAATATTAAGTACAATATTAGACTATTTCGACCAATTAAAAATACATTCGCAGGTCTTGTCCAGTTGTTGCTAGGTGTTCATTTGATTGTTTGTTAACTGTGTTTACATTTTTATTTTGTATAAAACCTTTGTTTCTGTTCAATCTTGCTTTGTCTTTTTTTGACAATATATTACAATACGTTTTGAACTAAGTAAAACTACAAGGAGTAGACGCCATTGGTCCTATCCAACCAGTCCGGTGCTGATTTCAGGCTAGTGGTTTCTGCAAAATGATTAGATTTTGGTAGAAAACAACTAGTCCCTCTGGATTTTTGCTAGCCTCGGACTTATGGACCAGTGGCCAGGGCTGACCCTGTATACACTGTAAATATATCCAGAAGAATCCTTATTGCCACCTGTGATTGGTGTATACATTGAAGAAGCACAACAGGCCCAGTCTTTCGTTGCTGTGCTAACCGATTGTTTTATGTTTGAAATGATTATGCTTGTTTTTGTCCACCCTAGGTTTGTCTCTTTGTATATTACAGTATGTTTACAACTATGTATCACTTGAATTATTGATCGTGTACCTCGACTTCCTTCAGTTTAGGGGCCAATGCGCATCTGGAGAAACTGACAATGGAAAAATTGTGTTTTTACCATTTATTTGTAAGCGTCGATGTATGGCACAGCCGCACACTAAGCATATAATAATCTCTACAATTTAAAAGTCTCTCAAAGTAGATATGTAGAAGTTATACATTGTATTTAGCGAGCATTTGCGAGCTAAATAGGTAGTATTTATTCCCAATACAGGATATTTACCATCCCAAACACAATAGCATGACAACCTCTTTATCATATTATGTCATTCTTTAATTCTTGGTTCGAAATCTACTCCCATCTCTCACAATCATTACCTTAACATTGCAAGTTTTCCTGGAATGGGCACATTAATATTACGTCAGAGGCTCGGAAGGTAAGTGATGTGTCTTCCGACAGTGAACCGTCAGTGTAGTTCCGACTGAAACCTGTTTCTTATACCGTGGCGTAACTACATATAGGCAAAACAACAATTGCCTACACAAAGGGAAGCTACTCTAACTGTAGCCTATGAGACATCGCGTTTGTATACAGTGTCCGCCTGTCCTGTCATAACGTTACAGGGGCGGTCGGGTAGCCTAGTGGTTAAAGCGTTCGCTCGTCACGCCGAAGACCCGGGTTCGATTCCCGACATGGGTACAATGTGTGAAGCCCATTTCTGGTGTCCCCCACCGTGATATTGCTGGAATATTGCTAAAAGCGGCGTAAAACCATACTCACTCACTCACTCATAACGTTACAACGTGCAGTCAGATGTACACACAGAGACAAAACGAGTTCGCGTCCGACGGATTCTCTCAAAAACTGGTTGCTTGTCTTTGAGACACGTGACCAACGGCAGAGAACGTCCTCATGAGAAGTTGTGGTACTGTATTCTAAAAGTGCTCCGAGATATGTATTGTATCACAACAATGTGTATTGGTACATCCCTTATGATTGTCGCATGTACATTTTAATCCAATTAAATTTTCTGGTAAAACTTATACATCTTGAACGGAACAGTTAAATATGAATTGTGTAGAAATGCTGGAACTGACAACACGATCGGTTGGTTTTGTCCTTGTTAAATAAAAGGATGAGACATACTTCGATGTGAAGAGATCTATATCTTGTTCTTTGTTTTGTTTTTTTTGTTTAACGCCGCGCTCAGCAATATTCCAGCTACATGAAGCGCAGGGCTTGAAAATTTATGAAAAATGTTACTTGACCAAGGGCAAGTATGACCAACATTCTTACTTGCCCTATTTTAAAATGTACTTGCCCAAAATCAAACCAATAAATTCACTAAAATGTTTGTGTACATCTGATGAATTGTGACTTTTCAAATAATTAATTCTGAAATTTGAACATCCAACAATACAAGTTCTTATTCGATTGCAAGCTTGTATGTTTGGGTACTTGGAACAGATGGTGCACTTCATGACTTCGGCCGTGTCATCATACGCAACCCAAGGGAATGGTCTTACCACCCAGCGATGAATGTTCGTTTTTGTTTACATTCGTCATACTTATTATTCATGGCCGATATAGATTCGTTTGAATTTTCAGAATACCCCTCCGCCTTCCTTTTAAGTTTGTCCGGATCCCACCGCTGAAGAAACTTAAATAGACCGCTAGCTGTGACATGATCTGACATGTGCGGTACTGGCAATGTAAATAGAAATCTAGTTATTGTAGATACCCCTCTGAGTGCTAATGGGGCAAAGGGAGGCTACTCTATCCTTCACTAGCTTACACATTTGAAACAAAAGACTGCAGGTTTACTTAAAGTGATCCTTGAATATACCAAAAATAATACTTGAATCACATAAATGGTACTGACATAAAATAGTTCAACAAAATTAATAAGAAAAGTAACGAAAAGTCGTCCTTGAAATGTTTCCTTCAACCGATTTTATTTTGCCTTGTGCTGTTCATTTAGTTTACGGTTTATATTTTCTTAGATGATATTGTGGGTAGCTGAAAAAAAGAATAAAAATTAAAATTAAAAGACACCTTTTTTAAAGTGATCTCTTGACACATTAGTACATTGTACAGGATGTCGGTGAAATAAAAGAAAAAAGATTGTAAGGAAACGTTTTGGGGAAATCAGGGTTAAGTTCCCTACTCTTTCTCTTTTTCATTACTGGAAATTAGTCAACCGACATTGTGAAAGGAAATCAATATGCTTGTCTAAATATTTATTATATTCCACAATGGTGTATCTGTGATTCAATTAAAAATAAAACTCGTATAATATTTTTTTCTACTCCAGACTTGATCCAGCAGAAGAAACGTCACAACAGCCCTCGGGTAGCGTCACTGAGGGCCGGGCTACCTACCTGAGAGTACAGGTGAGCATGTCACGTACCAAAACGAATTGTCTTTTCCTTCGTAGAGGAAGAGGTCACGGTATTTGATGACAAAGATTTCTGAGAAAATCTGGACCTTTCAGATCAGTTCCTATAGATCCTGGCACAGCCAAGGTACATAATTTAGTAGGGACATCAGTATCCATCGCAAATTTACACGATGCGCTTTCCCATGCATCTATTCATGTGTTAAGGCTGTATAGATTTCCAAGTAATAGTTACGAACTTTCGCAATAGCCTGGTCATCATGGTTAATTTAACCAGTCATGCGAGTTTGATGACAACATCTTGGGGCCACATGGAACATGGAGAAAACCGTTTTTTAATTATTGCGATATATATCGTATTGTGACAGAAGTATGAAAAAAACTATTGTAAAACCTCTTTAAAGTTGCACAATTGTGGCATATTGGACAAAGAGTGTTTTATTACTTTTCACAGGTGATCTTTTGTGTCAGTGAAAATAAACATTTTTAGTGATTTACTAACATGTGTTGTTATGGACACTGAGAGCCTTAAGGATACTAGACGATCTGTGTCCACAGAGATTCGTACCCAATGAAAATGGCTAAGCCGTGCCTTTGTTTTGTTTGTTTTGTTGTTTAACGCCCCACTCTACAATAGTCCAGCTATATGACGGCGGTCTGTAAATAATCGAGTCTGGATCAGACAATCCAGTGATTGACATCATGAGCATCGATCTTCGTCATTGGGATATGCATCAACCTAGTCAGCGAGACTGACCACCTTCTGTTAGTCGACTCTTTACGACAAGCATAGCTGTCTCTCAAGACAATCACGGGTTGCTGAAGACCAATTCTAACCTGGATCTTCACGGGCCTAACCGTACCTAAACTATTTACTTCTTAGAAGTCGGACGGTTGTAACAAGTTTACACAGTCGGTGATTGGACTACTCATGAATTGTTATATTATACCATCTTCCCGAGGCAAGGGTGTTTACTGACAGTCAGTTATCTCCCTTGCCTCGGGAAGATGTATGAAACACAAAACAAATTCTTAGTTGAAAGCATGTTCAATCAGTTACGGAAGAACAGACACTTATATAGAAGCTTATATATCTTCATTGGGTCATTGCTGCAGGTAGAATGCAAACGATTAATGTTTCAAATCATTTATATTTTCTTTTGGTACGGGTTCGTTTTTTAGGGTACGAGTCATGCATCCAGTTAATTAGTGGGTAGGGGTTATCCAACATTTGGGTACGAGTCCCAAAATCGTTCCAAGGCTTAAGACAAGTTTGCAAAAAACAGCTTGGTCAACAACAAAAATTTGTTGTTGTTACAAATATGTTTTGTGGTTACTTACTTCCTCTTCACTTCTCTGAAATGCCGACACCTTTTTTCAAAAGTGTGTTTACAAGTAATCATTGTGTTATATGTACAGTATGTAATTGTTGTAAGCGACCAACAAATATTTGACAACCATTCAAAGTCAAAAACGAGGTTGAAAACATTAAAATGTGGGCCAAAATATTGGTGAGAATGGAAATAACACAATGTCCTAACGGTTTGTTCCAGATATCGGCGCTGTTACTTTGAGGCAACATCTACCTCGTCACAATGGACAGCGTCATTTAATTACAGGTGTGACACGCAAGGTGATGGCTGCTCCTCTACCTAACATTTAGTTGATATATCAAGCTGATGTATTGTGTACATACAGAGTGATCCCATAGTTATTGTATGCTTTGTGGGACATTCGTATATTCCATTTCAGTTTTATAACTAAGTTTTCTCACCATAGCTTAGTATTTGCAGGATTGAACAAGTCAAAATAAAAAAATACAGTTGAATATCAAGTCTGATTTTGGTGAGACCGAGGGAGCGGCCGAGTAGCCTAGTGGTTAAAGCGTTCGCTCTACACGCCAAAGGCCCGGGTTCGATTCACATGGGCACAATGTGTGAAGCCCATTTCTGATGTCCCCCCGCCGTGATATTGCTGGAATATTGCTAAAAGCGGCGTGAAACCTCACTCATCCACTCCGTGGGACCGAAAGTTTAGTCCCTTTTGGTACGTGGTTAGCATCCCCTGATATAATCTTTTAAACATGCAACACCAAAAGCGATACTTATTTCAAATTATACAAGTATCAGTCCTCTGTACATGAAATGTTCACAAATTTATTGAAAGAAGTATCATTACAAAATGTCATTAAAAATCAATCCATTCCTTTTTAACTTGTGGGTTTTTTCAAAGTTAAAGCAATACCCCATTATATACAGCAGCTTTTTGAAGTGTGGAAAGTTCATCTTGATCAGATTACATGACACACTGTTCCTTTGTCAACACAGCCTCAGCCTGGTGTCCAGAATTAAGAAAGTCCGGATTAGACAGGTTTTACTTTATTATGTAATTAATTAATCAATTAATTAATATAAATTCAGGCCGTAAATGTGGTCTGGCTTTTATTGAGTGAGTGAGTGAGTGAGTGAGTGAGTATGGTTTTACGCCGCTTTTAGCAATATTCCAGCAATATCAGAAATGGGCTTCACACCTTGTACCCATGCATGTCGGCAATCAAACCCGGTCTTCGGCGTGATGAGCGAATGCTTTAACCACTAGGCTACCTGACTGCCCTGGTCCGGCTTTGACAGAGATCTGTATCAGTGAAAGTCAGGTTTGACACATTCAGAAATATGTGAATTTTTTTATCAATGTTTCATGTTGATTCAGGTAATAGGTAAAAAGGAAAATTGAATATTGCTGTTGCCCATGTATAAAATCAAATAAAAATTTCAAGACACCATTGCTTGGATCAACCATGGCTAGTTTAAGCCCTGTAGGCCATATGGTTTCAGAGTAGTAGTTGAAAATGTAAAAAACAATAACGTTGGTTGAGGTGAAATGGCGTTTAACGTCGCATTAAAAATTATTGCTATACAGCAACCTGCATGCACCCGTGTGTGTGTGTGTGTGTGTGTGTGTGTGTGTGTGTGTGTGAGAGAGTTACAAGTACCATTTTTTAACGCTGGTATGATGCATACGGGTATCGCACCACCGACCTTCCACTCTTGGCAAACACTCTATCCACTGGACCACAAAGGCAGTCCGGATGTCAGTCTGGGCAAACACTCTATCCACTGGACCACGAAGGAAGTCTGGATGTCAGACAAAGGACAACAGTCCACAATGTTATCTCACATAATGAAGTCCATCTCAAATCAGCAATAAAAATTCGGGTCTTTTTTTAAGACTAGTACTGAAGCCAAGTCTGCTTGACCAGACAAAATCTATTCTGTGTATACTGTGTTTACATATTCTGTTAGCTTTATTCAGTTTGTATCAAAATTGAAGCACAGAGAACTGGTTCAGAATTTCCGCCCCCAAATGCTCCCAGTCAATGTCGACAACCATCACTGGACCTTTACTTGTCTTGTCAATGTCGAAGGCTCTTCGATGCCAATACCATATATTCTTGTGTTGATGACATGTAATTCTGGTTTTACTTTATGAAACATGCATCAATTTGTTTGTACACACAATCAATAAAACACACAGGAATGTATTGGTTTTATTATCATGGAAAAACACATGATAACAATACAAGATTCTAGATAATGCAAACTGGTAACAGGTTAGGACGGATATATTGGATGGAATATCTCTTTTACACCATAAAACAAAACATATGAAACGGATGAGGGTGTGAGTAGGCTTTAAAGCCGCTTCCAACAATATTTCAGTTATATCAGCGTGATACTTAATGTGGGAGACAAGCAAAGTAATCCAAGTTGTTAAGGTCCACTGTAGATATTTACCACTAAGACCAATAATCATGAATAGGGAAATCTAGGATTTGAACCCATGATCCTGTATCTGCTAAGGGCAGTAACTCTACACTGTTAAATGTAGGTCTTGGACAATCGGGGACCTGTGCACCATCAAATATGAAGATCAAGTGTTGCAAGGATGTTTACCAATACCATCAGGCCAAATCTAATTATTGGATTTTCATCTCCTACCTCAAGCATGACAATCAACAATACACATGTGGCGATATCAAATTTGCAGCTGACCATTCTGCACTTGTTGCTGGTAAACACTTGCCATTCCAAAAATGTGGCAATTGTTTTGAGTGAGTGAGTGAGTATGGTTTTACGCCGCTTTTAGCAATATTCAAGCAATATCACGCAGGGGACACCAGAAATGGGCTTCACACATTGTACCCATGTCGGGAATCGAACCCTGGTCTTTGGCGTGACGAGCAGACGCTTGAATGGCTAGGCTACCCGACACCCCCAATTGTTTTGAATAGGCACCTAGTCCTGCGCATGGTGAACAAAGCAAATATCAACACAATGAACAATGGATTGTACTACACCTGCATTGAAATCAACAATCACTCTGGATCTGGACCAAGTTAATATAATCATAATATTACTATCCTGCACTAAACAATTTTGGCAAGAAGTTGAGAATAATGCTGATACGTTGGACAATATTTCATTGTGGTATGATCATATTCAGGCTGAAAAAGAACGCTGTGATTCCAATCACCTAACCGACTAGAATTATTTCTTCTGGTACTACGGATCATGACAAAAAGCACACAGGTTTTTTTAAGAAGGAACCAAGCCTACCCGATTTTGCCATGAAGTGTCATCAGAACCACAACATTGTTATAATCAGGCCTTCAAGAAACAAGACAACCAATTGAAGATATGAAAGAATGGAATGACAACCTTTGTAACAAACAGACAATGATATCACAGCAAGAAGTGTAAACACAATTAAATATACATGTATTTAGTCTGGTAACAATTGAAAAAGTTCTGTTTAACCAGTGTAAAATGATATTAATTGGTCACATCAGCAGTTTAAATAAATCACTTTTATCCTACCCAAAAATATGTACATATAAAGATTAGATGAATAAATACCACAGTTTTGCTTTCTTAACAACCACAAATATTTCAGTCAATTTTTATCACACTCTGACAAAATATTTGTTAACACTGACTTCAGTTTTGCAAGTTCTGAACAGAATGTTCTTGAAAGAGACAAAAGAGGTATATATGTGAATATAACAATTGATCACCAGAAAAATAATACTGTTGAAGAAGAATGCTTGACAGTTAGGTCAATTCTTTGATACATACAGATGTTTGACACTACTACATACAGGTATTTGTATGTATACATCAATTCTGCACTTCTGTATGATTTCAAATTAATCTCTGAAGTGATGGACCCATCAAAAGGTACAATTGTCCACCAGAGACAATTGGATATTTTTCCATGACTAATATTCAGCTCAGTCAATGAGCGAATATTACTTAACACTGCAAGAAATATTTGGATTATAGCTAAAACGGCACCTCAGCAAAACGCCACCGAGGGAAAATGGCACCGACTGGCGAAAACGGCACCTCGCCTAAAGCGAAAAAAGGCTACTATTACTGAAATAAATGAAACTAAACTCACATGGTCACTTGCAAACACAAATAATTGTGAAATGTTAATCGCCTTAAAACAAGTTTACATTGTGACAACTATGACCAGTGACCCATGGTGTTTGTCGTACCAGACTTTCTGTAGCCTTTCATAGAGAAATTGGCCAGACTGAAGAAGTCTCCCCTTTCCGCTGTTTAAGATGTGTGGATCACATTATAGGTGAGGTGAAATGGGGTTTAACGTCGCGTCCAAGATTATTGCACTTATATAGCGACGTGCATGTACGTGTGTGTGTTTGTGTGGCTGCTTGTACTAGTCCGGAATGATGCCGATTTATAGTGCTAGCTCACTGAGATACCATGCCGCAGTTTAACATGAATACCCCACTCAGACACAGTATACTGACTCCGATCCGACCAGTCCTTGTTTTAGCCCCTTAATGCCGAGCGCCAGACAGGGTAACAACAAGTACCATCTTTTAACGTCTTTTGGTATCACACGGTCGGGGATCGAACCCCTGACCTTCCGCTCTTCGGGCGGACGCTCTACCACTAGACCACGGAGAGATCTCATTATCGAAGAGGTGATATTTGTGGTAAGAAATAAGAAAAGAATATGTGAAAAGAATAAAGCATACTTACTACAGCATAAATAATACTTAGCGTTATTAAAAATAGAGGTGCCGTTTTTGCCCGACACTTGGTAGCCATTTTGCCAAAAGCGGTGCAGTTTTCTGAGGTGTCGTTTTAGCCTGCACCCAAATATACTGTTTGCACAATGTCACAAATTATTGATAACAAAGGACATTATAATTGTTGACCAATTCAACAAATCCATTGACCTTGTGGTCATCCAAGTGACCCACCAACTGGGGTGATCCATGACAAGACCTTCAGGACGATCATCTTGAAGTGTTTTCCAGACAACACATTATATTTCCACCTCATTACACAGCTGACAAATTTCCTTTTGTCCTCCATGTAAATAACCAAACCAATTGTCCATTACATCATGTCCTTAAAGTTTAATCCCTTGGCTCAGTCATCAAGTTGGCACAGCATGGCCACTCCACGGAGCACCCAGAAGTCTGGTTCTTGTAATGTTGGCAAGTCAATGGAGGACACAAAGTTGGTGGAGTGACCGGTGGAGGAGAGAGTTCCTGCTCGGGTTGAAGTCCGGTAGAGAGGGCAGTCGTAGGACTTGACCACATCTTTAGGGCTTGAATTCATGGCAGCTTCCGCAGCAGACGCAGTCTGATGTAACTGGAGAAGAACAAACAATGATCCAGGTAATACAAGCGTGGATGAGTCAGAGAGGGAGAAGTTCATTAGTTTGAGACATACCCAAACAACACCCATAACATACACCTGTTAGAATGTTGACATCCTAAAACCCGGGGTAGATGGGTCTTCAGCAACCCATGCTTGCCGTAAAAGGCGACTATGCTTGTCATAAGAGGTGACTAACAGGATCAGATGGTCAGGCTCACAGACTTGGATGACGCATGTCATCGTATCCCAATTACGTGGATTGATGCTCATAATGTCAATCACTGGATTTTCTGATCCAGACACAATTATTTACAGACCACCATCATATAGCTGGAATATTGCAACGTTAACAACAAACAACATCCTAAAAGAGACTTTTAGAAAGAATAACACACAAATCATCGCTCAATTGCATAACAGTTATCGATACAGCACAAGAGAAGTTGTGGACCAGCACCAACACCTACACACCATGCAAGGAAGGTGCAGGAACTGGCACAATCATTCTTGTACATCATCCCTGTTTATCTATTATAATGGCACAGTTGTATTGGCATACTTTGGATACAAGGGGGCACGGGTGGCCCAGTCGTCAAAGGTGCCAAGATTCGCTGTGCAGAGTTGCGTCCCTTGGACACGCAAGAAACCTATGATTGTGGGTTCGAATCCCGGTTCGCCCCGATTATGTTTCTAGGTTTGTCAGCAGCATACCCGTGCTCGTGGGTTTCACCGAACTGGTAAATGTCTGAGACCTGCATCACTTCGGGCTTTCCTCCCACATTAAGCTGACACGCCGTGATATAACTGGAATACTGTTAAAAGCGGCGTTAAACCTAACTCACTCACTCACTTTGGATACAAGGGCAGGGTACCACAAGGGTCCTTTGTGGTCCACAGGATCTACATAATGTAAGAAATTGGCAAATCTTTTAGAAATCATTATGAAAGTTCTTGCAAATGTTCCGACAAATGAGAATAATGATAGTATTACTCCATTTATATGGCACTGTACTCAATGCATAAGCATGCGCTTAGCACTTAAACATTATTACCCTGGTCAATGGATCCTTGTGCACTCAACAACCATTCTCAGCTCCCTGGGGAGTATACAACCCAAGCTGCCTGTTAGGTGCCAGAAGGTTAACAACCACATTGCCATCTCATCCTACCGGGTACCCATTCACTGCTGGGTGAACAGAGGCACATCAAAGTCACTTGCCCAAGGAGACACCTTATGTGTTACATGTGCTTCACTGTGGGGCATTACCGAAGCCTTAGAAGCTCTCAGGAGCCCAGCTGCCGAAACACGGTCACGCATCCAAGGACTCTCCGCGACTGACGTTACTTAACTTCACGTGACTTGTGACCTGTTTGCTGTGCACAGGACCACATGCATAGCACCAATAATGTTCTGCTCATTTCAACGCTTGCATGCTTGCACTTATAACAACCTATAGGTAGGGCTAAACGTTTTCAAAATGGCTGAACTTAGAGACTATCAGATATCATTTTTCTGATATTTGAAAAAGAGCAAGTCTTCAAACCAAACTGACTTTCTGTTGAAGACAGAGATTAACAAACATATGGTTAAAAAAACCATCCTGGGTCATTTCTATTTTAGCCATACTTGTGTATTTGTTAATGTCACATTTCCAAAAAAGGAAAGAAAACAGGCTAGCTGTCAGCTATTACACCATGTCTCAGCGTCCTGTAGTCCTTGCCAAACTGCCCAATAATTAAGGTATCCTAAGGACTAGTAGATATTTGCCATTTTTAAGGATTTTGCTATATGTTATCATTATAAGGACTTGTGGACTAAACCTGTTAGTTTCTATTGCTGATGTCTGATAACCTTCAGACACGTATTACAGAGTTTCATGTAACCAAGTTGGACATTTCCAGTGAACCAGGATGGACCATTACCCTACCTCATCTTTTCAATACATCTCCAGCATAGGTTAAAGTAAATCATTTGTAAATGTCAATCAACTCTATGCTGAATTAAATACACCTTGGTAATTGAAATACCTGAACTGGCAGGAAGTGAATCTCCGGCAGCTGGCAGAACTTCTGGCTGGGATGAAGGTCTTGTAGGGACTGAGTGAGGCTGTCCCATCGGGCTCCATCCAAGAACAGTCCAAATATGAGGACTCCATCATCTGGGGGCTGGTGTCCCTATTAATGACATAACAAACATCAGCCACTGTCAAGGATAACTTCTTTTGTTGTTCAATGTCTTCAAAATTCAAGCCATATCAGCAGCTGGTAATAATTACTTACTTTGTGGACAATGTCGCATATCTTAGGGGTAAGTTGCACACTATCATTCTAGAGTGCTGGGGACCTATTCTAAACCAAGTCCCAAGAGGACCAATCGATTCTTTGGGCCAAACCTATAATTTGTTCTGTAGGCCCAGAATCCAAAAATGAGAAAGAAAAACAGAAAATGCATATCAACTGAACATGGCTCCAAGGAACACACATTTCTAATTTTGATCAAAAGTGATTGTGGACAGGGGGCACGGGGGCCACTTGTGAAGATCTGGGGTAGAATAGGTCTTCAGCAACCCATGCTTGTCATAAAAGGCGACTATGCTGTCGTAAGAGGCGACTAACGGGATCGGGTGGTCAGACTCGCTGACTTGATTGATGTATGGTATCCCAAATGCGTAGATCGATGCTCATAATGTCAATCACTGGATTGTCAGGTCCAGAATTGATTATTTACAGACAGCCATCATATAGCTGGAATATAGCAAACAAACAAACAAACAGACGATTCGCTGTGCTGAGTTGCCAGAAACCTATGATTGTGGGTTCGAATCCTGGTTTGCCCTGATTATGTTTCTAGGCTTGTCAGCACCATGCAAATGTTCTTGAGTTTCACCAAAGCAGTAAACATCTAAGACCTGCATCCCTTCGGTCTTTCCTCCCACAATAAGCTGACACATTGGGATGTAACTGGAATATTGATAAACTCACTGACTGATTTACTGATTGTGCATTCATAAATGATAGTTAGCTTTAAGAACATTGTCATGAGAACGTTGACTCTCCGTGGAAGTGATATACAAGGACAACTACAGATGATGGAGGCTGACCATGAATGCTGCCTCCTTGATGTCCAGGACCTGGTGATGCTTGCTGGGATCCTCCTGCCCTACAGCTTCGGAGAGGACCCTGTAGTCGAATGTCAGGGAGTCCACGGATATGCCCATCTTCCTGGCATGGTTCTGCTGGACTGCCGTCAGGAAGCCTGGACACACAGAAGGCCAATGTTAACAACCTTACAGACTAGGGCTGGGACGAGTCTAAATTTACTAACCAGGAAACCCACCCACCTAGTAAACGAGGTAAGGTGAGGTGAGGTGAAATGGGGTTTAACGTCGCGTCCAAGATTATTGCACTTATATAGCGACGTGCATGTATGTGTGTGTGTTGTGTGGCTGCTTGTACTAGTCCGGACTGATGCCGATTTATAGTGCTAGCTCACTGAGATACCATGCCGCAGTTTAACATGAATACCCAACTCAGACACAGTATACTGACTCCGAGCTGACCAGTCCTTGTTTTAGCCCCTTAGTGCCGAGCGCCAGACAGGGTAACAACAAGTACATTCTTTTAACGTCATTTGGTATGACGCAGCCAGGGATCGAACCCCAGACTTTCCGCTCTCCAGGCGGACGCTCTACCACTAGACCACAGAGGCAGTCAATATCTCTGTTAGAGCCTTATGGATTATAATAAATTCACTACTTTACCTGTAAAAACAAAATGTCCGACTGGGAATAGTTTGACTGTAGCCCTCAACAAAATGTATACATGTATAAATTGATCTGGTCATGCATACACTGACGTTGACTGAAGTTTTATCTTTATTCAAACATATAAAAGTCTGGGTGCATAGTCAGAAGGAAATGCGAACATTAGTGACTTGTAGTGTGACCATATAGTTCAAGATCATTTTAGTCATTAAACAATATATCACATGACAAACCACGGGTCCAGGTTGTTCTGTGGGTACCCGAGTTACCCGTCCCAGCCCTATTACAGACACAGAGCAACTATTCAGCATCATTGCCAAAATTATCAATATGTCCAACATCACTTTTGTTCTATTTCCAGCATCAATCTGAAATGCTGTGATATAAATGAAATACTATTCAGAGTGACATTAAACCCAACTCACTCATTAAAACAGAAACACAGAGGTCTATCATGACCTAGTTGTTAGGCTCCAAATGACAATAATAATTAAGGGAAGCAACATGAATATATCTCTATTTTGTTGACATTATGTCTACCTTGGGGAAAGAAGAAGCCGGACAGCCAGAAGCTGTGCGGCTGAATGTTGTGGACAAGACATCGAGTCATATCTCTACACTATGTCTACCTTGGGGGAAGAAGCCGGACAGCCACAAGCTGTGAGGCTGAATGTTGTGGACAAGACATCGAGTCATATCTCTACACTATGTCTACCTTGGGGGAAGAAACCGGACAGACAGAAGCTGTGAGGCTGAATGTTGTGGACAAGACATCGAGTCATATCTCTACACTATGTCTACCTTGGGGGAAGAAGAAGCCGGACAGACAGAAACTGTGAGGCTGAATGTTGTGGACAAGACATCAAGCTATACCTCTACACTATGTCTACCTTGGGAGAAAAAGCCAGACAGCCAGAAGCTGTGAGGCTGAATGCTGTGGACAAGACATCGAGTCATATCTCTACACTATGTCTACCATGGGGGAAGAAGCCGGACAGACAGAAGTTGTGAGGCTGAATGTTGTGGACAAGACATCGAGTCATATCTCTACACTATGTCTACCTTGGGGGAAGAAACCGGACAGACAGAAGCTGTGAGGCTGAATGTTGTGGACAAGACATCAAGTCATATCTCTACACTATGTCTACCTTGGGGGAAGAAGAAGCCGGACAGCCAGAAGCTGTGAGGCTGAATGTTGTGGACAAGACATCGAGTCATATCTCTACACTATGTCTACCTTGGGGGAAGAAGAAGCCGGACAGCCAGAAGCTGCAAGGCTGCATGGGAAAGGTCTCCCCCAGATCTGTTTCGGACTGGGCCTGGGAGCGGTTCTGTGTCATGATCTTGAACTTCTTCTCCACGGATGTTGTGATGGTCCCCGCCCACTGGGAGAAGAAGTCCACCCTCAGAATCAGATCGGTCACCCAGGATGCGAGGGGCTTCCTGGACTCGTAGGCTGCAGTCTGGGAAATCAGAAAGATACTTGAGTACTGCTCTAAAACGTTATTTATCAAAAGAATGGGGAATTAATACACTGGTTAATAGATGATGATATACAATATGCTTTGTTCTTTATAAAAAAAACACTCTTTTTTTTTAAATAAGCTTCTTGTTTTACTCTGTAATACCAAACTCAAAGAACATTCAGAACTTGTTAACTGTTTACCATGCTACATATATTGTAAACAAGCTAGGGCATCAGTGTACCATCTGAGCCCTCAATTATCTGTTGTATTATTAATTATCTTCATTCTGTTATTATAAATAACAACCCATTCTCCACCATAGCTTCGTTTTTGAGAAGTGATGTTACCGCCTCCATCTCTCTTGATTACACAATGCCATTTAGTGGTCAAATGTAAGAAATGTTATATTTGGGTAACACTTTCTTAGTAAAGTACAGATTCTTGTACTTTTTTGGGTTGAGTCCCATCTGGGATTCGAACCCACACCGCCAGAGTGAGGCACCTAATAGCCAGCACACAAAGTCAGCGAACTAACCCACTCAGCCACTGAGGCTTCCGCAAAAATGTCTGACAACAGGTCGTCTAGATCACATATTTTGTGTACCCCTCTGACAAGTGTAAAGTGGCATGGCTCCTATGGCTGAAAGCTATGAAAACACAATGCCATTTAGAAAGTGGTCAAATGTAACAAATGTTATATTTGGTTAAGCCTCTCGGATGGGACTCAACCCCAAAAAGTACAAGAATCTGAACTTTACTAAGAAAGCGTTATCCCAAATACTCCATCTCTCTCATCACAATCTTATCACAGAAATTCTCTCATGAGCTTGAAATCAACACCCAATCAAAACGACTCTTCAGAACAAGAGTTCATCATACATCTACATTAAAAATACATCTGTTTTAGTAAATGAATTTAAAAGAGACTGTGCCCTGCGCTCTGATAATAAGTGTAAATAAAATAATGTTTAATTGAGACATTGTTACTGTGTAATATGTGTAGCAGCCATAAAATTTCCGAGTCCCGTGATGGAATTCAAACCACAGGTCTTCTGATCATGGTCGGACGCCTTGTCCACACGACCAAAGAGGTTAACCCCGTCAGCAAGCTGACAAGGTAAGGATGTCATCTATGGGATGACTCCACGTCCTGCTACATACTCCCCCGTCAACAGAAGGCACGTCCCGGGCCGCATAGTAGGGTACTGAGGCTTATTTTGCTCAAATTTCATATGAACGTGCTCAGCCCGACGTTGGGCGCCAATGTAGCGGCCATAAAATTTCCGAGTCCCGTGATGGGATTAGAACCACGGGCCTTCTGATCAGAGGTCGGATGCCTTGTCCACACGACCAAAGAGATTAACCCCGTCAACAAGCTGACAAGGTAAGGATGTCATCTATGGGATGACTCCACGCCCTGCTACATATGCATGATCAGTTACTGTAAGACTGATATGTACTACTCAAAAGAAGTCAAGAAACACTGGATGCCATGACAGATTAGCTATAGTAATATGAAAACAAATTTGGGTTTTCTATAATTTCTATTCAGTAGTATACATGACAAATATAAGGATTATGATTATTCTTGTTACCTTCCATTGCTGAGGTATCGTCTGAGTGAGGAGAGCCTTGTAAGCATCTTCCAGCATATCCGACATAATTATCTCCCCTTTGACGGCCAGAATCAAAGCTGCCAGGGATGTATGGATGACGTGAAGCAGATTGTTGAAGCGGTCGATCTCCTGGCGTAACACGGTGATAAGGGCAGAGTTTCCAATCACCTCATGTGTCGCTATCTCTAAGGCTGAAGACAAGGGAACACTGGGTAAGGTAGTGACTTGCATAAGGCATTTGCTGTTGTCAGTATTATTTTCATCAATTTTCATTTCATTAAAACATCAGTTACTTAATACATGCATAAATGCATCAACATAGATAAGACAAATGCTTGTTTATATTTCTTATAAGATAAATATCATTTCTCTAATGTCTACGATGAGGTACATTTCCTTTCTGTTGTCTGATTGCTGGGTCAGACGGTAATAAGGTCCAGTCAGAGTTGTCTAACCCCAATCTCATTAAAATCAGACCTTAGTTCTCTCTACCGCTAAACAAAGATCTGAAGACATCCCATTAGGGGTCACGTCAGAACGATCTTTTACCTGACCAATCAGTGCGTCGCTTAACAGATTAGGAAAGTGAAAGTCGGAATGTGATTTCTAATCATGCAATCTCGAAAACTTTAACATGGGGTATTCCGAACGATAGTTACGGGCTTAAGTCTGAATCCTTACAATCTAGACCATCTATTAGCCATTCCAGAATGGTTTTTTTTTCAGGTTTCAAATTTGTAATCGAGAATTTGTCAAAATATGTTTCGAAGCGAAGTCGCCAATTTGAAATTTGTGCCATAAAGCACGAGAAAGCTGCCTTCTGATTGGTCATTCCATTGGTCGGTCAAAGTTTGTGCAAGGTCGGTCTGACGTGACCCTTAATGGGATGTCCTCAGATCTCTGTTTAGCAAGAACTATGATCTGGTTTTAGTGAGATTGGTCTAACCCTGGATAAGTGGAACTATTTTTTGAGACAATGCGGTTTGACTGTATATTGCACAAGATGACATAACTAGTTGTAAAGACTATCTTGCACTCCCCTTGTCTCCCACTAGGGGCAACTAGAGTAGGTGTTATGGTCCAAAGGATTTTGATTCTGACTTAACTCCCATGATTTAAGTTGTAGCAAGATCATGAGGGGTTCATGGGGTTTTATGCGTCCTGCGTTAGTTTTTTTTACCACGAGCCGAGGTGAGTGGTATAAAACATAACGAGGTATGCAAAAAACCCATGTACCCGGAGTGATCCTGCTACAATGAATTTATCTTACCGACATGTTTTAATATGACACTTTAAAAGAATTCAAGCAAATTCAAAGTTGATAGAAAACATCTGACCTATTGAGCTGATCTTACTTATGTCACTTGACTTCCATTGACGCAGAAAAAGCGTGAGTCTTTTTGCTTAGAAGCCGGGTATTAGGGATTTATTCTGCCTCTCAGAAATCCACGTGCAGCCTGTATTGCACATGGCGGGGTATAAGAGATTTATTCCCCCCCTAAGAAATTTATCCCCCTTCAAGGCACGTTACACAGTATTTTATCAAGATCACATGGACCAATCAGATCTCATCATTCTGACATTGAGGTATGATAAAGTGCTTTATGGAATTGCACCAGGATTTGTCAGTGAAGATGTGATCCTTCTACTCTATAACTACAAGAAGAACAGGCGACTTTCTTACAATTCATATTGACCCTGTCTTTAGCCTTGGCATCTCCAATCTCCTTCAGCAGTGACTGCAGCTGTAGTTTGGGCAGCTTGTGACTTGTGCCGGTGGAGGGAGCCATCCCTTCCTCCTCCACATCTTCTACTGACCGCTGGAGTCTCTCCATGATGTCCGAGGCGATGTCCAGCACGATGTCATCACTACTTTTCTGGGTTCTACAACAGTCAACACCACTTAGACAGAGGTCATCCTCGGACATCCAGTGTATTGTCTCCTTTCTCTGGCGATAAATAACCTTGACCTTCTTTCTACCACAGCCTTGTTTAGGAAGTGACGTTACAATCCCCGTCTCGGTAAATTCCACAGACTTGTTCAAGCACTTGCAAGTTGGCTACTTTTAGCATTGTGTCACTCAAAATGCAGCTATGGTAGTGAAGAGGTTCAGGGTATTTATTACAACAGAAAAGAGACAGTGAACACATTATAATCAACAATCTCACTAAAATTAGATCTTTTATTTAGATACATACGATCCTTCTCCTCATCCATAACATTAAGAAATGACGGGTGGATAAAATATCCACAACTTAATAATGGCACAGCCTATATTATTTTCACTCGGAACTGGCCGATTAACTTCATTTTCAAGATACAGGAATCAGCTATGCTGGGTTGAATGTTTTGCACTCTTGTAACAAGAATTTAGAAGCCTCAACAGTGATTAGCTTATTAGCAAGTTCAACGGTGGCGATTTATGGAGATGTCTGCAGGTCTACACTACACACAGACCGGTATTGTATCCCATTCGTCACCACTCGCCCCTTTCCGTAACCTGCAAGAAGACTCGTCCCCCTATCGATGAATGTTATGTGCGAAAATACGACAAACCAATCAGAATGCGCGTATGATTTCAAGTTCTTCATCAAAGAATCCCTCAGAAACAATTTATGATTTTACATATGTCTTGCATCTAAAAATATACCCAAGACACAGTTAAATGTGTTCAATCATATTGTATAAATCCGCATGTCCCGATGTGCTTTTAATTGCATCTGAAATATATATAATATATGGGAAATATATGTGAACCATTACGCAACGAGTTGACAATTGTTTTAGGTTTGCCCGTTTGCGCTAAGACGGAACCCGGTCGCAAAAATGGCTACGAGAGGGGCACGAGTCGCTATTCGGCTGGTCCCGGAATAACACGAGTTGGTCACGAATGATTGTATCCATGAAAGATCCGACTTTAATGATATTGAATGAGGTGGTTTTGTTGACATTGTAAGAGAATTGCAGTTGTCACAGACTACATATTTTGATCAATTATTACAAAAATCTAATAGTTAATTTGGTATGATTTTTTAGTATGTTTCTATTTATTAATTCAGAGATGTTTGTTTGTTGTTTAACGCCGCACTCAGCAATATTCCAGCTATATGACAGCGGTCTGTAAGTAATTGAGTCTGGACCAGACAATCCAGTGTTTGACAACATGAGCATAGATCCATGCAATTGGGATCGAGGACATGCATCAACCAAGTCAGCGAGCCTGACCACCCAATCCCGTTAGTCGCCTCTTACAACAAGCATAGTCGCCTTTTACGGCAAGCATGGGTTGCTGAAGACCTGTTCTACCTCGGATCTTCACGAGCCATGCAATTGGGATCGAGGACATGCATCAACCAAGTCTCGCTTTTTAGCGAGCCTGACCACCCAATCCCGTTAGTCGCCTCTTACAACAAGCATAGTCGCCTTTTACGGCAAGCATGGGTTGCTGAAGACCTGTTCTACCTCGGATCTTCACGGGCCAATTCAAAGATGAATGAGTCCGACAAACAAAATTCAACTTTTTTTCCTTTATTTTCTTATCATGGTTTTTGGCTCCTGTCAGTCAAAACTACCCCCCCCCCCCCCTCAAAAAAATAAAATAATAATTGTCACCTAAGCAACCTGTTTGACAGTGCTGCTGAATCTCACCCTGTGAAGCCAGCGTATATCCTGGGTTGTACAGCAACCAGGGTGGACACGAGGTCCGTTGCCTGATGCTCTCGACATATTTTCTCAGCATTCTCCGTCATCCCGAACATCTCGCTGGAGTCATAGTCAGGGAAGTTCTCCACGAAGCCGTGCAACTCACTCACACTGCTGTTGTCTGGCACGGGGTGGTACACCTGTATACAATAGCTCTATGTTAAACAAACATACATCACTCACTTCACACAGTTTGATTGGTGACATAAACTTTCTGTTTATGAAAAAAAAGAAACTTTGTTTAAATATTTGATGGATGTTTGAGTATATGTAATACTGTTACCGTATTCGACGTAATCAGCATTCCGCTCTAATAAGCGCCCACAGCGATATTTGCTAATATATTGGCTAGTGAACAATCCCAATTAGCACCCCTTCCGATTGATCAATGTACACAAGACTTATTTATTCGTGTATAAAACGCACTCGTGTGTGTTATAGGCACCCTTAATTATGGGCAATTAAATTCTGGAAAAATATATCTGTTGTGTATAATACGCACAGACTTTTCTTTTGTATCATTTCAGGCTGTCAGCATAAACCTTGAAATTCACAATCTTTCAACTCTGTTTTTTTTTCATCAAAATTTTATTCTAATAAGGGCCCCCTATTTCTAATTTTGAGAGCGCCCTGGGCAACTTATTACGTCGAATATGGTATGTAACTATTTATATATGGGATGGAGCCATCACACACACTAAATCTATATTTCTAGACTAACAAAATCCAAACTTAATCATGTGCATTTCTGGCATCTGTTTAGCAAGTACTGACCCCATTAGCTGAGTAGCTGTAGTCGTCCTTGAGCGCATCCACGCAGTAGAACTTCTTCAGCATGCTCAGCAGACAGCGGCGATCCCAGTCATCTGTCACACGACCACCAAAAGTTACCTCCCCTGTGAGATACAGCAACGCTGCCCAGGGGATGTTGTCAGCTTCTTCCAACAGCATCTGCAGCTTCAGGATTGCCACCTGAAACAAGTCATATCATGATTCCTTCCACGACATATCTTTTGGGTTTAGAGCACTCCAAAAAAATCTTAGGTCTTAGTACGTTAGTGAGTTAGTGAGTTGGGTTTAAAGTCACTTTTAACTGTATAGCACTGAGTGTCAGCTTGATGTGGGAGGAAAGCACGAAGTTATGATTGTCATAGACAATTACCATTTTGGTGAAAATGACAAATATGGGTATGCAATCCAAGCAGCATGATCAGGGTGAGTCTTAGATCCCAACGGGGGCACGGGTGGCCCAGTCGTCTAAGGCGCCGCGATTCGCTGTGCAGAGTTGCGTCCCTTGGGCACGCCAGAAACCTATGATTGTGGGTTTGAATCCCGGTTCGCCCCGATTATGTTTCTAGGTTTGTCAGCACCATACCCGTGCTCTTGGGTTTCACCGAAGTGGTAAACGTCTGAGACCTGCATCCCTTCGGGCTCACCTCCCACATTAAGCTGACGCGCCGCGATATAACTGAAATACTGTTAAAAGCGGCGTTAAACCCAACTCACTCACTCACTCTCTTAGATCCCATCCCGCAACTATAGCAATCTGACACACTTAAGGGACACAAATTATCGGGCCATATGTGCCTCTCTTAGAATGTTGAACATTATTTATCTAGAGCTGCAAGTAGGTTATTCTACATATTACCCATATTCTTTTCTTTTGAAATTTAGAAAAATAAGGGTTTCTCAGTCACAAGTCAAGGGCGGATCTAGTAATTTTAAAAGGGAGGGGTCCCAAATATCAAAATCCTCTCTCAGTCAATTTGGCTGCCTACAATATACTACATTTGGATTTGGTTTTGAAAAGGGCGATATCCGTCCGGATCCCCTTGACACCACCTCTGGATGCAACTATGCAAGCGGAGACATCTGATCACCCAATCCATTTTTGGAATAGCGTTGCAATGAGCAGCTTAAAAAATATGTAACAAGTATGCAACAATTGGCGTATCATTGTTAGGTGATGTCATAGGATAGGGATAGGTGACGTCACGTTCAATAGTGACGTCATCTGGTTTGTTCTATGACGTTTCCATATTTGTAAAAGTGGGTCAGTGACATTCGTGTTGATTGCAGTATATGTTTCAAAATCGATATTGTTGTTTCTTTTTATTTGATAACAAATTCCATCCATTTTAGCTATGATAACGGTAACGCTATTTTTCAGGGCATTATCATTTGCAGGAGCCCTCGATCTTTTCAACAGCCCTCCTACGTCGGGCAGTTAATGGAAGACTTCAGGCTTCTGCAAATGATAATGCCCTGAAAAATACTGTTACCCTTATATCAAATGAACATGCTACCCACCTCTAGATCTGAGTCATTGAACTCATAAGGAATGTTCCAGCCGAGAGTGCTGTATTTCTTCCTCTCATGGATCACACTGTTGAAGAGACACAGCCCAAACAGCAGCTTGTGCCAGGCGGAGTGGGCGGAGCCTTCCTCGTACAGCTGCTCGGTCACCACCCCAGTACCACCACTCCCGAAGGACTTCAACATGTTGGCCTTCAAGCCTCGGGGGGACTCAACGGTCATCTGAACACAAAACAACAAGAAACACTGGTACAGTATTGAACGTGTTGTCACAGGACCTACACTAAAAAAAACATGTACTTTGTATTACAAGAATGGAACTTTAATTCCATCTGCATCTATTTCAGCTTGGAAGCTGAAGAAGAGACTCTCAGAGATTACCCCCATTGATGTGTTTGTTTGTTTGTTGTTTAACACAGCACTATATGACTATACAGCTATATGGCGTCAGTCTCTAAATAATCGAGACTGGACCAGACAATCCAGTGATTGACATCATGAAAATTGATCCAGGCCATTGGGATTGATGACATGTATCAACCAAGTCAGCAAGCCTGACCACCTGATCCCCTTAGTCGCTTTACGACAAGCATGGGTTGCTGAAGCCGCATTCTAAACCAGATTTTCACGGACCCTCCATTGATATGAAGATTCTTGGCAGGGTGTATGATTCTGTCTTCCCAAAACTTCACATAAATATCCAATTTTAAGTTTTATTTTAATGAGTCTTAGTTTATTCTCGCAAATTTTGTTAACAAATTTCAGCACTGTTTAACAACTAAAGAATACCTGTATGCATGGAAGCAAAGATTCCTTGTTTTTTTCATTTAAAGAAATGATACAGACAGCAATTTTTAAGTTCCTTTCATTCAATTTTTATATTCCTTCCAACCGATCTTATTTTACAGAGATCACTTTTTTCTTTCCACAATTTTTTTTTTGGCTCCCAGACTTGACCTTCAGTTGGGTAAAAACGAGTGAGAAAAAGGCATTGTATACAGCAAGCAGCAAGAGGCTTGTACTGTACCTTCATCCCAGTCTGCAGGATCGAGATGGGGAAAGTAGGGTCAGGCTTAGAACTGAGCCACAGCCGGAACTGTGGATCAATGTCATCATTCGGACGGTTAAACCTGAAATGAGTACACATATTTACTTAATTAATAAGAAGAGGAAGAAGAAGTCATAGAAGAGGAAGAAGTCAAGTCATAGAAGAGAAAGAAGTCATAGTAGAGGAAGAAGTCACAGAAGAAGAAGAAGTCATAGAAGAGGAAGAAGTCAAGTCATAGGTGAGGTGAGGTGAAATTGGGTTTAACGTCGCGTCCAAGATTATTGCACTTATATAGCGACTCAAGTCATAGAAGGGGAAGAAGTCATAGAAGAGGAAGAAGAAGAAGTAGAAGTAATAATGGAAGAAGAAGAAGTAGAAGTAATAATGGAAGAGGAAGAAGGTGTAGAAGAGTGACTGAATGGGTTAAAATTCAACGTCGCATCAGCATTATTTCAGCCATATAGAAGAGGAAGAAGTATTAGAAGAGAAAGAAGAAGAAGTAGAAGAAGTCTATACATATTGCGCCGTATTCAAAATATACTTCCCAGAATAAAGTATAAGCTCCTTCCCATAAGAATAGAAAAATGGCTGAGACTAAGGTATTAATGATATAATATGTTCCTACATATGTTTATTAAAAGGTAGTGATATCCCACACAATATAATACATGAAAAGTCAACACATATCATAAAGGTGGCATGAGACCTCTTGGTCATACTGGCAGAAAATAGTTTAAATCAATTTGGATACTTACTTGACATGTCACTCCTATACATATATATTTTTAATTATGCCTCAAAGTGAGATTAACCAATCAGAGAGCAGAACTACTGACCCCCATATGAGCTGTATACTTTCAGTAAAAATCCAAGATGGTTGTGACTGACCTAATATGAGACCGTATACCGTCAGTGTCAGCCATCTTGGATTTTCCAACACCCACCTCACATATTTCACATGAAAATTTTGGTACAGAAATTCATTGTTCGACACTGTTTTGTGTGCAAGGACATTTTAATTTCTTTTTAGATCATGTTTGTGACTTAATTGTTAAAGATTTTAGTTAAAATTATCAACAAGGTTTGGCCCCTAAGTTTTGAAGAGTAGTCTCCCTTTGACCCTTAATGTCAAAGGTTTTTAGTGTCAAGTTTTCTTTTGACATGACATGTGCGATATGGATACCACATAGTGTAAACTTTTCGGCATAATAAATTCGTTATGATTCTTTAGTTGCCTTATATGATGTAATATTAGGTTAGCAGAAAAAAACTGCAAATGTTTTCTGCTAACATAATATGGCACCGTAAATGGCAACTAAAGACACCAAAACTAACAGTATTAATACATGAGAACCATGCGACACTGAACATCTTATCACCCCGAGCTGAGACAAGTACACACCTCTCCACTAAAGCCTGCAGTCTAGGCATCCAGGATGCTGCAAGGTGACAGTTCTGCAGGAACACCCATCTGCCCTTGAGGATCTGGGCCTTGGAGATCAGCTCCTCTGCCTTGGGCCCCTGACCTCGGCCCAGCGAGATCATGTCCAGGTGCAAGGTGCTCCCCCTCAGTTCCTTGGCAAACCTCAGCAGCTGGGAGGCAGGGTCGCATCCTTGTGAATATAGGGAGTTACATCCTCATCAGCATGATAGGATTCACACAATATTTGTACAAGCGCATGTGCATGAACGATTTGTTTGTTTGCTGTTTATCATAGCATTTGGCAATATGCCTATGTGACAGTAGCCTGTCAATTTTAGAGCCTAGACCAGAAAACACAGTGACTGATATTATGAGCATCGTATCATGCTATCAGGCTAAGATGACATGCTTTCAACTAGGACTGGAATGGGTAACTCAGGTACTTGGGTCAGGTGGATCCTACTACCCGGACCTGTGGTCAGTAACGTGATATATTGTTTAATGACAAAAACTCACTATAGCTCAGTGTTACACTACAAGTCGCTAATGTTCCCATTTCTTTCTGATGATGCACACATTTCTTTTGATTTGTATATGTTTGAGTCAAGATAAAGGGCTGCAGTAAAACAATTCCCAATCAGACATTTTGTACCCAGCCTTTGAAACCTACAGTGGGTATCCGGGTAGGGTCGGGTAATAGGGGGTTGGGTACCCGATTGATCAATGTAGACAAGACTTTTTTATTCAGTATAATACGCACACATGATTTATATGCACCCTTATTTATGAGCAATTAAATTTTGGAAAAATATATCTGTCGTACGTAAACATATCAGGCTGTCAGCACAAACCACGAAATTTATCTTTCAACTGTGTTTTTTTATCACCAAAATAATATTCTAATAAGAGCCCCCAAATTGTAATTTTGAGAGCGCCCTGGGCGCTTATTACGTCGTATACAGTATGTGATTTTGAAAATGTCTTAGGTTCTTGTTTCCTAAGAAATACACCTCCAACCAGCATAGAAAAGATTTTAATTTTTTTGTAAATATTTCTTGACAACTCAAGATTCCGCCTCATAATAGATAGATTGTGATGTATCTGAGACTGGCTCATGATGGTTGTCTGCTTCAGATCCCTCTTGAGATCCACAGAATATGTATAGGATAAAACACGTCCGAGGGTTGTTATGATATTTAAAACCCGCATCACGAGGGATTTTCCGAGGGAAAGGGTTTTAAATATCACAACATCCCGAGGGGAAGTGTTTTATCTTACTTATAAACCGAAAAAGAAACTTAAAACAACATTTATCAACATTTTTATGTTTCGAACATACTTTCCATGAACCTTAGGAAACTGGCGTAAAATATCTGTTGCTGGCGTACGGATCTTGAAAAGGACATTCTAAAAAGCAGTGCAGCTTATCAACACCTCTGTAGCCTCGTGGTACACTCACTGGGCTACAGATATGAAGGTTGCGAGTTCGATCCTCGGGAATATAAAGAAAACATTTGTCATTTGATTTTACATTTCATTACATATTACAATCTGAACGGAAGTTATATTAATAAAATACCCAGGACATTATATAAAATCCCTGGGATATAATATAATATTCCTGGGATATTATATAAAATCCCAGGGACATTACAACGTCCCTGTTAAGAAGATTTAACCCGACTGGAAAGTAAAACCTCACAATAGGTCTTAATGCCTATAGAAAGAAGTCTCTTACTTAATAGCGATCCCAATAAATAGGTTTATAAATAGCAAATATGACTTGAATATCCTATAAAATCCCGGGGATATGATATAAAATCCCAGGGACATTACAACGTCCCTGTGTGTGAGATTTAACCTGACTGGAGAACAATAGGATGACGTCACCGGAGGTTTATAACTGCACACGAACTGCCACACCTACCAGGAGACAGTATGAAGATCAGTGGAGTCTTGGCTGTAGAGTCTTCGTAGATTTCTTTCAAGTCAAAGGCTCCTGTGGAGAGGTATGTTGGGCCAAGCTGAGATTGGATGAACTTGGCAGCAGCAGCAGTCAACGTGTCTGGTCGGATGACCTTGACCAAGATCAGTTTCTGGAAGCTGTTCAGATCCTCCCATCGGAACACAATACCTGGTCGGACCTCTTCCTTTGGAGCTGTCTTGTCCTTGTTTGTGCCTAAGAGAAGCAAGGTAGAACTGGTAATTCTCTAATGACTTCTGAATTCAGAATTACTTATGAAACTTCAGAAAAGAAACAATATATATGTGTCCCTGTAACTACAAAGAAGGGTCAGAAGACCTCAGTTCACTGAAGCCGAGACAAAGTCAATATTCACTGATGTTCCACTCAGCAATATTCCAGATATAACACAGCAGTCTGCAAGTAATTGAATGCTAGGCAAACCAGTGACCTAAACAAAGGACAACACTGCACACTTCTGGAGCACAGTGACACACCATCGACCAATCCTCATTTCAGTCTCATTCTAGCTGTTCTCTGTTGAGTGACACAATGAGTGAGTGAGTGTGGTTTTAAAACCGTTTTTAGCAGTATTCCACCAATATCACAGCAGGGGACACCAGAAATGGGCTTCACACATTGGACACATGTGGGGAGCCGAACCCGCGCCTTCTGCATAACAAGTGAACGCTTTAACCACTAGGCCACACCACCACCCCTGACCCTTAACAATGAGTGAATGAGTATGGTTTTAAAACTGTTTTTAGCAATATTCCATCAATATCACAGCAGGGGGACACCAGAAATGGGCTTCACTCATTGAACGCATGTGGGGAGCCGAACCCGGGTCTTCCATGTAACAACTGAACGCTTTAACCACTAGGCCGCCCCACCACCCCTTAACAATGAGTGAGTGGGTAAATGTTTAACAATCCACGCCGTCAGGGTACGATGAGACACAAGTCACAGAGCCCAACTACCTGATCCATATTTAATCAGCTCTTATAACAAACGTGGGACACTGGGACCAATTCTGACCCGGAACCCCCAGGGACTGAACACAATGACCAGACTTTGTTTGAAACCAGGTTTCATAAATCAAAAACTTTAGCGACTGTGTAAGTACTCCAACCTTCCTCCTCCTTGAAGGGAAGACTCATGAGACTGTACGGATCCTCGGCCTTCATGAAGCTGTTCCACTGCTGGGCGTGTGACATGATGCTCCGGCACAGACTGTCAAAGGCAGGGATTGTTGCATCCAGATGCTGGCACTGTCTCCATGTTGTGTCTGCCGCCCAGCTCGGCAACTGCTTGTGTTTGTCCGAATTGGGATCTCCTGCCTGGGCCTCAGACTCCAACCTCTCCATTGGAGATAGACCTGAGACAAAGAAACAGAGATAGAAATGATAGAGTTTGGTCTAATGCCCATTTTGAAACATACTTATATTAAAGCATGTCAGCCTAATGAGGGTGGAAGGTCCAAAGTGATGCAAGGTGGTCAACCTTCCCCATCTTGGTAAGACCCATCATGCTGACAAGCCAAGAATCATAATCATGGCAAATCTATAATTCTTCTTGCCAATCTGGCAGCAAATTTCCATTTTCAAGATAAACATTTGATTAATAATGTGAATTTATCAGTCCATGAATTCCAAACCATCTGAACAAAGATGAAGGTCAAGGTCAAGGTCAAATCTACCCGAAGCAAGACATGAACCCATGACTGCTTGTTTGTGGTTGAGACACAAAAACAGACCTCATAGCATTAGCAGGATAGTAAACTACATTTATAACGAACACGCTTATAATGAACTGGTGGATATAACAAACTGTATTTTGGGTACCTGTCATTTGCTGTATACATGTATATGTTTATAACCAACTAAGGTAATAACGAACTAAAATTAGTGGTCCCTTTAAGTTTGTTATGACTGTAGTTTACTGTAAATGCACTCTTACCATCCTTCTCAGCAAGTGTCTTGTCATCCAGCATGCTGGCCATGATGTTGCCCTGGAGGAACACCTGCCACTCGAGCTCGTTTATCTTGTCCAGATGACTGACACTGTCCTCATACCGGGAGTTAGCTCGCATCACACTACTAGCCAGCATGAAGGAGAAGGTGAGTTGGTGATGTCCGAACAAGCCCACCGACACCACGCGGTAGATGCTGGAAGTCAGACGGTCGATCATGCTCAGAAGGTGCTTCATCAGCTGTTCCGGGTTGTCCATGGAAGAGAGGACATCGCTGGTAGGCTGTGGACTCGGTTGACGATGTTTGTGTGAGCTGGTTGGTCTGATGACGCCGCTGTAGTAGTGGGAGGAGTTGGTGGAGGTGGAGGACTGGTCAGCGTTACTGGTGATGCAGGCGGTGAACATGTCCTGGAACCAGTCTAGAGAGAACTGGTACATCACGTCGATGGTGGCCAGCTCGGCCAGGACAAAGTACAAGACGGCTCCTCTTGTTGCAACCTGACATTAAACATGAAAACAATACTGATAGTCTTCATGTCATCACAAATAACATATCATCTCTATACAGAAGTCATACATTTAGGGTCATTCATAATATAATCTGAATCTAACATCAAAGGGTAAGAACGTCTGCTCTGAGAGCGATGGTTCGGAGTTCGATTCCAAGCCGCATCATACCAAAAGACGTTAAAAGATGGTACTTGTTGTTACCCTGTCTGGCGCTCGGCATTAAGGGGCTAAAACAAGGACTGGTCGGCTTGGAGTCAGTATACTGTGTCTGAGTGGGGTATTCATGGTAAACTGTGGCATGGTATCTCAGTGGGCTAGCACTAAAAATTCGCATCAGTCCGGACTAGTACAAGCAGCCACACACACACCTGTGCATGCACGTCGCTATATAAGTGCAATAATCTTGGACGCGACATTAACCTCATTTCACCTCACCTCAAAGCGTAAGAAGTTTAATCACGGGCACCCATTTTCCTAAGTCCTGAGTATTAATTCCACTGGTTTTCCTAAACTATTATGAGTTAAAAACATACTGGGAGGTATCGCTTCCTGGCTTGGTTTAGTTTCTTCTCAGTCTCCACCGACTGTCCCACTCTTTCGTAGATCTCCTGAGACACTCCCTTGCTCTTCTGGAGCGTCTCCACCAGCACCTGGTCATCCAGGATATGACCTGCACAGACATCACATTACATTCATTCTGCCTGTTTTGCACACAAATCAGTAGGCAGTCAAAAACTATGAAAAAGAATTACAAGTAGGATTGTTTGAGTTCTTCAAAATGTTTTCTGAAAATATTGCCATAAGCACCATGTTCGCTAGGCTGGTCTCATCAGTAGTTTCATACTGTATCCACCTTTCTTTAGGTTGTGCTGGTAACATATAATATCATCATGGTCGTAACACAATTTTCATAATAGTATTGTCTTATGACACTTTATCCAATTCTATGATTTAATATCAAACCACTTTATTCAAACAACCTTGAAAAGGTCTGTAATCTTGAGAAAAGGTCTGTAATTTTGAGAAAAGGCATGTAATTTTGAGAAAAGGCATGTATTTTGAGAAAAGGTCTGTAATCTTGAGAAAAGGTCTGTAATTTTTAGAAAAGGTCTGTGATATTGAGAAAAGGTCTGTAATCTTGAGAAAAGGTCTGTAATTTTTAGAAAAGGCCTGTGATATTGAGAAAAGGCCTGTAATTTTGAGAAAAGGCCTGTATTTGAGAAAAGGCTTGTAATTTTGAGAAAAGGCCTGTATTTGAGAAAAGGTCTGTAATTTTGAGAAAAGGCCTGTATTTGGAGAAAAGGTCTGTAATTTTTTAAGCCCTGTATTTTGAGAAAAGGCTTGTATTTTGAGAAAAGGCCTGTATTTTGAGAAAGGCCTCAAAGTGTAGTAAACACCTTCAAAGCTTGAGAACCACCCAAGAAATGCTACAATTCACTTACCATCAGATTTCTGCAGGAGTCCTAGAGACTTGTTTTCCAGGTCGAGCAGCGACTGCTTGTCATTACTGATACTCTCCAGCAGCCCGGTCCGCTGACTCTCCAGCTGAGGGCGCTCCTGTACAGAGGGTGGACATTCTAGTGATGAGTATTGGCCTAACTTACGTATGGCACTTTAATGCAATAATGATAGATGTACTGCGATACGTATCACAAAATATGGCATGTGTTTTTTCATCTGTAATTTGTTATGAACCTGAGAAAGATGGACCCAAATTCCCTGCACGCTTTTTACCACCTCATCCACCAGTTTGTTGAATGATGATATGCCATATGAATAAATGCATAATACACACTTAATATATCGGAAACTGGTCACGAATAGTTTTGCCTTTTCGATTACAGGAATCAGTTGTCACAATTTTATAATCTCATCATACTACTGTAAATTGTGCCAACAACATGAAAACAGGGTTCTGAAAAACTCTATACCAGTATTTTCCAAAAGTATAGTGATACATATTCATTAGTCCTTCAAATCATTGTATACAGGCATACCGGTAATGCTGCGTACCTCTAGTATAGTCAATGGAATGTCTACAAAGCATCTCTATTCTAATTCATACATGACAGGTCTTCAAATATTTCACTTTCAGCAGTATTGGAACTGGGAAATTTGAAACAAAACCTGACAGACAACTCTAAATGCCAACCCTGGGTTTGTCTGGCGGCAGGAGACTCGTCTAGCGAGGTGTGTACCTGTTTGACCACTGCAGACAGGAGCTGTTCCTGCAGACCGTCGAAGGTGACGGTGAAGTTGATGATGTTCACCTGGATGAAGACGGCGGGCAGGTAGTGAGGGTTGGCCATGGAGGAGGCCAGGTACAGTCTACAAACACAACAAAAGGAATCAGTTCACCTTAGTTCAAATAGTTTGACTTCAATATGACCTTTTCAATGATACAACCTCATCAATATCAATACAACAGTTAAGAACCATGAAGATCTGGGGTAGAATAGGTCTTCAGCAACCCATGCTTGCCGTAAAAGACAACCATGCTTGTCGTAAGAGACAACGGGTTCGGGGGGTCAGGCTCTCTGACTTGCTTGATGCATGTCATCGATCCCAATTGTGTGGATGGATGCTCATGATGTCAATCACTGGACTGTCTGGTCAAAATGATTATTTACAGATCACTGTCATACAGCTGGAATATTTCAGGAGTGACCTCATGATATGTAATGTTTTCATCAATAACTAAGCACAGAATTTCACTGTGTTTGAAATCAAACCATTTAAAACAAGTATTTGTCACAACGTGACGAAATGTCCCCCGCCTGTATATATACCATAGTACCAAATATGAAGACAATCCAGCGATTAGTTCTTGAGATATTGCGACAACACCGTTTTCCAACTCCAAAAGCAGATTTGCCTGCCGTGACCTTGAAAATGGAGTCAAGGTCACCAAAACCGACTGGTGTCTGCGGAGTCTGTATATACACCATAGTTCCAAATATGAAGACAATCCAGCGATTAGTTCTTGAGATATCGCGGCAACGCCGTTTTCCAACTCCAAAAGCAGATTTGCCTGCTGTGACCTTGAAAATGGGGTCAAGGTCACCAAAACCGACTGGTGTCTGCGGAGTCTGTATATACACCATAGTTCCAAATATGAAGACAATCCAGTGTTTAGTTCTTGAGATATCGCGGCAACACCGTTTTCCAACTCCAAAAGCAGATTTGCCTGCTGTGACCTTGAAAATGGGGTCAAGGTCACTAAAACCGACTGGGGTCTGCGGAGTCTGTATATACACCATAGTTCCAAATATGAAGACAATCCAAATCTTGAGATATCGCGGCAACAAACAGGTGGGACGTACGGACGGACTATACTATATCCCCCACTCCGCGCTTTCGCGCGGCGGGGGACAATCACTCTTTTGAAAGAGAGTCCGGTAAGACCTACATTTCAAAATGGCTGCCAAGAACAAGCAAGCCCTCGATATATTTACAGTTACAGACTTGCATCAAATACAATGCTAGGGTGATGACAGGGTCTGTGGAATTTATCCCAGTAGAACAGTAGAACAGAGTAGAATGGATAGTAAAAGTCTCTTTAGTGAAACCTCGTTAAACTGGAAAGTAGTATTTCAAGCGCCATTTAGTAAACAGTAATCAGCCAGACAATGATTCTACGTTAACAGGTAAGCAACAGCCACAGCCACATATATATATCTCTTCCTTACCTGAAGTTCTGATTGTACTCGATCTCTGTGTCGCCCAGTTTGATGATGAGATGGCCTCCTCGTCGTAATGTCTCCTGCAGCAAGATGGGGCGTAGAGCTGGGTCCAATTCCTCCCCTACATCCTGAACACAATTTGGAAATAAAGGACTTTAAACATCTTTTATGTTTTGGTGTTTTGCTCCAGAAACGAGCACTACCCTCATTGTCAGTAAAGTCTAACTTGTCATCATGAAAAAAAACTATAGAAAAAATACAAATCCAAAATCATCAAAAGGCATCAATTCACTACTAGACTGATCTGTATTGCAAGTTTCAACAAGAAATATTCAACTGTTTAGGAGTTCTGCTCCGGGAACGGAAAATGGATGCTATATATTTTAGCTTCCTAATTATTTTAGCTTGTCTACACCCTGAATGTACCCTGAATGTGCCCTGAATGTACCCTGAATCTAACTTGAATGTATGTACCATGACAGTATGGGTATTTACCCTGTACGTACCATGAATGTATGAGTATTTACCTTGTATGTACCATAAATGTACAGGTATTCACTCTGAATACTCTGTACGTACCATGAATGTACGGCCATTAACCCTGTATGTACCATGGAAGTATGGCTATTTACCCTGTATGTACCATAAATGTACAGGTATTAACTCTGTACGTACCATGAATGTATGGCTATTAACCCTGTACGTACCATGAATGTACGGCTATTAACCCTGTATGTACCATGGAAGTATGGCTATTTACCCTGTATGTACCATAAATGTACAGGTATTAACTCTGTACGTACCATGAATGTATGGCTATTTACCCTGTATGTACCATGAATGTATGGCTATTAACCCTGTATGTACCATGAATGTATGGCTATTAACCCTGTATGTACCATGAATGTATGGCTATTTACCCTGTATGTACCATGAATGTATGGGTATTTACCCAGTACGTACCATGAAAGTATGGCTATTTACCCTGTATGTACCATGAATGTATGGCTATTAACCCTTTATGTACCATGAATGTATGGCTATTTACCAAGTACTTACCATGAAAGTATGGGTATTTACCCTGTATGTACCATGAAAGTATGGGTATTTACCCTGTATGTACCATGAATGTACGGCTATTAACCCTGTATGTACCATGAATGTACGACTATTAACCCTGTATGTACCATGAATGTATGGCTATTAACCCTGTATGTACCATGTATGTACCCTGAAAGTGCCCCATGTGTACCCTTCTACAGAAGTAAATCAACCAGTGAGGCTACTGGGCATTACCCTGATGAGGACGGGGTCTCCCACTCGCAGCGCCGTCTCCATGGTCCGCATCAGGTTGTGATCCGTCGCCGTCATCGCCTTCAGCCGCACGCCCTCCATCTCTCGAACCCAGCTGCAGACACAAAGGTGATCATCACAACCCTTACACTTGACTAAAAGTCTCAGAGCAAACTTGTATGCATAATTTCTGGAGAAGTGCGTCCCTGACCCAAAAATTATATTTGTTTAATACCTTCCCACAGTTTGTTTTCCAGAGCCCCTGGGGAGATCCTGAATTAGTGACGAAGTGTGTATGGTTTTACATCAGTTTAGCAATATTCAAACAATATCAGGGCAAGGACAAATAAATTGGCCTCCTCACATTGTACATATATGGTATTGAGACGCATCAATTTAATGATTTACACTATATAAACAAAGTGCCTTCATTGTGCCCATCTTTAAACCACCAAGTCACATTTCAAGAAATTCTTTTCAAGATAAAACATCATAGATTGTAACTAGTGCACATGATCACAACTGCTATACAGTCAAGTCTCATTATCTGACAATCGTTGATACGACTTTATCCAACCGATTAAATCAGTGCTATTCAGACCCATTAGTCCGACAATCTCACACTCCGACACACCTAATTTGCAACGAATTACCGAAATCACTTAATAATCAGTCTTGTTAATCCGACACAGTGATCAGCGTACTCCGTGGTCATCTGCCTGCGAGTACACAGCCCATGTTTTGATGCAAGACGCTGGGTATTACGTCTGCAGGGATAAACTTGCTTAACAATAAATGTTTTAAATAAACAAAACAAGATTAATCACACCTAATTTGCAACGAATTACCGAAATCACTTAATAATCAGTCTTGTTAATCCGACACAGTGATCAGCGTACTCCGTGGTCATCTGCCTGCGAGTACACAGCCCATGTTTTGATGCAAGACGCTGGGTATTACGTCTGCAGGGATAAACTTGCTTAACAATTAATGTTTTAAATAAACAAAACAAGATTAATCACATGGTTAGATTTCCTCAATCTCATCAAATCAGGTACAAGTTCTCGCTACCGCTGAGGACATGTTTGCATCGTTATCTATCATGTAGTTGTCCCATTTTCGATCACGAACGTTGATACTACTTAATTTCGTTTATCCGACATACTTGTTAATCCGACATAATCATATGCAACCAACCGTGTTGAATTAACGGGACTTGACTGTATATTGCATTTGATGCCATTATTCCACTCACTTGACTGCCTGACCCTGTGGGTCAATGAGTAGTGGCCATTTCCTGGCTTTCTTCACAAACACAGCATTCTCTGTTGAGTGGGTATCTCTAGGCAGACCACCGTTGTGCCATTTCAAAACCTGCAGTCGTACAATTACAATATACTCATATACCATCAGCAATAACATTCGCTAAATTTGAAGAAAATTAACATCAATTATTGGTATGTGACTAGTTTTCCTTTTAAAGATGCTACCCTGTAGTTTACATGTATATGACAAGGTACCCACAGTCGAGGTGCGCAACCAGCTTTTTGCATCCATACGCCAACAAAATGAGACCCAAATCCCAGAATATAAAGTTATGTAGTTTTTTACTGATCCTCGATCCCTAAAGACTACCACAGTGGTTAGTCATGAAAATTTTACAATAAAATATGTCAAGTGTTATCAAGATGCTCCCCCAAAATGTATATGTTTGTCTCTCAAACTTTTCCATAGGTCTGTGATTTTAGGCACCGTTCACTGATTCTCTCAGCAAAACCCCACCCTACAATAAATGACATCCCTTTAGCTAGAAACTTGAGGTTTCTGAACAATATTTATAACAAGACATTTCAGATATATTTATCTCACCATATTGGCATCCACCATGCTCTTGACGAGATCAAACTCCTGTGAGATTGGGATATCTCGGTCGCCACACATGTTCAACCAGACTGCGGTGAGATCTCGGCGGTAGCGGGCGGTGAAGGCGCCAAGGTAGGCAACTCCTGCAGCTGCAATCAGTGTGTCCCCTACCAGCCCCTGCAGCTTGAAGTCCAGGACTTTCACAGAGTCAGCCCACCTCACCTGAAGCAGGAGAAGGGAAATAGTACAACAGGTAGGAGCAGAATTAGTTCAACACTTTCAGAGTGAGTGAGTGAGTGAGTGAGTGAGTGAGTGAGTGAGTGTGTGGGTGGGTGGGTGGGTGGGTGAGTGAGTGAGTGAGTGAGTGAGTGAGTGAGTGAGTGAGTGAGTGAGTGCGTGCGTGGGTGGGTGGGTGGGTGGGTGAGTGAGTGAGTGAGTGAGTGAGTGAGTGAGTGAGTGAGTGAGTGAGTGAGTGAGTGAGTGAGTGAGCGAGCGAGCGAGGTCTTAACACCGCTTTGAACAGTATTCCAGCCATATCACAGCGTGTCAGTTTAATGTGGGAAGAATTCTGTGCAACCCTTTGAAGGGAAGATGCCTGCCCAATCCTCTGATGGTGTGAGGAATCAAGACGGATGACAAGTCAGGGGGAGGAAAGGGGGCATTATCGCCATAAATCTCCTTCCCATGCCACATTCCTCCAAGCTTACTGTTTCCTTTACTATAAGGGTAATGCTATTTTTCAGGGCATTATCATTTGTAGAAGCCCGAGGTTTTCCATTAACTGCCCAACGAAGGAGGGCAGTTGAAAAGACCGAGGGCTTCTGCAAATGATAATGCCCTGAAAAAGAGCTTTACCGTTATTATAGCTAAAATGGATGGAATTTGTTATCAAATAAAAAGAAACAACAACATCAGTTTTGATACATTTACTGCAATCAACACGAATGTCACTGACCACATTTTACAAATATGGAAACGTCATAGAACAAACCAGATGACGTCACTATAATACGTGACGTCATTTTCTCTACCCTATGACGTCACCTAACAACGGGCTTGATAATGGCCCGTCGTCAAGCAATATGAGGGCATTATCAAGTTACAGTGGCCCACTCATTTCTGATAACGTGCAGGCGGTTTAATGATAATGCTATCCATTTTAGCTATAATTCATAACAAAGCAATATTTAGCCCATGGGACTGACATCAAGTTACTGTTTCTACCTTCTTTAGTTTCTCTCGTTTTAGTAACAGGTGTAACATTTATGAGTCCCATGATGGGATTTGAACCACAGACCTTCACATGAGACACCTTGTCCACATGACCAAAGAAGACGCTGTCAGCATCCTGACAAGGTAAGGATGTCATCTGTGGGCCTCTACAGCAGCACTGCCAAGCCTTTATCATGAATCATAACTTCTCTGGATACAAATGTATTACCCCACCCATCTCATCTGAGTTCAGTCTGCAGGGCAAAACCAATGAGGTATGGTACTGGTACCTTTTCATCAGCCAAAGCCGAGACGAGGACGGAGGCTCGCTGGAGACGTAGAGCTGTGGTCTTCTTGCGTTCCTTCAGAGCCTCCCGCTGGTTGACACTGTCCTGGTACTGCTGCTGGATCATCTTCAGGTGGTCCTCGATCTGACACACACAACGCATCACTCAGTTTCTTTGATGCTGCATTCAGCAATATTTACATCAATGTGTGTCAGCTTCATGTGGGATGAAAAACCAAAGTGATGCAGGTCTCAGACATTTACCACTTTGGGGAAGTCCACATGCACAGCTATGGTTCTGACAAACCTTGAAACATAATCACGGCAAATTTGGGATTCAAACTCATGATTATAGGTTCCTGGCATGCCTAAGGGAAGCAACTCTGCCAGTGAATTGCTGTGCCCTTAGACAACTGGGCCACCCATGCCTTCACTTTCCCATCAAGTTACATACTCTACACTATCTGTGTACACGGTCTTCAGAAGTAATCAGCTGGAATAAAACACCCAAACCAATAATGCTAAATATATGTAAAGTTTCGGGAGATTATCTGGAAACGGATTGTTGTGCACTGGACAAATCTAAAGTTGCATTTCTGACCTTCTTGAGGCTAGCCTGTTTCTGAGCAAGGCCATCCTGAGCTAGCTTGAGAGCCTCCTTGGCCTCCTCCACCCTCTTCTGTTTCGGCTTCACCATCTGTAAGACAATGACGATAAAATAAATCGCAAACAACAATGAAGAACGGGCATGACGTGACGTAATTTCTAGAGATTCGAACAAATGCTCGCAACTTGATGACGTCATGAGTTGTTCCCCTTAGTTCTGTAGTACCCTGTTGACAGTTAGAAATGTTATACATAGCACCATTTTCTGAAATGCTTCAAGAATTACGCCTGAGAATAAATATATATATTCATTTTTAATTGTTTTAATGTTTGTGAGAATATTCAGGAAATACCAACCTTAAACCCCCCTTTCATAACATGGACTTGTCTGACATTGCAGATATTGGTCTGTATTTAGAAAGTCCTCATTATTTAAATACAGTCGTGCCTCGTTTATACGGACACTTGCGTCATTTCACAATTCGTCCGTATAAACGAATTTCCGTATAACTGAAACCAGCTTCTTACTGGAAGAGTTACTTCCCTTCTATTATGCAACTCATGACAGATGACAGAGCAAACAGATACATCCACTCAATCTTTATTCAAGACATACACGTTTCATCTGTCATGGAAGTTTGAACTTTACCACATTTTGAGGTTTGAATTTTAAACAATAATTCCAAATTGTCCAGATCGCCTGTGTTCTCGTAATATTTCTCAGAAATGTCCATTTTGCCACCAAAATCGCGAGCTTTCTCTATGAGCATTTTATAATTAAAGGGCACATTACGACTTGTCATGTCACACAACCAAAGATATAATGCATCTCCCATCTTCTGGTGTTTTGCTACATGGGATCGTGATAAGTCATTTGAATTTTCCGGGAGATTAGCCACTTCTGTTTGTCTTTTAAAATGTCACCAATTGTCGATTTTCCTATGGTATGTCCAAATTCAGTGCCATAATGCTTACTGATGGTTTCCAAACTTGCTGACGGGTGTTTTTCCTTATCGAATGGGATTACTTGTACAATAAACAAGCTCATCTCAAACGTAACTCAGTGTCACTTGGTTAATTGACTTCTCACGAATCAAAGGATTACCACCAGTGGAAGGATTACCACCAGTGGAAGTGTATTGTCTGGGTAAGTGAGACAATTTTGTGTGCATTTCAGTGTTTTGTGTATGAAAATGACCATCCGGTTCCGGAAACTGAATTTCCGTATATACAGGTAAATTTATATGGTAATTATTTTGTTTTGAATGAAAATCATCCGGGAACCGAGGTTTCCGGATATCTGAAGTCCGTATAAGCGGGGCATGACTGTACAAGTAAATATTTTTAAAACTTGTAAATTTTGATAACTTCCTTAAAGAGACTGTAAATAATGTTGATATTGCCTCGTTGTATATTTCATAAATATATAACTATATCCTACATAGCTGTTGATCAGGTACTAACACCTGTACCGACCGTGAAGATCCGGGGTAGAATAGGTCTTCAGCAACCCATGCTTGCCATAAGAGGTGACTATTCTTGTCGGAATAGGCGACTAACAGGATCGGGTGGTCAGGCTGGCTGACTTGGTTGATGCATGTCATCGATCTCAATTGCGTGGATTAATGCTCATGATGTCAATCACTGGATTGTCTGGTCCAGACTCAAATATTTAGAGACCGCCATCATATAGCTGGAATATTGCTGAGTGAGGCATTTAACAACAAATAAACAAACAAACAAACTAACACCTGTACCAAAACAATGCATTGAAAGAAAAAAAGTTGCATTCCATAAGAGAACCCTGTCTTCAATAATAGGTTACATCATTGTTGTGTTACATGTTAGCATCATCGTCATGAGTAGCATCATCAACAGTACACTGACCTTGTAAACCTCGTTGTAGTGCTCCAGTGCAAGCACCCACTCACATATAGAGCGGCAGGCTTTGGACACCTTCCCTATAGTGTCTGCGTTGAAGTCCGGCTTCTTGGAGTACTTCCTCAGCTTCGTGAACACCTGGAGCATAATAATAATAATAATAATAATAATAATAATAATAATAATAATAATAAGTGCATTTATAATGCGCCACATTCCATTCACCAAGTGGATGCTCATAGCGCTACACTATTATTACCCCAGTCAATGGATCAGTGAGCACTCGATTTTCATTCTCAGCTCCCTGGGGAGTATGCAACCCAAGCTGCCTGTGAGGCGCATCAGACACTGTATTACATAACTTTGACAAAGATCTGTCCAAATAAACACATTATCCAGAGGTGAGGTGAGATGAAATTGGGTTTAACTTTGCGTCCAAGATTATTGCACTTATATAGCGACGTGCATGCACGTGTGTGTGTGTGGCTGCTTGTACTAGTCCGGACTGATGCCGATTTATAGTGCTAGCTCACTGAGATACCATGTCGCAGTTTAACATGAATACCCAGCTCAGACACAGTATACTGACTCTGAGCTGACCAGTCCTTGTTTTAGCTCCTTAATGCCGAGCGCCAGACAGGGTAACAACAAGTACCATCTTTTAACATCTTTTGGTATGACGCGGCCAGGGATTAAACCCAGGACCTTTCGATCTCCGGGCGGACGCTCTACCACTAGACCATGGAGGCTGTCACATCCTATTCGGAGTATTCAGAGTCAATGTTAGACCATCTGTATTTTTTGTGTGTCTCATCTCCTGACTGTCCTAAAGTTCCATCCCACTCAAAAAAATAGAGGGAAAGACAAAAGAGTGCTTAATGTCCACCCATTTGCCTTAAATACATATCATCATCGACGTGAATTTGTTTCTGAAAATCTGAAGGTAATTCTGCCTATTCTTTTGTTTTCCCCATCTTTTATTCTAATGGTTAAGTTTTCCACGTTACAGCTCTCAAACTCGCAACCGATGCTCCTCAAATATAGCACAACACTGCACAACTTATAAGTTGTATTCTAAATCAAAGGCAGTTTGTTTTTTAATTTTCACTCATTTTTCCCTACATGACTAAGTACATTTGCTATAACAAATAGTGAGTATGATTAATGAGATTTGTATGTTTATTTTCTGGCAAGAAAATATATTTGCAACAGTGAAATAGAACACATGTTTCTATCAATTGATAACATGAAGTTACAATAAAGTTGTCATCTTGGCTTGGTGTAAACTTGTCTTACTTTATCCGGGAGACTGTTCTTGTCAAACTGAAGAAGTTTTTTCAGGAAGTTTGGATCTCCAAGCATCTGCTTGGCAGTTGACCAATCTGGTTTCTTCTGGAAGAGCACGCAGACTGCATTCATCACAGTCTCTACCAGCAGTGGGGGGCTTGAATACACCCTGGACAGCAACCAGGTCAGGGTTACAAACATATCATGACAGTCTTCTAGGTAACAAATATATGACAGTCTCCACCACCAGCAGAGTTAAAAACATATCATGCTAATATTGCTTTTCTAATACCCCCATTCCACTAGGTGATGCTCTTCTGCGCTCTACCCACTCTGAGGGAGCGCCATAGATCTCCTGATTTTTCGGTTATCTAGGGGCACTTACGATCTGATTACGTTCAGATAGCGCTCCTGTTGCGATCCAATAGCGATGTATGCTATCCAATAGCGACTTGAAGACTTTGGCAATCAAGTAGTTCTCTGATTACGACCTTTGCGATCAAGTAGTGCTCCGATGCCGATCTCGGCAATCAAGTAGCTATCTGACGGCATTCTTGGCAGAGTGCCACAGAACTTTGTGCAAGGAAGTCGACAGGCGGCGACCATGACGATCATGGAGATCAGTTAGAGATGAGAGAGCAATCCATTAACGCTTTTGGAGATTTTAGCGCTCAAATGGCGATCTATGGCGATTTGTAAGAGCGCCACAGAGTGACGCTTGGTGGAATGGGGGTATTACATTTGCAGTCATGCTAATTCAGTTGTTCTAAGGTACTTTACCTGATTTCTGCTACTGACGCTTTGTCCAAAGTTTCCAGGGAGTTGATGGCAGCTTGGAGTGCTGGCAGAACAGAGGCAAGGTCTAGCTGACATTCCTGAAATCAAAAAACATTTCTGGCTCTTAATTTGGCATGGAAAGATTAACCGTTTTGCAAGTTATGGCATTCGCTTCCCATATTGGACATGGACACTCCACCTGCATCCTGAAGTACCTACATCGGCGTAGTCCTGTACAATCTGCGTCTCCTTCTTCATGATGCCCTCCTCCTCCTCCACGATCTGCTGCACCTGCTCCACAGCATCCTGGTCCTTCTCCAGCTGCTTCAGCAACACCTCCGTGTCCTGCAATCAGGGTTTAGACAGAAGCATGAAAATCAACTACTCAGAATCCCGTCATACAGTGCTTTACTCAGACCAACAAATCTATTTTAACTGCTGGAACTTCTTCATGCAAGAACTGGGTACAAAGAATATATTATGTTCTTCCGTCAGGATGCAATATTCTTGGTTTTCTAAGTCCATTCTATACATTTGTGCATCAAGGATGCACATATCTGCATCATGTAAAACCCTGGTCATATATCGATGTATACCTTGAAAGCATGACAACATTTAATTTGCATGGTTTAGTGTGTCCATGTGGACCTGCTAACTAGAGGCTGTGGGGGGTTCACGGGTATATTTTAAAGTATTTTATTTGTTTGTCTGTTGTTTAACGCCACACTCAGCAATATTCCAGCTCTATGACGGCAGTCTGTAAATAATTGAATCTGGGCCAGACAATCCAGTGACTGACATCATGAGCATCAATCCATGCAATATTGGGATTCGATGACCTGCATCAACCATGTCAGCAAGCCTGACCACCCGATCCTGTTAGTCGCCTTTTTAAACAAGCATAATCGCCTTTTACGGATAGCATGGGTTGCTGAAGACCTATTCTTCAACAGATTTTCATGGGTCTTTTTGAAAATAACCTATGGACCCATATGACAGAAACAAACCAAAATACCTTCTTGTTATTGAACTGATACCCACTATTACCCCACTGAAGGTTAAATTCAAAATTCAATACAATCAAGCCTTCATATGACATAAGTCAGAGATAAAACCAATAGCATTCCTATTTCTGATATGATCTTTCTCCATTAACCCCTGTGGCTGCCTCCAGACAGTATGTCCTCACCCTGGCCTTCTCCTCAATCTTCGGCCCCAGGGACACTAACTCATCCTGCATCTCCCCGACCAACGAGTTGGCCTCCGACAGTTTGAACAAGCCGATCTGGAGACGATCTCTGGCAAACAAAAATACATTGTCAGTGATAACCAACTTGCTATTAATAAACTCCCTCTTGTTGTCAAACCTGTTATTCATTAATTCCTCCTTGTTGACTAACCAATCTGTTATTCATTAATTCCCTCTTCTTATCCAACTAATCTATTATTCTTTCACTCCTTCTTGTCTGGCCTAGCTATTATTCATTAAATCCCTCTTGTCTAACCAACCTGTTATTCATTAACTCCCTCTTGTTGTCCAACCTGTAACTGTTGTTCATGAACTCCCTCTTGTCTAACCAACCTGTTATTCATGAACTCCCTCTTGTCTAACCAACCTATTATTCATTAAATCCCTCGTCTAACCAACCTGTTATTCATGAACTCCCTCTTGTCTAACCAACCTGTTATTCATTAACTCCCTCTTGTCTAACCAACCTGTTATTCATGAATTCCCTCTTGTCTAACCAACCTGTTATTCATTAACTCCCTCTTGTTGTCCAACCTGTAACTGTTGTTCATGAACTCCCTCTTGTCTAACCAACCTGTTATTCATGAACTCCCTCTTGTCTAACCAACCTATTATTCATTAAATCCCTAGTCTAACCAACCTGTTATTCATTAATTCCCTCTTCTTATCCAACTAATCTATTATTCTTTCACTCCTTCTTGTCTGACCTAACTATTATTCATTAACTCCCTCTTGTCTAACCAACCTATTATTCATGAACTCCCTCTTGTCTAACAACCTGTTATTCATGAACTCCCTCTTGCCTAACCAACCTGTTATTCATTAACTCCCTCTTCTCTAACCAACCTATTATTCATGAACTCCTTCCTGTCTAAACAACCTATTATTCATGAACTCCCTCTTGTCTAACCAACCTGTTATTCATGAACTCCTTCCTGTCTAACAACCTGTTATTCATGAACTCCCTCTTGCCTAACAACCTGTTATTCATGAACTCCCTCTTGCCTAACCAACCTGTTATTCATGAACTCCCTCTTGTCTAACAACCTGTTATTCATGAACTCCCTCTTGCCTAACCAACCTGTTATTCATTAACTCCCTCTTGTCTAACCAACCTATTATTCATGAACTCCCTCTTGTCTGACCAACCTGTTATTCATGAACTCCTTCCTGTCTAAACAACCTATTATTCATGAACTCCCTCTTGTCTAACCAACCTGTTGTTCATGGACTCCCTCTTGTCTAACCAACCTGTTGTTCATGAACTCCCTCTTGTCTAACCAACCTATTATTCATTAAATCCCTCTTGTCTAACCAACCTGTTGTTCATGAACTCCCTCTTGTCTAACCAACCTGTTGTTCATGGACTCCCTCTTGTCTAACCAACCTGTTATTCATGAACTCCCTCGTCTAACCAACCTGTTATTCATGAACTCCCTCGTCTAACCAACCTGTTATTCATGAACTCCCTCTTGCCTAACCAACCTGTTATTCATTAACTCCCTCTTGTCTAACCAACCTATTATTCATGAACTCCCTCTTGTCTGACCAACCTGTTATTCATGAACTCCTTCCTGTCTAAACAACCTATTATTCATGAACTCCCTCTTGTCTAACCAACCTGTTGTTCATGGACTCCCTCTTGTCTAACCAACCTTTTGTTCATGAACTCCCTCTTGTCTAACCAACCTATTATTCATGAACTCCCTCTTGTCTAACCAACCTATTGTTCATGAACTCCCTCTTGTCTAACCAACCTGTTGTTCATGAACTCCCTCTTGTTGTCCCTGAGCATCTTGGAGTAGAGCCTGATGAGCTCCATGTAGCTGCTGGGTGTGGAGTAGTAGCGGCGCCTCATCTCCAGCCAGTACTGCCCCGCCTTGTCCGTGATGCTCTTGTGTATCTCCACACACGTCTCCGCCACTCGCTCCTGGAGAACCTGCAGACATCATGGTGAGTCACAGATTCTTTCCATGGCCAAACCAGGATTTTACATATCAGTTTCATGTTTTTACAGATTAAGCCGGGGGCATGGGTGGCCCAGTCGTCTAAGGCACTGCGATTCACTGTGCAGAGTTGCGTCCCTTGGGCACGCCAGAAACCTATGATTGTGGGTTCGAATCCCGGTTCGCCCCGATTATGTTTCTAGGTTTGTCAGCACCATACCCGTGCTCATGGGTTTCACCGAAGTGGCAAACGTCTGATACCTGCATCACTTCGAGCTTTCCTCCCACATTAAGCTGACACGCCGTGATATAACTGGAATACTGATAAAAGCGGCGTTAAACACAACTCACTCACTCACTACAGATTAAGCCATTCCAGGATAACATGCATCACTTTTGCAGCTTTATAAAGGCTGAACTGTTCATAAAGAAGCCACATCGTGGAATAGACATTCCATCACTATTATGTAAAGAAAAGAATTAGTAACAATATCTCAACTGAAGTTTGTAGAACACATCCTCACCTCGAGATCATACTTGGGGTTGGCTATGAACTCTGTGTCCTGGAAGAAGACCTGGGCCACACTGAGCATAGCTTCATCCGACCACTCATCATACCAGTCGATGGTGCAGCAGTTGATGAGGGCGGGGTTCATGCGGCACCGCTGGCGGAATATCCCCCCGGCCGGACTCATGGTGAGGACCACATGGAGGTTCCTCCTCACTCTGGAGATGAAGAACTGATACACAGCGGTGCGGGTGTCGGGGATGTCAGCCTCGGACGCCGCCCCCTTCAGGTCCATGTTGATGCCATCCAGTTCCTCATTGTCAAACAGGTCCGGTACCTCGCCCGAGTTCAGGATGCAGTTGATGTCTTCTAGGAATGTTTCCTGGAAATGTATTTATGTATGCACTCAGTCATATTCCAGCTAAATGACGGTCTTTAATCCAGCCACCACCAGACAAACCAGTGATTGATGTTATGAACAACATTAAACACCATCTGGGTATGAGGATCAAACATACTGAGCACGACCACTCCAAACATTAAGGTCACTGGGCCTCTGTTCTAACCTGGAGTCACCATGGGGTGTGAAACAAAAGTATCAGTCTCAGTCTAGCATGGATTACCTTGACAATGTCCGAGTCAGTCAGCAAGAAGGCTGTGTTGATGCCCTTCACACCGCTCTTGAGGAACACCTTCTTGAGGTCGTCCCGGAACTCAGGGATGCTGTATGTCTTGTGTAGAGAGAGGCGGAAGAGCTCACAGTTGGCGATGTGGCTGGCCAGATGGATGATGGTGGACTTCCCTGTCCCATCCAGACCCACCTGTAGGGGGAGACACAGACATGGGCAGGTGTTGGTGTAGAGGGTACTACAGAAATGTAACCAGGTACCTTTCTGTATACAGTAATATACCATGACAGAATCTGTAATACAAAATTGTACCTCATATGGCATTAAAGTGGCTACAACTCCAATACAGCCATGGATGATTGAACTGCAGTTTGGCATACTGGAAGCCCATTGGCTCCAGTACAGTGACAAGGCTAGGATACATTTCTTTAGTACCCCACACGTCAATAGGCCCTTCACAACAACAGATGTTATCAAGTCATGGAGTACTTTAAATAGAAAAAGGTAACCAATCCAGAAAGGACTTCTCACACCAATTCTTGTAGAACAGCTATGTCTGAATAGCATATCTGTTCAAAGGCATTCCTTGAAACTGACGACATGATACATCTTGATGAGTCAAGTTTTTAATGTATAGATTCCTTATCCGACACTCCTGTCCAAAAGGATGTCCTAGAGAGTTTCCTAGGAGGTGTCCTAGGGGGTGTCCTAGACTCACCAGCAGGAGATGGCCTCCTGGTTGTCGGAACACTCTTGCAGCTCGGACTATATGTTCCACTGCATCTTTGAAGAACACAAGTTTGGAAGCCTACAAATAAAAAAAGCTGTTAATATCAACAAATCTAATGTGATACCAAAATACTGGTAACTGGAACATTTTATAGAAAATACTATTAAGCTTCCTAAATAGTACTAAACTGACAGGCAAAAGTCCACTTTAAAAATAAGATTGCAAAAATTTAAAAACACAAGTTCAAACAAAATCAATGCAAAACACATTGTCCAAACACAACAATGCTTTAAGCAGAAAATGATACTCATCCATAGCACGATTTTTTGGTAGAAAATGCAAAAAAGTGAAAAACATGTGCTACATGGGCAGCTATAACTACACATGTAATAAGGGTATATAAGTTATACAGATGGCATGTCTGACACTCACACTGATGAAAAACACGAAAGAAATGCCAGGACTGACAACCAAACAAAGCAAGTGGGCCCTGGGAATAATACAGATGGAAGCCACATTGCTAGAACTTTTGGTTGCTCCCGTGTTGCTGTAACTAACTTATGCAACGTTACAGACAGACTGGGCACAGATCAGACAGGCCAAGACCAGGCAGACCCAGGGTAACTATGCCCAATGAAGACCGGTACTTGCATACATTGCATCTCCGGCATCGATTCCTGACAGTGACGAATGCCTTAGGGCATATGATTAGTCGACAGACAGTGGCCAGGTGACTCAGGGCTCAAGGAATTAGGGCTTACAGACCTTACAGAGGATTGATTGATATGCCCAGACTGTACATTGTTGAGGACAGTTATTAACAGCGCAAGATTGATATGCCCAGACTGTACGTCGTTGGAGCAACATGACAGGCTAAGTGAGGGTCGTCTTTACTGATAAAAGTCGGTTCTGTCTGTTCACATCCTCCAGCCAACCGACAAGAACTGATCCTGGCCATCTAAGAAGAATGGCGACATATCCCACATGACGTCATCAGAAGACTGACTTTTTCTGAGCACCAGAGTGTTTTTGCGTGTCTTGTAGCAGGGGGTAGTCATACACGCTAATAATATGATGTGTCAATGAATTTGAGCGACTTTAGATGGGTGTGCCCTTTGTCCTTTACGTTAAAAGCTTGTTTTTGCCGCCCAACCTCAATTCAGGCAAATGTCATGCCAATATCAGATGCTGTATGAATCTTATATTAAATGTGATTTCGTTGAGATTTTGATGTTTTCCATACATTTTACTTGATGCATCTATCTTTTGTGGTTTGTAAACCAAATTGATTTCAAACTATGGTAAAGTTTCTTTTTAGCTAGTTTCGTTTACTTCAGCTAGTTTACTCCAAGAAAACAACACATAATGTTCCTGCATTATGACATGGCAGGCAATACTTTTTATGTAGGACATACCTAAACTACAGAAACATTCCTCCTCACATTTAATTCCTGCAGATGATGAAATTCACAGTGTTTTCATCTTGTTTTACTTTAAATATCCCATATACAAAGTTTAACTATTCATGCATATGTGAATCATATCTGTCACATCTTGAACAGTTTGTTGAAAAGAATTATCATATAAAAAAGTACACCTGTTTAAACACTGGATGAAAATCAAATAATGAATTTACTGTGGCCTAAAAATGAGCAGAATTTTCATGCAAGTGTTTGAATGCCTGATATATCCCTGCATTACTCCCTCGACTGAAGATCAATTGATATTGATGCTATTTATTTCTTTTACAGAGAATAAACCATTTTAAAACATGTTTACTGCATCATTCCACTTGAGTACATCGTCGGCAAGGACCTGTGACAATCTAAACAAACCAAAGACATGAACACAAAAGCCGTTGGGTTCACCTTGGTGTTGCCAGAATTGAGAGTCATGTACTGCTCTTCGAGGACCCTGGTCAGCTTGGCCCGGTCAGTGAGAGGTTTGTACACTCGCTGGATCGTCCCATCATCCATGTCCGAGAAGTCCCCAAACAGGACACTATCGGTCATCAGCTTCTCTGCTGTCCATGTCACCTACAGCAGGATTTAACACAGTCACTTGAGCAAACTCTTCAGCTTTCTATACATAAATCAAATATTATCACAGAAACCAGACCTGTTTTCCAAGTATCAGTAAACATTATGATTATATTCAGTTTTTGTTTGTTGTTTAACGCAAAACTCAGAAATATTCCAGCTATATGACAGCGTTCTGTAAATAATCAAGTCTGGACCACACAATCCAGTGATTGACATCATGAGCATCGATCCACCAAGTTGAGATACGATGACGTGCATCAACAAAGTCAGCGAGCCTGACCACCCGATCCCATTAGTTGCCTATTACAACAAGCATAGTCACTTTTTACGGCAAGCATGGGTTTCTGAAGACCTATTCTAACCATTCTATTCAGTTTTTAGAAACCATTGCAATGACAGAAACTAAATTCGAAAATGATTTAACCTTTCAGCAATAACAGATACAGATACCTTATATACTGAAACTCTACTAAGATCCCTTCAACATTGGGAAAACGTGCTTGACTTAGCAGCCTAGCTCTAACTTCTAACCCTGCATTGTAATTCAACAAGCAACCTGCTAGTTATAATTCAACATCAGGGAAATTATTTTGGGCCATTTCTATACCCGAATGAAAAATGGTATTAGCTATAAATCGAAGAATCATTGTAATATCCAAGCATCCATCTTGACACCAACCTTGAAGTAATCATGCATGTTGTCGGAGAGAATCTGGAAGAATACGAGGCGGTCATCGCTGCTGACCAGTCTGTCGTGGAACACCCTGGTGGCCTCGTGGGCCAGGAGCTGGGCACAGTTCTCCTTCCCCACGATCACCGACTCATGGGCCTGCAACAGCCCCTGGATCACCTGCACAGACATAGGACAGCCTTAGACATTTAACTCTGGTCCAAAGGAATGTGTGAACCTTATTTGACTAGTCCTCAGAATTTGTAGCTAGTTCTGTTAAAACAAGACTAACATGATAACCATGACTACATTTTCTGTCAGTTTTATTCAGTTCTGAATCATTGACAACTGCAATCTCATTAAAATCAGATCAAATCAAAAATCTGAGACATCCCATTCAGGGTCACGTCAGACCGACTTTTGCACGAACTTTAACCGACCAATGGAATGACCAATCAGAGGGCAGCTTTCTTGTGCTTTACGGCACTAATTTCAAATTGGCGACTACGCTTTGAAACATATTTTGACAAATTTGAAACCTGAACAAAACAACATCCTGGAATGGCTAATATATGGTCTAGATTGTATGGATACAGTCATTAAACCCGTAACTATCGTTCAGAGTTAAAGTTTTCGAGGCTGCATGTTCAGAAATCACATTCCGACTGTCACTTTCATAATCTGGTAAGCGATGCTCTGATTGGTTGGATGAAAGGTCATTCTGACGTGACCCGTCATGGGATGTCCTCAGATCTTTGTTTAGCGGTAGCGAGAACTGAGGTCTGATTTTAATGAGATTGTGACAACTGGTTCAGAATAATAATCCTCAAATGCCGCGAGGCAATTGTTGTCTGCCATCATTGAACAAGCACAAGCATCAGCACAAGCTGGTAGTTTGTAAGGTAGGAGACGAGTGTGAACTTCAAAGGCTGGAGGAGGAGACAGTGAGTCCATGTTGTTTTACGCCTCATACAGCAACAGTTTTGGAACCAGGGGATGGGGACAGTCGGGATGGTGGTTCATATGTTGTGACCACTCCCACCTCCTTTTCAGGCCTCAAAGCTGCGACTAAAACGGTCACCATTTCAATTTGTCTACTGTCTAAACTGTAGACACAAAATAAGTAACAGCTGATCATGGAAACCACATCTGCTAATAATTGTACTCGCGAATAATTCCTCCTAAAATCGACAATGAATCGAAATACGAAGCAGTAATTGTCCAGAAGGTGGATATCCAGAAAAAAACAGGATCCTTGCTAATGAGGTTTCAATGTATGATGTACTGAACAATCAATCAGTGCACAAAATTTTACTTAAGATACCGTATTCGACGTAATAAGCGCCCCTCTCTAATAAACGCCCACGGCAATATTTGCTAATATATTGGCTAGTGAACAATCCCAATTAGCACCCCTTCCGATTGATTAATGTACACAAGACTTATTTATTCACGTATAATACGCACTCGTTATATGCACACTTAATTATGGGCAATTAAATTCGGGAAAAATATATCTGTCGTACATAAACATTTCAGGCTGTCAGCATAAACCAAGAAATTTATCTTTCAACTCAACTTTTTTTTCACTAAAGTGATATTCTAATTTTGAGAGCGACCTGGGCACTTATTACGTCGAATACGGTAACTAAAATGAAAAGACACTAAAAGACATATTGTGCATCATCAGAAGTAGACAGTAAAAACCTTTACACTTAATACCAAAGCTTGTAGTGTACCTTGGAGAGATCTCGGATATTGAACGTGTAGTGCGACTTGGTGGGCGTCGGCAGCATGCTGCTACACATGCGGTAGTAGACAGCGATGCTGGCCGAGACAAGCGGAAACAAGCAGTCCGTGACCTCTGGCATGAACTCTCCGTCCTGGAGGAAGCGGCCCAGCTGGACCTGGTAGATGTGTTGCAGTGACCGTGTGGACGGCGTCGGCAGTGCCAGGATGCTACAGACAGATACGCAGTGCAGTGTGACGTGCAGTGGGGAAAAACATGCCTTGACTAGCCCAACTAAAACTAGGGATGCATCGTAATAGTCCATTGCCAGATGGCAGTACAAGTTAAAATGACACCAGTTAGTTTGTTTGTTGTTTAAAGCCGCACTCAGCAATATTCCAGCTATATGACAGCGGTCTTTAAATAATCGAGCTTGGACCAGACAATCCACTGATTGACATCATGAGCATCGATCCACGCAATTGGGATCGATGATATGCATCAACCAAGTCAGCAAGCCTGAGCTACCGATCTCGTTAGTCGCCTTTTACGACAAGCATAGTCGCCTTTTACAGCAAGCATGGGTTGCTGAAGACCTATTCTACCCCGGATCTTCACAGGTCGATACCAGTTAGCTTTGATGAAGTGTCACACTGCTGATAGCATCGAAAGATGAAATAAGAGGAAAGAAATATTGCAAATCATTATGTTGTCCATTCATTTCCCTTGACAGAACAACCTGGCATGTAGACCCATTGTGATCAAACTAGATGCATTGCCATCTTCCATGGATCAAGGGAAAATATCAATAGTTCAACGTCAATGTTGTTTTTCACTATCCATAGAATCGATAGATTAATAAAATTAAAAAATACTGTTAAACATTTACATTAACAATTTCATGAAAACACTATGTTTGAAACGTCATGATGGTATCCACGTTGTATAAATCATCGAAATGGTTAGCTACAGTCCTAGGCACTCTCGTCTCTGCAAACATGATCTCTTTAAACGTGCTCCAAGCTATGCATCTTAGTTCTCGCTACAGCTAAACAAAGATCTGAGGACATTCCGTTAGGGGTCACGTCAGAACGACCTTTCGTTCGACCAATCAAAGCGTCGCTTACCAGATCATGAAAGTGACAGTCGGAATGTGATTTCTTATCACGCAACATCGAAAAGTCACGGGGTATTCCAAACGATAGTTACAGGCTTAACGACTGAATCCATACACTCTAGACCATCCATTAGCCATTCCAGAATGTTCTTTTGTTCGGGTTTCAAATTTTTAATCAAGAACTTGTCAAAATATGTTTCTAAGGAAAGTTGCCAATCTGAAATTAGTGCCGTAAAGCATGGGAAAGCTGCCTTCTGATTGGTTAATGTTGACTTCTTGTCAGTCATTCCATTGGTCGGTCCAAGTTCGTGCAAGGTCGGTCTGAAGTGACCCGTAATGGGGTGATCTTTGTTTAGGGGTAGCGAGAACTAAGATCTGATTTTCATGAAATTGGCATACACCTGCAATGTGTAGTGAATTCTTGGAAATCAAAATATCCTCACAACAGTCATCACATTACTCATGCAGACAACATTGAAGACAAACATTGCAAATGAAGCAGAGGTGATGAAAGGTCGTCACTAATACCTAGCTGTGTACATGTGTGAGCCAGTGAACACCTACCAGAAGTGTTTGAGGAGACGCGGACTGGTTGGGTTCCGACCACCCCCCGGGGGACCACACGCCGCCACCAGCGTCACATCGAGGATGTCCTGAAACATAGCTTACCTTACATTTGTTTGTTTCCTGTTTAACGCCACAGTCAGCAATATACCAGCTGTATCATGACAGCCAATAATTAATAAAAAGTCTTTTGTTTAGTTTGTTTGTTTTTTAACACTGCATTCAGCAATATTCCAGCTATATGACGGTGGTCTGTAAATAATCGAGCCTGGACAAGACAATCCAGTGATTGTATCATGAGCATCGATCCACAGATACCATGACATGCATCAACCAAGTCAGAGAGTCTGACCACCTGATCCCGTTAGTCGCCTTTTACGACAAGCTTAGTCGCCTTTTATGGCAAGCATGGGTTGCTGGAGACCTATTCTACCCAGAATCTTCACGGGTCTCCTTCCTTTAGTGCCGAAGTAAACAATATTTCATCTATATCAGAGAGACCTGTGAATTATCAAATCTGGACCAAGCACTCCACAAATTAGGAGCACAATTACATGGAAAACAACCAAGTCACTATAGCTTACCATCCGATCCATCAAATCACTTCAATCAATAATAGGATGCTGAGGAACATCTTTATCCCACAGGGTCACTATTCTTGAGCTGGGCAAGGCATACGAAGATGACTCAGTGTTGGACATAGAAGTTCCAACAGTGAGTGAGTTGGGTTTAACACCGCTTTTAACAGTATTCAAGTTATATCACGGCGTGTCAGCTTAATGTGGGAGGAAAGCCCGAAGTGGTGCAGGTCTCAGACGTTTACCACTTCTGTGAAACCCACGAGCACGGGCATGGTGCTGACAAACCTAAAAACATAATGGTGGCCGAACCAGGATTTCAAACCCTCAATCATAGGTTTCTGGCGTGTCAAGGGATGCACCTCTGCACAGCGAATCGCGGTGCCTTAGAGGACTGGGCCACCCGTGACCCCAGTAGTTCCTATAGCTAGTATCACACAGCATACCTTCCATGTGAGTTTCTTGGTGTCGTAGAATCCCCCACACTCCAGGAACTGGCGGAGCAACTCCAGGGGAGGCTGGGCTCCGTACTCCTCCGGCGCCGGCATGTTCAGATCATCCACAAACACAATCACCTGGTCAAAACATAAATATCACTCTTAAAAATCTGCCGCAGATTAAGTTTAATTTTCCTTATATGAATTCCAGTGACAACTTATTGTCATAATGAGTTCCAAAGAATTAGTTAAAGCCCTACCTGCATCTGTATAAACAAAATGAACATGCTTAGCCTTTAATTTAGTGAACTATAAGAGCTTTATTTTTATGAATAATAACTATAACTATTATTACTATTAAAAAATTCAGAGTTTGTACATTTTTTAATTTTTTTATATATATTTTTTTAGACATTATTCCCATTTTTTTGTTATCATATTCTCAAAACAAAGCAGCTGCCACATCAGTGTCATGTATATGTCATTTTCACTGTTATGTATTTATGTGTATTTAGTGTATCAAAGGCTTGTGGCCCGTGAAGATCTGGGGTAGAATAGGTCTTCAGCAATCCATGCTTGCCGTAAAAGGCGACTATGCTGGTGGTAAAAGGCGACTAACGGGATCGGGTGGTCAGGCTCGGTGACTTGGTTGATGCATATCATCAGTTCCAATTGCGTGGATCGATGCTCATGTTGTCAATCACTGGATTGTCTGGTCCAGACTCGATTTTTTACAGACCGCCGTCATATAGCTGGAATATTGCTGAGTGCGGCGTTTAACAACAAACCAAACCAAAATCAAAGGTTTGTCGTTGTACACGCCTATATGTCTTTACATGAAAAGGAATGTACAAAGCAGGACACTTTAATAAAATCTTCTTCATCATTCTGCTAAATAAAAAAACAGTAGTCTTTTTTCATATTCAGCTCCATTGGGCATGAAGAAGGACGGTTGGATTATTGTGAAAAAATAATACTTATATTGTTTGTTGATTTACGCAGCAATCGGCGATATTCCAGCTATATGATGGCAACCTGTAAATAATCAAGTCTGGACGAGCCAATCAAGTGATCGATATTTTAGCAACGACCACCACCATCAGGGTATGATGACAAGCAATCCACCAAGTGACGGAGCCTGACCAACCAATCCTCTTGAGCCTCTTACCACCAGCATAGAATGCTGGGGACCTATGATTCTAACCTGGAATCGTCACTGAATTACAATGTTTAAATTGCAGCAGGCTTAGTATTTCTACAGACATGTATATGCGTTTTCTGAGAAGCCTTGTTCTCTTTGAAAGAGGATTGCAGTTGCCAGAGACTACACACAATGCATTTGATCAGTTATAGAAACTTTATTATTGTACGATTTTTGTAGTTTGTTTTCTATCTTTTTCCCTGATTCATCAAAAATGGGACTCTCAAAAAGAAAAACAAGTTTAAACTATTTTTATTTTATTTTATGATTATGGCTTTTGGCTCCGTTGACTCCTGAAACCCCAAAATTTTGCCTAATTATAAGGACCGCCTCCATGGTCTAGTGGTAGAGCATCCGCCCGGAGAGTGGAAGGTCCGGGGTTCGAACCCCGGACGCGTCATACCAAAAGACGTTAAAAGATGGTACTTGTTGTTACCCTGTCTGGTGCTCGGCATTAAGAGGCTAAAACAAGGACTGGTCAGCTCGGAGTCAGTATACTGAGTCTGAGTAAGGTATTCATGTTAAACTGCGGCATGGTATCTCAGTGAGCTAGCACTATAAATCAGCATCAGTCCGGACTAGTACAAGCAGCCACACACACGCACACACACTTGCATGCACGTCGCTATAAAAGTGCAATAATCTTGGACGCGACGTTAAACCCAATTTCACCTCACCCCACCTAATTGTAAACAAACCTTCCTTCCTTTGGGTGCTCCCATGGATTCTCTCCCCTTCTTGATGAGCTTGTGCATGATCTGTGCCTGCAGTTTGGCTGAGCTGGTCTGAGCACTGAACTGCACTGTAGTGCTGAGGATGCCAGTGCTTATCTTGGGCTTGGTAGTTCCCAGCAAGGCATCCATACTCTTGCCATCATCATCGTCACCGAACTTGGTCAGCGCGCTGATGTTCTCCAGCAGCGAGGTGTTCTTCTCCGAGTAGTTGAAAACACTTCCGAGGATGGTGCCGTTCTTGAACGAGGTGCCACCATCTTTCTCCAGGCGTTTTAACATGTAGTCAATGATGGCAGACTTCCCCACACCAGAATCACCTTTGGGGGGGGGGGAAATAGGAATATTCTAATACACATTTATTAATTATTCTTGCGTCTCCAATGGTTGGATTGATTGATTGAGTATGGTTTTACGCCACTTTTAGCAATATTCCAGCAATATCATGGCGGGGGACACCAGAAATGGGCTTCACACAATGTCCCCATGTCGGGAATCGAACCCGGGTCTTCGGCGTGATGAGCGAACGCTTTAACCACTAGGCTACCCGACCGCCCCCCAATGGTTGGAGGATAGTTTTCATGTTTCATCTTGAAAGCAACTTTTTCTTTCGTTTTATCCTAAAAAGTCAAAGCCGATCATTTGTCTAACATGATAATGAATATTCTTTTCTGTGATCTTTCAGTTTTGACATGAAAATGATACGAGGAAGATTTTCAACTTAACCAAAACTTGATTCTCCGTCTTTTCATGCATGTTAATAATAAACTCCCACTAGGTCAGTCAGAAGTTGCCCTGAGTTCAAAATCACATTCGGTTTGTCCAGTAGGACATCCACCCCATATTAGAACTGGTTTAATGCATGTGACTACTGTAATTCTTGAAATTAACGCGAGTGGAAATTAAATGCGAAAAATGTGAGTTTTCTTTGCTCGCTTTAATTAACTTCGCATTTATATCTCCAAAATGACTATCAACAATAAGACGGCCTCACTGCACACTTTGGATAGTGGAAATACCAACTTGAATATAAACACGAACACGGTTTATTTAGCAGCAGTTGTAACACGTACATAACAATATCATTTAAAGAATGGGAATTACACAATAGGCATCAGGTGAGTTATCACTGCTGGGGTCAAGAGTTCTACCCACTCATGTCAAGCTTGTTGACACCTTCTCCGCGTACCAGTCAGTGAAATGGTGTTGGTTCAAATTTTATTGCCTTTGAACTTCCTTAATGCCAGTCAACAGAGTAAACATATAAACTGTGTGTTGTTTTTAGGAAAACACTGTTTATTGTTTTAACGGAAGTGCTCTTCTCAGTGCTAATAAGTGCTGCTATTTGCTGTTTGATTGGATTAAAGTAAGGATATGTCTCATTCCACTGGGAATGGGTGGGGGGAGACACATTGATATTGAGTCACATTTTTGGCTAGGGGTCAGCAGTCGTATTAATTTGGAGACGCATTAATTTCCAGATTTACAGTATCACATGACTCACAAAACCCGATGGCAGTCATGAATCTACTATGAATGTTAAAATAATTCTGTTAGTTAGTCTTCAAATTTAAACGTATGCCTAATTTCCATTAATCAGAGAATAACCTGACTTCGAAAATGGACATTGTGTTACATGGACAACACATGGCAACATCTGACAGAACATGGCATACAGTGAATTCTATCACTACTCCATTGCTGCTTGATGTATTCTACTCAAAAGAAGTAAAACAACACCCATTTTGTCACAGGAATATAGTTAATGTGTCATGACAAGGTGTGCCTTACTTCTTTTGAGTAGTATATTATGTAGGTAGCAGAATAAGTCCACCCAAGTGCTGATGAGAGTGAACAAGGATTAATGCAGTTTCTTACTGTTTTTCAGTTACAGAGCTTATTATTTCACCTTACATAGAAGACTAGTTTCTGATTGGTTAAGGAACAGGCAATTATTTTCCTTGCAGCTCGCTTACAGGGGGGGTAGACATTTCATGTATCCCCCTGAGAAATTAATTGGATCACATCTTAGGTAACTTGGCTATCTGACAAAAGCATCGTTGAGTTTCTGACCTGAATTCATGTTCAGGTGAATGCATTTGGTAAAGGGAAGTAACTCAGTTCATTTGTGTCGTCTGCTACAAGTTTTGCTAACTCTGAAACTGTAGACATATATTCTGGACCTGTATGAATGAATGTTGCTAAGATGTAATTGGTGCCAACGGTATGGTGTGATGCACCTGTGCACATCAGATACCCCTCGAGATCAATTGACAACTCATAAGGCTTAAAAAAATAAAATAATTGGTTCTCAGGCTTTTGAAAATACAGTGTGGGCGGGTTAATTATTTATTTTTATTATTTTTGTTTTTTGTTGTTCAAACAAGTATGTAACCAAATAAATGGATGTGTGACCAAATAAACAGTTGTTGGAAAGGGCCTCCCTACATAAATGAACTGGAATACAGTATTTGACTACTGTTGGACTCAATATACAAGGATTTTTTTAATTTTTTTTAAAAATGGAAATAAAAATGAAAAATGTTACCACTTCTGTGAAACCATAAGCACAGGAATTATGCTGACATCTACATCCATTAAGTCACCTAGTATGACAAGCACAGGCTGCTGGGGACATATTCTAACCCAGATTCCGATATGGCCTCCTACCTGTGAGCAATACAGGATGCTTGTTGGTCAGGAGGAGGCCGGTCAGGAAGGAGAAGCGGACAATGTCCACTGTGGACACAATCTCGGCCTCCTTCGGCTCATGTGACTTCTTGTGGTCAGTTTGAATTCCCATGGTCTCTCCGATGGTGATGACTGCACCCTTCTCTATGAGTGAGCGGGTTGAAGGGATGAGTGCATCCCACGCCACAAAGTTCCCTGACTCCATGTCGAGGAAATAGCTGAACACACTTCTGTTTCCTGCAGGAAGTCGTACACCTGCAAAAGGGGAAATGTAACAAGGTTGGTTGGTTTGTTGTTTAATGCTGCACTCAGAAATATTCCAGCTATATGACGGCGGTCTGTAAATAATCAAGTCTGGACCTGACAATCCTGTGATTAATATCATGAGCATCGATCCACGCAATTGGGATCGATGACATGCATCAACCAAGTCAGCGAGCCTGACCACCCAATCCCGTTAGTCGCCTCTTGGGACAAGCATAGTCGCCTTTTTCAGCAAGCATGGGTTGCTGAAGACCTATTCTACCCCGGATCTTTATGGGTCTAAAATGTAACAAGGAGAGAAATAGTTCAATATCTTTCATCATACCTCCATGTCAGAATGAGATCTGATTGGTTCACATGATCTTGATAAAATACTGTGTAACCCGCCTTGGAGGGGAATAAATTTCTCAGCAGGGAATAAATCTCTTATACCCGGCCATGAGCAATACAGGCTGCATGTGGATTTCTCAGAGGTAGAATAAATCCCTTATACCCCGCTTCAAAGCAAACTTTTGAATTTGTGTTAATTCGAATCTTTTTACAATGTCACATTTAAAACATGTCGGTAAGATAAATTTGTTGTAGCAGACACCATATTTGGCATATTAAACACCCTGCTCCAATAAACGCCCCTGGACCAACCGGTAATCTTTAGTTAAAAAAAAAATTATATTTAAGTTAACGTTACAGATCATGTTGAAATGGACAGCTTCATGCTTAGCCATAAAACACGCAAAATTCGGAAATCTGAAAAGTTTTGATGTGGTTTGGTTTAGTAACCTAAATGTCTATTTCATCCTAACTGCTTCAGAATGTTCCACAGGAAAACAGACTCACCGAGAGGAGGTTCAATCTCAAAGAGTTCCCTCATGAAGTTGTCAAACTCGTTACAGATGTTGATGTCCTTGTCCACCTTGTCTGCGCCACGCCTGTTGACAGTGTCGTCCTCGTCGCTGTCCTCCTGTCTCCGCAGCGTGCCGCCCACACCCCAGGTGAAGCAGAAGACGAACAACTTCCCCAGGAGGTTGAACAGCTGACCGGGACTCTTCTGCAGGTAGTACTGCTTGGAACTGGAATCACGGATGTGTGACAATCATCATCATCATCATCATCATCATCATCGCCATCGCCATCGCCATCGCCATCGTCATCATCATCATCATCTTCACCATCACCACCACCACCATCATCATCATCATCATCATCATCATCAATCACACGTGAATACACAAAGCCTCGGTGAATTGGTTCCAGCAAGAGGGAAGCAAGAGAGTACGCAGACTATGGCATATCAGCCGTAGGTACCCATGGGTGATGGAGGAACATAGTGTATACACCGGCGATGGGGTAGCCTAGTGGTTTGAGCGTTTGCTCATCACGCCGAAGACCTGGGTTTGATTACCCACATGCGTACAATGTGTGGAGCCCATTTCTAGTGTCCACAGCCGTGATTTTGCCGGATTGTTGCTAAAAGCAGCATAAAACCATACTCACTCAATCATAGTGTATACACACCAGTGAAGTATTCATGATTCTTAACTCTGCAATCTCATTTTGTCATGGAATTCATGTTTTCCCAACAAATTGCATTAATATATAATTAATGCAGTATCCATCCCTCCTAGCCAAAAAGCATATTTCATTTTCAAATTTGTGATGGGGAAAAAACAATCAAGAAAAGTGCTCATGCAGAGTGAGTGAGTGAGTATGGTTTTACGCCACTTTTAGCAATATTCCAGCAATATCACGGCGGGGGACACCAGAAATGGGCTTCACACATTGTACCCATGTCGGGGATCGAACACGGGTCCTCGGCGTGACGAGCGAACGCTTTAACCACTAGGCTACCCGACCGCCCCTTGCTCATGCAGAGTGAGAAATCCAGAAGATTTTCAGGATCAAATACCATTTATCAATATTTTCAACCAATCAGATTGCTGCACACTCCTATTTAGGATGCATGATTATCCAGACCTATCATCCAGTAACTCACTTGTTGTTGACACCATCATCAGTACCGCTCACATCCTCCTTCACTTTGACAGAGCGTTTGGTTTTGCGTTTGCTTCGAGACGCGCGACTACCCTGCCCCCGCGAGGAACTGCGACTTGAGACCCTGCTCTCCTGGCTGGGGGGGCGTAGCTCTTCCTTGTCTGGAAACACACTTCATGTAAACTCTATGTTTGAAGATGTTACATGGTTCATATGATCCTCGAGCCACATTTTCAAGGCAATTATGAAACAGGAGAAGACAAGTTTATTCTGTCAGGCCACTTGTATCCAAAGCTACAGCATCTACATTCATAGGTGAAGCTCAGAGAGCGTGCATACACTGTACATTTCAAGGCCATTATCACAGTTTTCAAGACTAAAATTAAGGTGAGGTGAGGTGAAATGGGGTTTAACGTCTCTTCCAAGATTAGTGCACTTATATAGCGACGTGCATGCACGTGTATGTGTGTGTGTGTCTGCTTGTACTAGTCCGGACTGATGCCGATTTATAGTGCTAGCTCACTGAGATACCATGCCGCAGTTTAACATGAATACCCCACTCAGACACAGTATACTGACTCGGAACCGACCAGTCCTTGTTTTAGCCTCTTAATGCCGAGCGCCAGACTGGGTAACAACAAGTACAATGTACCATCTTTTAACGTCTTTTGGTATGACGCGGTCGGGGATCGAACCCCGGACCTTCCGCTCTCCGGGCGGACGCTCTCTGATTAAACCACAGAGGCGGTCCACTAAAATTAAGACCATAGCGTACATTTACCATATCTATTAAGACATTCTTTCTTGATTTCATTGTCAGAAGGGCTCCATCTGTACATCCAAATACACTGAAAATTATTCAAGTCCACACACTAGCATGGGTCTAGTTACGGACTAATCCCTTGTAACATGCTGTCATCATGCATTAAGCAAGAAAATAATTATTTTCATATGTTTATATGTAACAGCTGAGTTGATAATGGTTGCCAAGGTCAAGGCCTGTTCACAGTATTTTAAGTAATTTTAAGGCCTTTTTGTAGCTGGACTGGCTAAATAATGACCATTTCCATCCTGGGTGAGCCTTGGACAACTACTGCTACAGTGGAGATCTTGTGTGATTAGGATTAACTAAGTGAAATGGGAATTAAGAATTTCATTTTCATTTCTTGATCATGTACACAGGATCATTATCCAAACTGTTATATCGGTAAGTAACATATTTTGAAAGAATGTATTACCGCTAAGCCCTTTCAAAATATAATGACATACCAAAGACACAATTTGCTGTATAAATACTACCCCTGACAAAGGATGAAACGGATCTGAAGGCCTACCTGGATTACCAAACCCTCCATGTTTGTTCATGAAGTCCAGGTAGGCAGAGAGGATGTTACAGATGCAGGAGATGATGCTGAGCTCGGGCGTGGCCAGGACCTGGAAGCGCTTGTACTTGCGGAGGAACGACAGCCCCTTCTCTACACTGTGATCAAACAAGCCCTGCAGGTGACTCTTGCCACTCTCCGGCAGCTCTCGGGGCAGACGCTGGAGCCAGGTCTTGACAAACGGTTTCCAGCCCAGGTCAACGGGATCCTAGGGTGTCAGAGGATTGCCATGTAACTGTATTCTTATTCGAATCAATACAAACCCATGTAACTTTACCTTGACTGAATAGCTCACTAAGTGCAAGTTATTTTATGTCGCAGTCAGCAATATTCCAGCTATATCAAGACAGTGTCTAAATAATCAAATCTAGGCAAAGCAACCCACTGGTTGACAGCATTAGCAACCATTCATACCATTTAGGCACGACCACACACCATCAGCATCATCACATGTTGTGAGGACCATATCCTCACTGGCTGGGTTGACAAACAAGGGCAACTGCAGGCCCTTCTGCTCTAGAGTCAGGGTCAAGTCCAATAAAATGTACCGTATTTGACGTAATAAGCGCCCAGGGCGCTCTCAAAATTAGAAATAGGGGGCTCTTATTAGAATATTATTTTGGTGAAACAAAAACGAGTTGAAAGATAAATTTTATGGTTTATGCTGACAGCCTGAAATGTTTATGTACGACAGATATATTTTTCTAGAATTTAATTGCCCATAAATTAAGGGTGCAACACACGAGTGCGTATTATACGCGAATAAATAAGTCTTGTGAACATTGATCTATCGGAAGGGGTGCTAATTGGGATTGTTCACTCGCCAATATATTAGCAAATACCGCCGTGGGCGCTTATTAGAGCGGGGCGCTTATTACGTCAAATACGGTATTTGACATTCACAGGGGAATGAACAACATTGTTTGATTTTCAAATGTTTGCTTTCAATGAGATCTAAATATTTCTGGAATACTTAAACATTCATGGGAGACAACCAATACTTCTTTCAGTCACTTCAGTCTTCATTTGAAATGCTCATGTAGTCAAGCAAGTTGATCCCTAACTGTTGTCATTACATGTATTGCTAGACAACTGTAGGTCACATTGGTAACCAGTTCACAATTTTACGACAATTAGACAATTAAAATATAAAATGAGTTTCCAAACAAGGAGAACCCCATCAAATACAGCCATCTGACATGATGTTTGTTTGTTGTTTAGCTCTGCAATATTCCTGTCAATAAATTACTCTGAATCAGACAAACCAGTGATTGATATAATGAGCAATATTCCACACTTCAAAGTATGAAGACATGTAACTAAATCACTGAGCCAGACCATCTGATTCATTCGCCTCGTAAGATAAGCATAGGTTTCGGGGAACGAAGCCAGAATCCCCAGGCGCACATGAATCGAGAGATGGGAGCTACTCACCATATATACCATGGCACACCGACTGATGGTGGCCGGGCTGGCCTGGGACAGATTGTCCACCTCAAACAGGATCCTCATCCCTGGCGTCAGACTGATACGCTCGCCACTTGCCAGACACAGAACCTGTTGTGAAGTGTGAAGGAATGGTGTAAGCAGAAATTGAACTATTGGTTACAAATGGTATTTATGGTGATTACTGTGACAACAGTGATTTTCTAGCTGCCGACCATTGAGCTTTCGTCTCTATACAATTCACACAGTGCTGTCAACAACTCAAGGATCCATTTATAAATTCAGCATGGTTGAGTTTATTTCTACACTAACTGTCATCAGCATTATAGGATGAATAAGTTACAGGTGAGAACACCAACTCATTCAACCGTGTGTCTACAGGACATCTAACTCTCCCTACATGTACACCCACCTTGGAGTCATCCAGTACTGTGTTCAGATTCTCCAACCACAATGTGTCTACAGGACATCTAACTCTCCCTACATATACACCCACCTTGGAGTCATCCAGCACTGTGTTCACATTCTCCACCCACAATGTGTCTACAGGACATCTAACTCTCCCTACATGTACACCCACCTTGGAGTCATCCAGCACTGTGTTCAGATTCTCCAACCACAATGTGTCTACAGGACATCTAACTCTCCCTACATGTACACCCACCTTGGAGTCATCCAGTACTGTGTTCAGATTCTCCAACCACAATGTGTCTACAGGACATCTAACTCTCCCTACATATACACCCACCTTGGAGTCATCCAGCACTGTGTTCACATTCTCCACCCACAATGTGTCTACAGGACATCTAACTCTCCCTACATGTACACCCACCTTGGAGTCATCCAGTACTGTGTTCAGATTCTCCAACCACAATGTGTCTACAGGACATCTAACTCTCCCTACATATACACCCACCTTGGAGTCATCCAGCACTGTGTTCAGATTCTCCATCCACAATGTGTCTACAGGACATCTTACTCTCCCTACATATACACCCACCTTGGAGTCATCCAGCACTGTGTTCAGATTCTCCACCCACAATGTGTCTACAGGCCCATCCAGCACCAGCCACTGCCAGTCTGTCACAACTCCATCAGACAAGTCCTTCCTGTCACCATCTTCTGTCACTACTGTTGATGCATCAGCATCCCCAACTTGGCTCGAGGTCTCAGTTCTGTAACTTGTCTAGAACATCCACAAAACAGAATTATGAACATACATACACCATATGCAATCTCAATAAAATCAGACATTTCACTTCAATACAACAGATTACCTGATATGACCTCCTATGGAGGAATTGTCAGATCTTCTTCACGCAAGGAGGTATAATATCAGAGTCAAAAGATTGGATCATAATGAAATTGGTCCACATGTAAATTTGTTTCTGATGTCAAACTCAATAAAATCATATCTTAGTGCTCACTACTGCTACATAAAGATCTGAGGACATCCCATTACAGGTCATGTCAGAATGACCTTTCGCGAACTGTACTTCCCACAGACTATGAAAGGTCTTTCCCATTTCATATGTTTATCCCATTGAAGTGAGAGATAGATGATGATTTTGAAGGAATCAGTCGTACACATAATTGTCGTTCAGATTGTTTCTCATGTTAACCTTTTTGAGGTTGCATGATCAGAAAACTATCAGACTTTTACTTTCGCGATCTTGTAAGCAAAGCCCTGGCTGGTCAGACAAAATATCATTCTGACTAACCAGTAATGGGATCTCTTCAGATCTATGTGCACTAAGATATGATTTTCATGAGATTGTACTTTTGTCCCAGCATCTTTAAGCTAGCTTACATCATCTACCTGACAATGACACATTGTGATATGAGAAACCCATTCTATTGTATTCACCTGGGTGAGAGCCTCAGACACAGCCGTCATGGATGTTTCTGGGCGACTGTCCCGTCCGTCTTCCCCAGGAGGCACAGACTGCACACTCTTGGCAAACTTCCGCGTAGCTGATGCAATCAGACCGTCTGTCCACTCGAAGGTCACTGGGTTGGTTTCTCCGTACAGCTCACCAAGTTTCACACACTTGGGGTTAATTGTAAAAGTATCCACATGACCTTTCTTGGCTCGATTGTGCTGGAAATGTATACTGGACATTGCAGTCAAGTAAATCATTGGACACAGTCATTCATGTCACTAAATTTACAAAGAATAAAATATTAATTTGGTTTACTTTTCTGGTCACCAACTTTGTTATGAAATTGAAATGAGGGAGTAAATATTTAAAGTCACATCAGCAATATTTCCGCCATATCCATGACTTATGATTTTAAAAAGCCTGACTTCCTATCTATGGCATCTTAAACTTAATTGGGATATAAATAGGTGTCTATTACATAAATAGTGGTGGCTGACGACCAACAATTGTTTCTTTTTGCCTATGGAAGTACATGTATTCTCTGAATTTGATGACTCCCATATCCAGAACCTCTAGCTACCCCATCTTCAAAACAAAAGGGTTCAACTCCCCAACATGTCCTGATTGTTTCTAGGTTTGTCAGCACCATACCATGTTTTAGGGTTTCTCCAAAGTGGTAAATATCTAAAGCCTACATAACTTCGGACTTTAATCCACATGAAGCTGAACCGTGTATAACTGAAATACCCCAGGTACTGTTCATTGCTGTGTTAAACCAAACTCCTTACACTAACTCACACAGGGCAGCACCAGCAGAACCTTAACTCACTGTATAGTTCTGTTTCTTGGAACTGGAGTCTGGGTTGTTATCCTGCTGGGCAGAGATGGTGGGGAGAAGCACCAGAGCCTTCTGGAGGATGTTCCTGACCACGGACTTGCCGCCGCCGGTGGGTCCGACCAGCATGACGCCATGACGCACCATGATCTGACTGTGCAGCTGTTTAACCTTCTCGGTCTGGTTGGGCCAATGTTGTAGGCCTTGATCTCGGATAGCCATCGAGATGGCTTTCTGCAATGTTTTCATCAATAATATGAGCACTCCTTCATCTTCCCGAGGCAAGGGCGTTAACTCACTGTAAAAGTCCAGTTTCCACCCTTGCCGAACTACGCTGGAATTTTAATTTCCACCAGTGGCTATTATGAGTTATGTCCCTTTTATGTCCCTCCTATTGACCAATCAGATTCCATCTCTCATATCACTTGCATTTGCTTCAAACAAAATGGCAGCGTCAAGATGATCTGATTGATAATCAAGATATATTTTGCACCTTGATTCAAAACATGAAAAGTTTTGCAAATATCTGTCGACAACCATTTGATGCTTTGAAAATCCTACAGTGGACCGAAATCTGCACGTTAAAATCCATGTTGTCTACAAACAGGATGTCTATAGTTCGTTATGCGATTTTGATTGGACTATGCATAGACTCGGTAGTCCAGCCAAATGTAATTCCGGAATTCCTGTCTAGTTCGGCAAGGGTGGAAACTGGTCTTTCAATAGTTTCATAGTCAGTTAATGCCCTTGCCTCAGGAAGATAGGTCTCCTTATGGGTGGTTAGACTTCTTTACAATAATAAAGACTCAAGATCATAACATACGAGCAAGAAAAATAAATATATATACACTTAGTAAATGGCACAGAAGTTCAGCTGAATATTCTTGAAAATTTGCAACAATTTATTTGAAATTACGATCCTAAATCAAAATAATTTGTCATAAGTATTTACACAACAGACAATGTCTCTGAGTATATTGTCTATGAAGGTTCAAATGGAATCTTCAAAATGGCCGCCCTTGCTGGCCATCTTTAAAATTTTATCAAAATGTGTTGCAATGTTCTGTGGGTATATGAAGTTGAAATGTAAGTCAGACAAAAATCAAATGTAAAATATGTTACTGCACATCCCACATAATTAATCTATTAATAATATACCTCACTATAACAAAGAAAATAGTGAGGGCCACAAAGGACATTTTAATATGACAACCATGGTGTCCATGTTTGAAGTCAGATCAGAATTCTTTCAGCCAGTGTTAGATATTGCTTGGATCTTCAATGTCAGCACTAAAGGCTTAGTGTTTTCAGAACAGTATTACGATGGATGAACACAACTTCTAATTACAAATTATTCTACTCAAAAGAAGTTAAGAACACCTGAAGTTTTCACATGACGACAGTAAATCTGTCATGGCTGGCGGTTATTGAACACACAGCCTTCCAATGGTGGGTGTTCTTTAACTTGTTTTGAGAAGTATATCTGCATTGTGAAGGCTTAGAACATACAAAAATACATTCACATCCAACAGATAATCCAAGTCCTCCATCGCCCATATATTAGTCTCTAAATCGTTAAGGTGGTATATTATACAGTAAGCTACGGTCATAACGAACTCTAAGGGACCACTAATTTTAGTTTTTAAAACCGCAGTTTGTTCTAAACATATACAGAACATATATACAGCAAATTGATGGGACGAAAATACAGTTCTTTATGTCTGATAATTTGTTATAATCGTGTTCATTATATGTAAGGATAAGAATTTATGGATGAACAACTTCTTTATTACAACTAAGAGTGACGTTTAAGAGCAAGACGTGTTAGAACCTACACCGAAACGTCGCTCTTAATTGTAATAAAGAAGTTGTTCATCCATAAATTCTTATCCTTACTTAGTACTCCAACTTCTAAATGCCTATCAAAGAAGAAGTGTTCATTATAAATGAAGTTTACTGTATTTCAAGAGCACCACTATTTGTAACAGGAGTCAAAGGTCTGCCTTTCACTGCACGATAAAAGTGGGTATATGAACGTCAATTTTGCTGGACATTGACTTTGTAAATGATGCTATTGATAATGATGAGCTCATCGGCCATACCTCCAGGACTCCATGGTCCGGCTGCGGAGGGGTGATGCCGGGGAAGAGATCATCCAGGATGCTCTCAAACAGTGGCACATCCTCAGCCAGGAACTTGGGTAGATTGGCATCCCTGAGGGAGTGGATGAGGATGTGGGACTCCTCCTCCGCAGACAGCCTCCGGGCACTCCCGATGTCCCTGCAACATGGAGGTTCAGCACATCACACACCCACTGGGGATCTACATGATCAGTTACAGGGAATTACTGCAAGTAATAACAGCTGTGCACAGATCTATTTCAACTGTTATGATGTCTTAAAGATTTTGAAAAGTGCCTGCTTAGTAATTCTGTCATGAGAAAGTGAGTGAGTATGGTTTTACACTGCTTTTAGCAATATTTCAGCAAGATCACGGCGGGGGACACCAAATTTGGGCTTCACGCATCGTATATGTCGGGAATTGAACCTGGGTCTTTGGTATGACGAGCGAACGCTAACCACTAGGCTACCCGACCACCCAATTCTGTCATGACCCAATTCAAACTAGGTAGAACTTTCTCATGTTACATATACATAATGACTACTTCAACTGAGACCATATACCCTAGACTATATCAGAGGCAATTGCTCGGGTCATGTCTGAAGCATGAGCACTGACTGAGGTTGATAGCATGAACATCAGTCAAGGACATGCGCATGTGATGACCCACTATCAACCAGGTCACATACTGAGATCGTTATTTTATTCAACCTCTTACGACAACAAGATATGCAAAGGGCCTACTCTGCCCATGAATCCTCACAGGGTCTTGTAAGGGGACCAAGGATGTCAAGGTCATGCAACCCTGTGGTTGATAGCATGAGCATCCACACCACCAGAGTATGACGACACACTATCAGCCATGTCCCATGACCACCCTATCTTCCAGATGACCTGTTTCCAGGTTGTAAGGGGACCAAGGATGTCAAGGTCACGCAACCCTGTGGTTGATAGCATGAGCATCCACACCACCAGAGTATGACGACACACTATCAGCCATGTCCCATGACCACCCTATCCTCCAGATGACTAATATGACAACACGGATTCTAATGACCCACTCTGCCCCGAAATCATCATAGGACCTTGTTTCTTGAATGGACACTGACCTCTGTTGTGCGTGTCTGCGGCCATGACCTGCCATGACCAGTACCGACTTGATGGCTCTCATCCCGAAGTCGTAATGGTCCTGCTGGGAGAGCTGTTTGCTGGCCAGCTGGTACAGGTTGACAATCTTCTGGGAGAAGGACTTGGCCTCCACAAACCCTTCCGAGAACAGCATGATCTCAGCAATGAGGGCATAGTCAGGCACCATCATGGCGACGGGGCGGAACAGATACTTCAGGTTGTCAGGGAGCTCCACTCGTCCTGCATAGCTGTGGATATAACATCAATGTCAAGATAAGAAAATACAAATCAGAAGACAAAAATAACCTGGACAAATTTCTCATCTATGTTCCATTTTCTGCTTGCAGGTGAAAAAACTACTGTAACAATTTTGTTTTTTTGTTGTTAACGCTGCAGTCAGCAACATTCTAGCTATATCACAAAGGTCTATAAATCAAGCTCGGATACAACTTTTTTATGCATCTACCGGATCATATAAAAGCTTCTAAGGCTTAGTGTCTTCCAAAGATGGGACTGCTCGCCCCTGCAACCTCCTCTGGATCTGCATCAGAGCTCCAGATAAGCTTTTGGTGTTGTGGGTATTTTACCCATGCATTTTAAAATCATTGGGTATCAGTAATTCTATCTGCGTATTCAAATTTCTGTTACCCACTAGTTTTTACACATGTGGGTATTTAAGTTAAATATTTAAAAACACTATTCATCTAGTCCCTACAAACTGGTGTCGTGTGGGTTCGAGAGCTTTATAGGACTAAAAATTACCACGATACTTCCACAAGAAAGTGTGATGGCAAATGATCATGATGTAACTGTCATCGTGGAGTTTGGCAAGGTTGACGGAATGCCCGTTATAATTTCAAAATAAGTTGCTGATTTGCTAATCGAATACTCAGGGTTACTTCACAATATTTTGATGATCGCACAAGTTTAATTTTTGTAGCGTATCTGTAATGTTCGTTGCGTATTTGATACGCTTAGATTATATTTTACTGTGTATTTCTGCATTTCTGATGCGTATTTCACGCAGATACGCAGCTTATCTGGAGCTCTGTGCATATTTAAATAATCCTGTCTGGGCCAGACAATGCAGAGGTTCATATGAGAAGTGCCCACACCAATACGTACAATGACATGCAATAAGCCAAGTCACTGAATTGGACCGAACTATCCATCAAATAACCTATTATGACAAGCAGTATTCTGTGGCCTACTGTGACAAACTTAAATAACATTGAAACCATGATGTATGTTTAACTGATTCCACTGCAATGCATTGATCTTCATGAACCTTCTTAAATCCAGGAAATTATTTGACAATGTAATCAAAAGGGTTCACAAGTGACCAGAAAATTACCATTCATATCATAAAAGTAACAAGTTCCTTCAGAGGGCATTTCCCTCAGAAAGGTTCTCCAGAGAGAGGTTCCATTGTCAGAACACAGGCAATATACAGTGTGGGACATTTAAGATTATGGTCTATGGTCTATGGTCTGTATAGACTATGGTCTGTGATCATTTAAGACATCATAGCTGTTTGTACCAAGTCTGTGGACCCAACTTGTCTCTTGGCATCATTTTAGGTCGATTTCAGCATGACATATAGAAAATTATTAGCTTAGCTTTCAAGACTGACCTTAATTTTACTAGACACAGGCTTCAGACTAGTGGCTTAAGTTGTAGACAGGTCTGTGATAAAGCTACCCAGTTGATGACAGACACATTAATATTAGTGAGTGAGTTGGGTTTAACGCAGCTGTAAACAGTATTACAGTTATATCACGGCGTGTCAGCTTAATGTGGGAGGAAAGCCTGAAGTTATACAGGTCTCAGACGTTTACCACTTCGGTGAAAACCCACGAGCATGGGTATGGTGCTGACAAACCTAGAAACATAATCGGGGTGAACCAGGATTCGAACCCATAGGTTTCTGGCGTGCCCAAGGGACGTAACTCTGCACAGCGAATCGTGGCGCCTTAGACGACTTGGACACCCGTGCTCCCCATTAATATTAACTTAATGCCTTTAAGTTCATGTAGCTACAGTTAATATGCATCATGTAATAATAAGCAGTTTTTTTGGTGACCATTTGTGAAAATTATAGTCATTCAACGTGAAAAATGTCACTGTTCATACACAATTGGTCTGGTACATTTTAAACTGTCATCGGTGAACTAAAACTGACACTCTAGTTCTATTGCTTATAAATGTCACACACTGTATATTAACCAGTTAGATTGTCATGTGTTAGGAAGCATGACACATGCATGACATGCTAGTCACCACCACCTACAGCCATTATACACAACACAACCTGTTTCCATAGCAACAGGCTCCACAGCATCACTGATCATTAGCCTGGGTCTCGTTAGCACTTATCGATCATAAGTCTATGCGAGTTATGACAGTCATAGCGCTAGGATTTCTTTGTGGAACTAGCAAGGGTCTCACCCGGGATCTTAGTTCTATGCTTGCGTTCATGCCCATACTTTAACATAGACTTTGATTGCTTAGGACTGGATGTTCTGTTTGTTTGTTTGTTTGTTTGTTGTTTAACGCCGTACTCAGCATGATTCCAGTTATATGACGGCAGTATGTAAATAATTGAGTTATGACCACACAATCCAGTGATTGATATGAATCTACACAATTGGGATACGATGAAATACATCAACCAAGTCAGCGAGCCTGACCACACGATCACGTAATTCGCCTCTTAAGACAAGCATGGTTGTGTGTGTGTGTGTGTGTGCGTGTGCGTGTGCATGTGCGTGTGCGTGTGTGTGTGTTTTTGTGTGTGTGTGTTCGAACCCTGGACATTCCACTTTCCGGATGGACACTCTACCACAAGAGAAACCTTTCTAAACCTTAGATCTAGTATCGATCTATCACTCAAATTATTTACACATGGAGGGAAGAAACAACAAATCTTAATTTAATATTATAATCTAATTCCAGATATGTTAAATATTTCAATAGGTCAATAAACAAATTCGTAATTATTTTACAAAATTTAACAAATTAATTCTTATAAAACTGTCATGATAAGACATACTTGACAAAATGTAAGCATGCTCAAATGCAATAATATAAACCCTGAAATAATTCAAAATTAAATTGAAAACTAGATTCAACAGCTTGAATGGCTAAACATTTGCTGAATCACACATGCAGACACCTCTGATCCAATCTTATTAAAATCAGATCTTAGTTCTCGCTATCGCTAAACAAAGATCTGAGGACATCCCATTACGGGGCATGTCAGAACGACCTTTCATCCGACCAATCAAAGCGTTGCTTACCGGATCATAAAAGTGACAGTCGGAATGTATTTTCTGATCATGCAACCTCGAAAACGTTAAAACGGGGTATTCCGAATGACAGTAACGGCCCGTACAGCTGATTCCGTCAAAATTATTGTCTACCTCTCGGTTCCGTGGGATAAACATTTGAATGGAGGACGCATTGCACAGTACGTAGGAAGCACTGCCATACACTCTCAACCATATATCAGACATTCTGGAATGTTCGTTTGTTCAGTTTTCAAAATATTAATCGAGAACTGTGTCAATATATTTTTCAAGCGTACAGAAATGGAATTTGCTAGGTTGAAACGAGTGCCGTAAAGTTCGAGAAAGTTGCTTTCTAATTGGCTGATGTCGACTTGGCTGATGTTATTTCAGTCGTCGGTCAAAGTTCGCGAAAGGTCGTCCTGACGTGACCCGTAATGGGATGTCCTCAGATCTTTGTTTAGCGGCAGCGAGAAAATAGATCTGATTTTAATGAGATTGCCTCTGATCGGATGCTTGTTCATCAGCTTTCTTGTTGGTGTTAGTCAAACATTGACAACATGATCTCATTACAGGATCCACCATGTATACAGGATGTCAACACATCTCATTAATAGATTAATAGAATGCATGACGTACAAATATAACAATGAGCCATCAGCTCTCCCTGCAGCCCTTACCTTCCTCCTGCCCTGAAACATTACATGCAGCATCAGATTATAGTATGTGCATGTGAGCTTACCGTATTCGACGTAATAAGCGCCCAGGGCGCTCTCAAAATCAGAAATAGGGGGCTCTTATTTGAATATAATTTTGGTGAAAGAGTCGAAAGATCGTAAATTTTATGGTTTCTGCTGACAGCCTGAAATTATACAAAAGAAAAGTCTGTGCGTATTATACACGATAGATAAATTTTCCAGAATTTAATTGCCGTAATTAAGGGTGCATATAACACACGAGTGCGTATTATACACGAATAAATGTGAACGAATTGTGTACATTGATCAGTCGGAAGGGTGCTAATTGGGATTGTTCACTAGCCAATATATTGGCAAATAACGCCGTGGGCGCTTATTAGAGCGGGGCGCTTATTACGTCGAATATGGTAATTATACGAGTGTGAGATTAAACTGTGTCAAGTTCATTAGATAACACACTGTGTTTTCAATGTAGAGCTTGGTACCTATAGATTTATTGTTTGTTTGTTTGTTGTTTAACGACACACTCATCAATATTCCAGCTATATGATGGCGGTCTTTAAATAAAGACAATCCAGTGATTGACATCATGAGCATAGATCGATCCAATCGGAATACGGTGACTAGTAGATTTAGATGTGTTAAATTGAATCCCGAACCAAACATGCAACATGTGGTTTCAAATGTCAAATATAACATGGTCTTGTCTACACATAACCAAGTTCTACATTGAAAACACGGTATGTTTATCACCATTCAACCATGACAAAAATAAATATTCACTTTTTGGTGTGAGCAAATATATTGAGTGAAGCGGTAAGTTCAGTCCAATGTCCTGAGTGGTTCATCGATCTGAATTAAGGGAATGGTATAGTCTTGTCTCAAACATTGCCTATGATGTAATAGAGGTAGGGTATTCACAAGAATTATTGCCTTTTTATGTCATTATACTTTATTAACATGTGACAGACAGTGAGAGTTTGTAGCACAGGCCAAAAAGAAGCACACATTGCAAGGTTTAGTTTTAGTTCTACAACGCTCATTTTGATGCAAAAAGTTGGATATAGATACACTCAATTTCAAGCTCTCTGTTGTCTTGTTTGATAGGCATTATTTAGAAGTTGATGTATGACAAAGTAGACACAGTTTATGGAAAACAACTTCATTACTTGCAACATTTCGGTATAGATCCTTCCAGACTGTAAGTCTTGCTTGACAACGGTATAAGGATCTATACCAAAACATCGCCTTTACAGTAATTAAAGAAGTTGTTATCCATAAATTGTGTCTACTTTCTCTCTGATGCCTTTCACAAAATACACTTTCTTAGTCAATATCCATAATGTTTTCTGCCCAAAATGTATTGCCACACATACTTTGAAGATTGTAGGAACCACGATTTGCATTTTGTAACGTACAATTTCATTGTACATGTCATTAGATCCTAACGACAATGTTTGAGAAAGTACTTTTCTTGGCTCAATGGTGATGTGGCTGTCAAATCAGCTGTTCAATCTGAGGTGATTATTGTGATTTGAAACTTCTAATTGACCAATCATAATCAAGTATTTTTGTCATGGTAGAATAGAATACATGACACAGAACCAATGCAATGAGCCATCAGGCCTCCCTCTGAAACCTTACCTTTCTCCTGCTCTGAAACAATACATGCAACAATATTGTGTCGAACATGTTAGTGTTGTGCATCATGCATGTGACCTTACTGTGCTTGAACAGTGCTTGAACAGTGCTTGAACAGTGCTTGAACAGTGCTTGTTTCAGTCATGGCAAAATGTGTCAGCTTATGTGGGAGGGCATCTTCCCGAGGCAAGAGAGTTAACTGACTTTAAAAGTCCAGTTTCCACCCTTGCCGAACTAGACTGGAATTCTTGGGCTCGATCGTAGCGCCACCAGTGGCTATTACGAGTTATGTCCCTTCTATGCCTCTCCTATGGACCAATCAGATTCCAGCTCTCGTATGACTTGCACTTGCTTCATTCTAAATGGTGGCGCCGAGTCAAGACGATCTGATCGATAATCAAGATCTATATTGTGATAAAAAGGGTCTTACATCACGTGAGCACCTTGATTAGAAACATGAAAAGATTTGGAAAATATCTGTTGACAACGAGTTGGCGGTGCAAATGATTTGCATATCCTGCAATCGACCGAAATCTGCACGACAGTTTACGAACCGGATTTCGGTTTCATTGCGCGATTGTGATTGGACTATGCATAGACTCATTAGTCCAGCCAAAACGTAACTCCATAATACCAGCCTAATTCAGCAAGGGTGGAAACTGGACTTTTATAGTCAGTTAACTCACTTGCCTTGGAAAGATGGAGGGAGGGAAACCCAGAACAACGCAGGTCATAATGCTTAGCCACTATTATGAAACCTTCAACCTTAATTGATCATATCCTGGGCAACTAGGGGAGATAAGTCTGTACTGTCATTTCTGGTGTCCATTCCTCTGTACCCTAATAAAGTCTTTGAGTTCATATTAATGTGAAAGTCAGATACATACTCGCTTTAATGTGATGGTGAACTCATGAGAACATGTGTGTTGCTGACATCATGTCACCCATAAGTATGTTCTTGATTTCCAACCCCAGTCTGCTCACTGGAATTACTAGTTTTAATAGTTCACATGACTATCACACTGCAAAACAGGGTCTGGTGGAAACTGTCTCCTGTATATATGTTCCTGGGCATAAAATTGTTTATCTAGTTTTCTAACCATACAAAAACTGTCCTGAAAATCTTTCCACAAACTGTATGCGAAGAGATCATGTTTTACAGTAAACCCTAGACAGCATTGCAGCCTGAGGTATTATGTAGGTATGTATTCAGAGTTCCCGGGTCCTAGGCACAATAACTCACAGGTACCCATGCAATCACTGGTCACCACGCAAGGTGACCAGTTTTCAGTAGCCACTGACAGCCAAATGGTCTTCAGGGGGAGAAAAAATATCCATTTTTGGTTAAAAGTTTGAAGTCCTCTTCTTACATGTTACAAGATTCACAGACAAACAAGATCAGATCTACTTCTGCTTCAGTTCGGACTCACAAGAGAATGGCTACCAAGTGATTTTCACACTTTTAGCTCGAGGTTAACATTCCATGCTACAGTTGACAAACTGCAACGTAAAATACATGTTTCGTTTTCGCGTGGTGCCAACATTTTTGTTCCGTCATATACCGACTACTCACACTCAGAAACATGGAATACAAGTCACTGACAACTGTTACCAATGGTATATCATTTTTACCATTGGTACCTTAGGGACTAACAACAAACGCACTAAAGGTACCAGAATAATGGTCCATCCCATGCCAGTGTTTCCTGGTAGCTAAGGGAGGCAACTCTATACAGGTTGTGAATTTATTAAGGAAAATGATGATGATGATGATGATGATAATGATGATGATGGTGATGATGATGATGATGATGATGTAGCAAAATCACTGATGGTATGTTCATGACACCAGAAATGGGCTTCACACATTTTAACCCATGTGTGGAATCAAACATCTTAGGCGTGACGAGTGACCACTTTAACCACTAGGCTACCCCACCGAAAAGCGATGTATGAAGAAACGTAGTATAATTCAAGTGCAAGGGTGATATATGTGGACAAAATGGATTAAAACTAAAGCAACGGTGCCCCATCTGAAAGTGTGATCCTCCCATCACTTACGTGGGGTTCATGGTGATGAAGTAGCCGCACGTCATGTTCAGTTTGATGTCCCGGCCTTCAAACATGAAGCGGAGAGACTGACAGTCTTTGGCCGACTTGATGGTGAGGATCTGCTGGGCCACTACAGACAACACCTCCACGTCTATACGGTTGAACTCATCAAAACAGCACCAGCTCCCTGACTGGGAGAGGCCAGAGAAGAACTTGCCCAGCATCTGCAACACATTGGCATCAGGAATACACCACACTCCTCATCTGTTAGGATTCACATACACTGAAACCACACTAATCCGCGTGTTATGGTTTAATGTGAAATAATCTGGATCAACAAAGGCCTGTTATAAGAGACATTTTTGGACCCCAGGATCTACAAAATTAAAAAGTTAGCAAAACTTTTAGAAATTGTTTTGACAGTTATGAGATATTTTCACAGAACTAGAAGTAAAAAACTTGTCTCAGAACTTTCTAACCATTATTACAAAGTTTTTCGTAACTTTTTTACTGCATAATTTGAATCTAGTGGGTCCCCAAAACAGTTCTTCAAGTTTTCAATCTATTAAACCCCATCTATATTAATCGTTTTAATAACGACGAGTACTACACGCAAATCATCATCTTTTCATATTGGAGTACCTTTAGGTCTCAGCCAATAGGTGCCAGTAGCAGAAATTTGCTACTGTCATTTTGTTTAGTAGCAAGACAAATTTTCAGGGGACATTTTTCTGTCCTGCTCAAGTATCATACAAAAAAAAGTGTTTATTAACTTACCTTATAATCTAATCCCTCTGAGCAGTTAAATACCACACACTGTTTGCCCATAGCCTGAAAACAACATTTATAAGATGAAATTATTACATACAATTTGAAAAAGAAAAGAACTAGACAATATAGTGACAAGACTATTTAACAATTGAAATATTAACAACATATCACAAGTCACCAGCATGATACAAAACATTTTGACTCAAGGATATGCTTGTGGATAAAACTTTTAACAAATGACTATTAGTCGTGTTTGCCTACCTTGGCCAGGTCTTTGACAGTTTCCGTTTTGCCTGTGCCAGCAGGCCCCGCTGGTGACCCCCCCAGGTGTAGATGCAGCGCCCCTGTGAGGGTGAGGTAGCAGCGGTCAGTCAGGGGGGTGATGACCAGACGAGAGGAGCAGCCTAGGTACTCGTAGCCGTACTGGAACGCTGCATTAGACTGGAGCACCTGACAGTTGTTGGTCTGCTCGTCCCACTCGTACCGCAGTTGTCTGGAGACACAGCACAGGTTACGATAGGAGGAAACGTTATAATTAGGGACCAACCATCTAATACTTTGGTGCATCCACTCTTGCCTCGGGAAGATGATTCTGGTGGGGTTTGGGATTTTTGGCACAGACAGAATATGTTTTCTGTAACCACTTAAGGACATATGAAGACATTTTATCATACCTCAACGAGATCTGATTGGTCAACATGATCTTAATAAAATACTATGAAAACTATGTATACTATGTGAGGGAAATATATTTGTGGCAGAGCGTCCGCCTGGAGAGCGGAAGGTCCGGGGTTCGATCCCTGGCCGGAATGGTATCTCAATGAGCTAGCACTATAAATCGGCATCAGTCTGGACTAGCACAATCAGCCACACACATGCATGCACGTCGCTATATAAGTGCAATAATCAATGCAACGTTAAACCCAATTTCACCTCACCAAAGCAAAGAGCTGCACCCTTTTTCCGTGTCAATGAAAGTCACGTGACATAGCATAAGTTAACCTCCTCTCAATTGAACACCTGTTTTCTATCAATTTTGAATTTGTTTTAATTCTTTCACAATAGCAGATTAAAACATGTTGGTAAGATAAATCTGTTGTAGCAGGATGACTCGGGGCATAAAAGCTAAAACTATAACTTATATTCATAATGATTTTTTTTCAGCACATCCAGAAAATATTCTATATGTTATTCACATAATTTATAGAACAAATTATTTGGTCCTCAAAACAGTTCTATTTTCTGTCTGTCACATTAAATTATCACTTAAATTGTGGAAATGGGTATTTTCTTACAAGACTTTTAGAATTTTTCCAGACGTATCATGTCAGCAGATTCACAAAATGTACCAATGTGGAAAATTGAAACCCAGGTGTTTTGCACGACAAGCTAACACTTTAACCACTAGGCTACCCCACCCTGTAGTACAAGCATGCATAATGCCCTACCTAGAGCTCCAAAATAAGGGGGCCCTGGGGTCTTTGAGGTTTGCTTCTATTGTATTTTAATTCAGGGACCCCTTAAATTTAAAAAATTTAACGTTAGAATTAAAACAAGCACTCCATGACTTTCATGCATAATTTCAAACACTGCTATCAGAAGCAGATGACAGATGTCAGTATCATTTGGGGAATAAAACCCAGGTATTTTTCATGAAGAGTCAACACTTTACCCACTTGGCTATCCCACCACTCTAATACAACCACACACAAAGCACTATCTGAAGCAGATGACACAGGTTCAGAATCAAACCCAGGTCTTTGTCTTGAAGTGTCAACACTTTACCCACTTGGCTATCCCACCACTCTAATACAACCACACACAGCGCACTATCTGAAGGAAACGAGGTGCATCACGTACCTCTTCCATTCAAAATCATCCTTCTTGACAACCTTGCTGTTGATGATGTTGTTGATGATGTCCCTGTTGTGGACGGTGATGGTGAGGAGGGCTTCCATGCTGTTCCTCTGGAAGGAGAGTAGGTTGGTGAGCACCAGACCGGCCAGCTTGTTGAGGAAGTCGACCATGCGGTCCCTCGTCTGTACCAGAGCTGCCTTCACATCTCCCCGGTCGAAGCAGCGTGACACCTCCTTGTTGAACATGATCTGAGTCTGGACAGAGAGATATCTATCATCAAATATCAACAAAAGATAAATCAAATGCAAATTCTCAGTAAATGATTAATGTTGACAACACCTAATTTCCCAAAGAGTTAATAATGTAAACTTGGCACTTGTAGAAGGCAAGCATGTGTAGATGACAGTGATGGAGACCCACAGTAACACCACGTACCACAGTAAGGACCACCTGGCCCGTGTGTTTGAGGACCCACTCCTGCAAGTCAATACCAATCCAGTCTGACAACCCGAGTTTCAGATGCCTGTGGAAGAAAATGTTGTTGTTATATTGCATTTCACATAGTTGCACTCAGTTCTACTGCTACTTCATGGAATATATATTCTGACTAATCAACTGAACTTGGCTCAGTGTCCAGGCTACATGGAGCCTAAAGTTGATAAAAAGTGTTCAAAGTGATCAAAAGTGTTCAAAGTGTTCAAAGTTGATCAATAGTGTTCAAAGGGATAAAAAATCTTCAAAGTTGATCAAAAGTGTTCAAAGTGATCAAAAGTGTTCAAAGTGATCAAAAGTATTCAAAGTTGATCAAAAGTGTGTAAAGTGATCAAAGCGTTCAAAAGTGTTCAAAGTTGATCAAAAGTGTTCAAAGTGATCAAAAGTGTTCAAAGTGATCAAAAGTGTTCAAAGTGATCAAAAGGGATGAAAGTTATCAAAAGGGATCAAACATTTTTTTAAAAGATGAAAATGGTCAAAAGGAACCAAAGTGTCTAAAAGTGTCAAAGTACTTGTATGCAAGACAAAACAATGTACTTTAATAGGATAAACTTCTCTTTGAGTTTCATGATTGGCAGAAATTCTGCTGGTTTCAATAAAAATCAACTATTGCTTGTTCACTTAGCATAACCAGCAACTTGGAAACACCCAAGTAGATCCACTCCACCCAACTTAGTTCCATTCCACAAAGTTTTTAGTGCTAAACCACCATACATTAAGATAGACTTATGCTATTGTTGCGCTAAGATGACTTTGAGGAATGAAACTGACGCAGTACTACAGTCTTTGATTGATTGGAGTTACTCACTTCTTGACGGTCTCGAACATGCCTGCCTCTACGGTCCCCAGCCACTGCTCCACCGGTCCTCGCGCCCTCACGTTCCTGGGGACAGACAGAATGATGTCACCGGCAACATGGACAACAAGACAACAAAAGTCTATTGTCATCACGATGAAGACATTCAATTCCAGTCTAAGATTTGTGTGTTTACCAGTGTTAATTAGTGAGAAAGCGAGTTGGTTTGACGTAGCTTTAACAGTCAACAGTTAAATTACACTGTCTCAGTCTAATGTTGGAGGAACCCTAATCGAGCCTGAAACTCAGATATGGACCAACAACCAGGAGATCCTGGCACAGCCAAGTGAGGCAACTCTGTAGAGTAAGTATAGAAGATGCTATGTTGCATTTATTAGGATTTTGCTGAAGTGGGCACCTGGCTAATGGTAACATAAAATGTGGGCCACTGTACGTTTGTTGTTTTTCCAATTTCCCATCCCTATCATAGTCACCTCTAAAAAGTCTTGGTTGGAAAAAACAGTGGTTGATATCATGAGTCTTCACCCAGACAAACTGTAGACCTACCTTGGCATAGCAATGATTTCTCCCCCAAGACAAAGTGTGGACCTACCATGGCATAGAAATGATTTCTCCCTCCCAGCCAAATTCTGGACCTACCTTGGCATAGCAATGATTTCTCCCTATCAGACAAAGTCTGGACCTACCATGGCATAGCAATGATTTCTCCCTATAAAACAAAGCTGGACCTACCTGGGCATAGCAATGATTTCTCCCTTCTAGACAAAGTCTGGACCTACCTTAGCAGAGCAATGATTTTCCCCCCAAGACAAAGTCTGGACCTACCATGGCATAGAAATGATTTCTCCCTATAAATCAAAGCTGGACCTACCTTGGCATAGCAATGATTTCTCCCTTCTAGACAAAGTCTGGACCTACCTTAGCAGAGCAATGATTTTCTCCGCAAGACAAAGTCTGGACCTACCATGGCATAGAAATGATTTCTCCCTCCCAGACAAAGCGTAGACCTACCTTGGCATAGCAATGATTTCTCCCTCTCAGACAAAGTCTGGACCTACCTTGGCATAGCAATGATTTTTCCCCCCAAGACAAAGTCTGGACCTACCTTGGCATAGCAATGGTTTCACCCTCCCAGGAAATGATCCTCTTTACAGTTGGTGGTTGTCGTGGCAACTGGCGAATGTCCAGCTGTTTGATGTTGCCAAAGCACTTTCCCAGGTGAGGCTGCAAAATTTCATCATTTTTATTAAATGCAAAATAATGATGTCCATGTTACCAATTAGCTTTGAAACATGCCAGGATGATGTTATTACAATATAATAATATATATTTAGGTACACTTGCAGTATGCCGGGCACCTGTCGGCAATGTTTGATTGATGTTTCTAATACAGCAGTAAGCACCAGCAGGCTAAATTGAAAACTATGTTGCTAAAGTTAAAAAAAATGGTAGAAATAATAAGACACACTTCTTTGGCTTAACAAAATTAAACCTTCATATATTTCCTTTACACTGTAAAATATGATATTGATAAATATGGATGAAGCAAAATTCAAAATTCATAGAATGGTGAATGATTTGATTACTTACTCCAAGGTATGTATAAACCAACCAAAAGTTCTGTTCAAATTACTTGGTGTTTGAAAATTTTTCGTGCTTATGTGTGAATCTATGAAGAGCTACACCTGTTGAGGCAATCCCCCAAACCCTTAGGAGAAATTAGAGGTTGAGGAAAATGGGAGCTGAAAATCGTGGAAACCATATTTCTCTTTGCACATTTCATGCATACCTTACCTAAATGGTGGAAGTTAACTGACATACTGCAATCTAGGCAATGGTACATTTAGAAAAGGAGTTACCTGAACAGCATTGGGGTCCTTGGACTGCGCGAGGATGTCCAGGAGTTCATCGTTACTGAGGAAGTAGAACCTGGGGAACACCAGTCTCTTCGTCTCCAGGTAGTCCTGTGCACAGGTAACAGGTTTAGAGTCATTGGGACACTTATTCATGACAATGTTTTGTTTGTTTCTTTGATTGTTGTCTAATGCCGCACTCAGCAATATTTCAGCTATATGACGGCGGTCTCTAAATAATCGAGTCTGGACAAGACAATCCAGTGAATGAGATTATGAGCATCTATCCACGCAATTGGGATATGATGACATGCATCAACCAAGTCAGCAAGCCTTACCACCTGATCCCGTTAGTCACCTCTTACGACAAACGTAGTCGCCTTTTACGGCAAGCATGGGTTGCTGAAGACCTATTCTACCCCGGATCTTCATGATAATTTAAGCCAAAGTTGTAGGAAATCAGTGTATGTCGATCAGAAACCAAGGACAATTAGGACCTGGAATATAATTATAGGGGGGTTGAGATTGGTCTTTGACTATCATATTTACTGCCCCCTTATTTTATGAAACATTTTTTCATGACCACTTCCTCCCCACACCCAACACTCCACTCCCATACTTGTGATAAATATTGGACACCCCTCCTCTTTTGAAATGTCAATTTTTCATGAAATCCCCACCATGAAAATAAATGACAAATCCCTAATCAAAGCAAATACTGATTTGAACACCTGACTACTAGATCCTGGCATCAAGAGACTTTGCAACTCTGCCAACCACTGGTGACACTGAAACACCCATGCCATATCAACAAGGGATGCAACTCTGCCAGCCACTGGTGACACTGGAAAACCCATGCCATATCAACAAGGGATGCAACTCTGCACAGCCAGTAGTGACACTGGAACACCCATGCCATATCAACAAGGGATGCAACTCTTCCAGCCAGTAGTGACACTGGAACACCCATGCCATATCAACAAGGGATGCAACTCTGCACAGCCAGTAGTGACACTGGAACACTCATGCCATATCAACAAGGGATGCAACTCTGCCAGCCAGTAGTGACACTGGAACACCCATGCCATATCAACAAGGGATGCAACTCTGCACAGCCAGTGGTGACACTGGAACACCCATGCCATATCAACAAGGGATCCAACTCTGCAAGGTCAGTGGTGACACTGGAACACTCATACCATATCAACAAGGGATGTAACTCTGCAAGGTCAGTGGTGACACTGGAACACTCATGCCATATCAACAAGAGATGCAACTCTGCCAGCCAGTAGTGACACTGGAACACCCATGCCATATCAACAAGGGATGTAACTCTGCACAGTTAGTGGTGACACTGGAACACCCATGCCATATCAACAAGAGATGCAACTCTGCAAGGTCAGTGGTGACACTGGAACACCCATGCCATATCAACAAGGGATGTAACTCAAAATGCACCCTATGTCACAACCCTTCTTCAGAAAGCTGTATACATGCATCATACAATCAAATAGAAAAGAATCTCCCACCGAGCCCTGTATGACTACTGCGTACCTCCAAACACTTGTGAATTTTTTCCAGGTTGGCGTTGGCGGACGTCAGTGTCTCCAGGGTTCCGGGGGCGATGGCTGACTTGAGGGCGTTGGGTCGGTCCTCCACACGGCGCATGATGTCCTTCCAGGCCTTGTCCACCTGGGAGAACAGCTTGAACTCACTCGGCAGTTGTCTACAACACACCAGGTTTATGCAACACCAATCTAATTCATGTTGTATGGGTTTTCAATGCATCAGTCCTGGTGGTGAAATTACTAAAATTGAGAAATGTTGTGGGGGTAACCTGAGGTCAATTTCATTAAATAAAATTTTTGCCAGTAGATTATAATAAAAGTACAAACAAAAACACGCTCAAAACTTTCTTTTAATTCCACAGCTTTTTAAATTTTACTTTTACAGTATTTTCAACAAGCTCACAAAAAGGAAAAATATTGTTCTCTTCTCAAGAAAAAATTACAAGTAACTTGGTCATAGAAAGGACAAAACACAGAGCCTGATATAACAAGTTTTAGGTAATTAGTTTCCAACTGTACAGAGTAATATCTGCTGACCTCTGGATGTCTGGAGTACTGAAGATCTGCTCCAGGTACAGCCAGTTGCGCTGACAGTTGAGCCACTCGTCCAGGGTGCGGGAAAACACCTGCAGCTTCCGCTCCCATTCCTCCACCTGCGCCTGTAACAACATGGACATATCGTGTATAATACAAGTAATACAACATGGACACATTGTACAAAATACAAGTAATACAACATGGACACATTGTACAAAATACAAGAAATACAACATGGACACATTGTACAAAATACAAGTAATACAACATGGACATATCGTGTATAATACAAGTAATACAACATGGACACATTGTACAAAATACAAGTAATACAACATGGACACATTGTACAAAATACAAGAAATACAACATGGACACATTGTACAAAATACAAGTAATACAACATGGACATATCGTGTATAATACAAGTAATACAACATGGACACATTGTATATAATACAAGTAATACAACATGGACACATTGTACATAATACAAATTATACAATATGGGCACATTGTACATAATACAAGTAATACAACATGGACACATCGTGCATAATACAAGTAATACAATATGGACACATTGTACAAAATACAAGAAACACTTCACTTCATTAACAACTCTCCACTTATCAATTGTCAGGGCATCAATGAGTCTTTGATACAACTGCTTTGGAACATGGTAGACCAATATGGTGGCACATACACAGTCTTGGCGCTAATTCAGAAAAGTAAAACTTAAGTTGAAATGTCTTAAAGCACCCTCACCCCATTCCACAAAGCTATGTTAGTGCTACTGCCATGTTAGTCTATGTTTAAGGATGGGAGGGCAAGAATAACTAAATGGAAAATGTATCAAAAACTAAACAGTGTTGCCTAACAACTGCTTTCCTATATATTTCTTATTGACTAATTTATTTGCAAAGAAATATATTGGTATTTCATGATGAACATAGAGCATCATCATGATTTTAAGGGCAGTCAATATATTTAATCATTTAATCACTTAGCATTGGATAAGGAGCAGTGGGGTAGCCTTTTGGGAAAAACATTTGTTCGTCATGCCGAAGACCTGGGTTCGATTCCCGACATGGGTACAATGTGTGAAACCCATTTCTGGTGTCCCCTGCCGTGATATTGCTGAAATGTTGCTAAAAGTAGCGTAAAACCATACTCACCCACTCTCTACTACTCACTCACTAGCATTGGATAAATACAGCCTCAGGGTATCTAGTATCAAGTCGTTTAAAAGATGCTTGAAATAATTCCTCACCTTGATTGGTCCTACATATCGGGATCCCCGGATTGTTCCCACGGTAACCTGACTCTCCTCCAGCTGGGCCATGATGTCGTCTGCTCCTGCGATGATGATGGTGTCTCGACCAGCATGAGGCAGCAGACGGAAATCTGTGTTCTGCCACAAGTCGATGATCTACAAGAGACAACAGAAAGCTAGAGAGTTATCAGTTACTTTTGAAGCTATTGTCTGCTTGCTGACAGAGTTAAGATCTCCTTTCAAGCAGACAAGGCATCCGACCTCAGATCAGAAGGTCTATGGTTCAAATCCCATCACAGGACTCAGACATTATATGGTCACTACATTGTTGGGCTGAACATGTTCATACTAGATTTGAGCAAAATAAGTCCCCATACCCTATTACGCAGCCTGGGACATGCCTTCTGTTAACGGGGGGGGGGGGGGTTGCTATTATCTGGAGAATAACTTGCAAGCTACATGTAATTACAGGTCCTAAGTAAATTAAGCACTATAGCCATGGTGAGGGACATTCAACATTGACCCGTGAAGATCGGGGGTAGATTAGGTCTTCAGCAACCCATGCTTGCCGTAAAAGGCGACTATGCTTGTCGTAAGAGGCGACTAACGGGATCGGGTGGTCTGGTTCGCTGACTTGGTTGATGCATGTCATCGGTCCCAATTTTGTGGATCGATGCTCAATCACTGGACTGCCAGATTCAGTTATTTACAGACCGCCGAGTGCGACGTAAAACAAAAAACAAACAAAACATTATACACAAGGGACAGTTTTGAGTTGTGAGTAGGATACTCCAGACATATTACCCATAACTATTTTTTTAAGAAAACATAACAAAAAAACCAGGCAGTGCCAATCAGCACCAGGTAAAACATCATAGTGAGATTTAACAAATCAAATTCCCCAATATGTTCTACCCTAACAAGAGATGAGTTTCTCACCTTCTGCAGCATCAGTTCCAGGGTGGCCTCATTACTAGCTGTAGTAGAGATGTCCTGGATCTTCTCCTTGTGTTTGAATATCTGATGGGAACAGGGAAGGTTCATACATATTATTATATACTTCAGTGTAGAAGACTGAGTTTTCCAAAGTTGAGAAAAGGGATATTTTCATTGCAGTGAACATTACACTTGATATTTCACTACAGTGAACATAACACTTGATATTTCACTGTTGTCCAACAAAAACAAATCTGACTTTTAACGAATCAAAGTATGGCATTTATGATATATGTATCCATTCTCTCTCAACTAAAATTCCTTTCAAGGCGTTAATAGCGGTAATCTGACCGTGGTTGCTGTTAATAACGGTGAGTTGTGCGATCTTCCGATCGCTTCACACACGATTTCGCCGAAATTAATTAAAAAAATATTAAAAGGAATTTTGAATAAAATTAATGAAATAAGTTACAAACATGAGTCCAGATATACCAAGAACACTTTTTTTTATAGCCAGACAGGGTAATTACATGAATAATTTGCGAACTTCAGTATGGATTTGTTGACATGGTATTTCCGGGGTTACGTGCTCACGGTAATGTCTTTCCATGGGGGAAAAACATCAAAACTCATTAATTCGTGTATAATGCGCAACCCCTTCTACACAGCTGTGTTTTTTGGAAAAAAGTGTGCACTATACTCAAGAACATACGGTAGGTATAACTGCTGTTATGAAAATATCGTATGTATCGCGATACATGCTTTCCAAATCGATGCATCGTATCGTGGGCTGTGCATTGGGATACAATACTGTATCGCCGTATCGTTACACCACTAGAACATAACACTTGATATTTCTCTGCACTGAACATAACACTTGATATTTCTCTGCAGTGAACAGAACACTTGATATTTCACTGTAGTGAACATAACACTTGATATTTCACTGTAGTGAACAGAACACTTGATATTTCACTGTAGTGAACATAACACTTGATATTTCTCTGCACTGAACATAACACTTGATATTTCACTGTAGTGAACATAACACTTGATATTTCACTGTAGTGAACATAACACTTGATATTTCACTGCAGTGAACAGAACACTTGATATTTCACTGCAGTGAACATAACACTTGATATTTCACTGTAGTTGAACATAACACTTGATATTTCTCTGCACTGAACATAACACTTGATATTTCTCTGCAGTGAACATAACACTTGATATTTCACTGTAGTGAACATAACACTTGATATTTCTCTGCAGTGAACATAACACTTGATATTTCTCTGCACTGAACATAACACTTGATATTTCACTGTAGTGAACATAACACTTGATATTTCACTGTAGTGAACATAACACTTGATATTTCACTGTAGTGAACATAACACTTGATATTTCTCTGCAGTGAACATAACACTTGATATTTCTCTGCACTGAACATAACACTTGATATTTCACTGTAGTGAACATAACACTTGATATTTCACTGTAGTGAACATAACACTTGATATTTCACTGTAGTGAACATAACACTTGATATTTCTCTGCACTGAACATAACACTTGATATTTCACTGTAGTGAACATAACACTTGATATTTCTCTGCAGTGAACATAACACTTGATATTTCACTGCAGTGAACATAACACTTGATATTTCACTGTAGTTGAACATAACACTTGATATTTCTCTGCACTGAACATAACACTTGATATTTCTCTGCAGTGAACATAACACTTGATATTTCACTGTAGTGAACATAACACTTGATATTTCTCTGCAGTGAACATAACACTTGATATTTCTCTGCACTGAACATAACACTTGATATTTCACGGCAGTGAACACAACACTTGATATTTCTCTGCAGTGAACATAACACTTGATATTTCACTGAAGTGAACATAACACTTGATATTTCACTGTAGTGAACATAACACTTGATATTTCACTGCAGTGAACAGAACACTTGATATTTCACTGCAGTGAACATAACACTTGATATTTCACTGTAGTTGAACATAACACTTGATATTTCTCTGCAGTGAACATAACACTTGATATTTCTCTGCAGTGAACATAACACTTGATATTTCTCTGCAGTGAACATAACAGTTGATATTTCTCTGCAGTGAACATAACACTTGATACATGTATTTCACTGTAGTGAACAGAACACTTGATATTTCACTGCAGTGAACATAACACTTGGATGGAACTATTGTCATACAAGAGTTACCTCCCTGAAAATTGTCTCCCTTTAGCATAAATGTCTAGCCCGTACACAAACTGTTGACTTCCTTTTCACGTTAGATCCACATTGACAAGGCAAAATAATGACAGATAGTCATTTATGAAGTTAATGTCACTTCTTGCTGTTTGTTTTTCTCTTCAAAATGTTTTGTTATAAATTGTAAATTTCTCATTTAACTCATCAATCAAGACTGTTTGTTTCAAAAAGCTCCATGTTACTTGACCATCGTGTATTCGTTAGCTTCGAACAGCTCTCGAGATTCAAGAATTTCAAGAATATTTTTTGTTTAAGTTGATTTTGTATATAATCATAACGAAATGTATGCTATAGAATCTCCAAGTCCGTAAATATTTTTTGTTACATTTGTTTATATTTTGTCAGATTTTGCAAACACGGAACTACTTTTTAAGTCGCAATTACAAGGGGTGGTGAACCGTCCCTGTGTGTTAGGTAGGGAGAATTTGCGTTTCAAGGTTTTACATTTGAAATGAAATAATTCAATTTTCCAGTAGAGAGCTACAGAAAAAGTACATAATAAATAGGATATTCTATGTGTTTACTCCACTCGTGAAAATATCTCTTTTCCCTCATCACTCGATGAGAGAAACATGACATTTCACTTGACACATGAAATATCCTCTTATACTCTCTGAGCCCATATTAAACTCAAACAAGGGATAGACAACAAAGTATTGAAGCCACAAATAAAACCCTCTCACAGCCTACATATTACAGTCATTTAAAATCAAACTTCAAAAGTCAGCCCCTTTGGGTCCACACCTTACATCAAGGTCAGAACCACCAGACTGTTGATGATGCCTCAATCTCATTAAAATCAGATCTTAGTTTTCGCTACTGCTAAACAAAGATCTGAGGACATCCCATTACGAGTCACGTCAGAACGACCTCTCGTGAATTTTGACCGATCAGTGAAATGACTGACAAGAAATGAACATAAGCCAATCAGAAGGCAGCTTTCTCGAGCTTTATGACACTAGTTTCAAACTTTGCGACTACGCTTAGAAACATATTTTGACGTATTCTCTGTTAAAAATTTTAAAACTGACGAAAAGAACATTCTGGAATGGCTTAAAGATGGCCTAGATTGTATGGATATAATCATAAAACCCGTAACTGTCATTCGGAATACCCTCTGTTAAATATTTCGAGGTTGCATGATCAGAAAACACATTCCGTCTGTCACTTTCATGATCTGGTAAGCGACGCTCTGATTGGTTGGATAAAAGGTCGTTCTGACGTGACCCGTAATGGGATGTCCTCAGATTTTTGTTTAGCGATAGCGAGAATTGAGATCTGATTTTAATGAGATTTGATGTTGCCTGCTGCAGTGAATACTCACATTCATGTCGAGCAGGTTGCCCAGGGTGAAGGACTTGTCCCTGACGATGACTTTATTGATGATCTTCTCTATGATCTCCCAGTGCCGGGCTCGGAGCGAGGGGTTGCGGAGGCTGGTGATGACAGGCATGCCTTGCTTGAAGTCCATCACCTTCTCCTTGAGACGAGGCAGCACTTCATTATGGGGGAGCCCTGCAGGGGGAAGATGAGAGGTCAGTGTCAACATTCATCAGTCACAACATCACCTGCTTACATTTCACCTGTAACTATGGTTGCTGTTTGGTTGAAATGATGCCAAAGTTATACTGGCCATGCATGAGTGAAAGAAAATTGTTTGCAATTAAGCTTCACAAAACTTGATCAATGATCATTAATTCTGCTAAGGTCAGAGCAATTTATTTATGCTGAGCGTACACTTAATTCTTCAAAGGTTAAAAAAGTAAATATGTTTTACTGAAATTGCTAAATTGGAACATCTTTTCGATTGCACTTTGGTTAAAAAGAACCCTGATTAAAAAAGTTTTTAATCTTCCTTTAACTTCATTCAAGATAGTAGCATGGTGCGCTATATTATTATGATAATTAATTTATAATGGACTGTAATGGTGCACACTTACTAACCTATCAAATATGTCATACGCAAAATGTTTCTAGTTCTTTGTTAAACTTTTATGACATCATCAATTAGGAATGATTAATGATTATTTTCTTTGCCGAGTTCGGTAAACAAAGTACCTGTAATTAGCGACTCAAGAGCGGGCAACTCTATATTATGGTATCACTATTTTGTGAGTGAGTGAGTGAGTGAGTTGGGTTTAACGCCGCTTTTAACATTATTCCAGTTATATCACGGCGTGTCAGCTTAATGTGGGAGGAAAGCCCGAAGTGATGCAGGTCTCAGACGTTTACCAGTTCGGTGAAACCCACAGGAATGGGTATGGTGCTGACAAACCTAGAAACATAATCAGGGCGAACCGGGATTCGAACCCACAATCAAAGGTTTCTGGCGTGTCCATGGGACGCAACTCTGCACAGCAAATCGCGGCACCTAAGACAACTGGGCTACCCGTGCCCCCCACTATCTTGTGGTGTGATACGTGTGGCATATATGTTTTACATCACTTCCTGTTTTGAATTACGCATAATCAGTATGCATACGACCTCGGTCAGGTTAAGTGACATTGTCCAAACAAATAGATTCCTTTCAAGCCAATTTCGAATGGAGGTAGGGGTAATTCCACTTCAAGAACATTCCAGAAACTATCACAAAAAGGTTCACGTGTATACTTATGAGTAGCCGTGACATACAGCAATGATTCCTGTATTTGATCAAGCGATGAAATATCATGCTTAGATTTGTATAAGTAAACCAGGGATAATTCTAGGGTGGGGCCTTGTGCTTTTAGCCCCTAAATTTGAAAAAGGTGCATATTGTTAAGTACAACGGGACATTTTAATATTGTGCTGTATGGGCAAGTGTGGGTGTACCTCTGGAATATTTGAAATTTTCACATAAGGGGCCCGTGTCAGAAAATTCCAAGGGTGTGTGGATTACGAGATTTACTGATACTACGATAATATAGAGCCCACGATAATAATATAGAGCCTGCGATAATATAGAGCCCGCGATGATAATACAGAGCCTGCGATAATATAGAGCCCGCGATAATATAGAGCCTGCAGTGATAATATAGAGCCTGCAATAATATAGAGCCCGCGATAATATAGAGCCTGTGATAATATAGAGCCCACAATAATATAGAGCCTGCAATAATATAGATCCCACGATAATATAGAGGCTGCGATAATATAGAGCCCGTGATAATATAGAGCCCACGATAATATAGAGCCCACGATAATAGAGCCTGCGATAATATAGAGCCCGCGATAATATAGAGCTTGCAATAATATAGAGCCCACGATAATATAGAGCCTGCGATAATATGGAGCCTGCAACGATGATATAGAGCCTGCGATAATATAGTGCCCGCGATAATATAGAGCCTGCGATAATATAGAGCCCAAGATGATAATATAGAGCCCGAGATAACATAGAGCCCACGATAATATAGAGCCCGCGATAATATAGAGCCTGCGATAATATAGAGCCCGCATTGATAATATAGAGCCTGCCATAACATAGAGTCATACAATAACAGACATACGTTAATTAATGTAGTTTCCTATAAGTCTACCTATGTACAAAAGTTTCTACTTTCAATAATTAAAAAACAATTTTCTAATCCTGAAAGGCACATATTTCTGTTTCCCACCTTTATCCAGCATGTAGACGGTCTGAGTGAACTTGTTGACATTCTTCTGAAGGGACTCGACATGGATGGAGTCGAATGACGTCGCTGTCCACTCATCCAGGAGCTTGGTCCACTCTTCCAGGGACTGCCACAGCAGCCGTCTCAGTGTCAGGTCTCGCTCGATCTCCGACAGGTCAGCCTGGATCTCCTGTGCACTCTCATCCGACTTCTTGTCCATCAGCATGTACTCTCTGACAAGGAGAACAGTCACAACACTGACAGAGGCAACACTATGACATTTGGGAGAGATTTGTTTGTTTGTTTGTTGTTTAACGCCATACTCAGCAATGTTCCAGCTATATGATGGCGGTCTGTAAATAATCAAGTCTGGACCAGACAATCCAGTGATTGACATCACGAGCATTGATCAACGCAATTGGGACCGATGACATGCATCAACCAAGTCAGCGAGCCTGACCAACCGATCCCGTTAGTCGCCTTTTATGGCAAGCATGGGTTGCTGAAGACCTATTCTACCCCGGATCTTCACAGGTCACATTTAGGAGAGAAACATCATGTGTTTTCAGATTTAAGGCCATGATAAATTCATCATAAGATTATCAATTAAAATTGATTTATATGTAATTTAAATAATGCGAGCAAAGACCACTTGCAGTTTAATTCACAGTCACATTAATTTCAAGATTTACAGTACTTATTCACAAACATATTCATTGTTGATCTTGATCTCGATAAAAATTATAGACATGGTTTACAATCTACTTTGATGGTTTCTACAGGAGGTGCATAATACGCTGGTTCGTATTATAGACAGCGCTATGGTAACCATATTCTCTACATATTAAAGGATAAGAATTTATGGATGAGCAACTTCTATATGACAATTAAGAGCGATTATCAAGCAATGGTCTCAGAACCTACACCGAAACGTCGCTCTTAATTGTAATAAAGAAGTTGCTCATCCATAAATTCTTATCCTTACTTAGTACTCCAACTTCTAAGAAGAAATGTTCTCTACACTTGTACTTACTCGCCAAGGAACCTGTTCTTGGCCTGAGACATTGAGCTGCCAAACCTCTCCTGGTAGCTGGCATAGCTTCGAGCTCTCACAGACAGATTCTGCACCTCGTCCTGCAGGAAGCGGATGGTTTCCAGCGCCGTCACAGCCATCGTGTCAGCATGCAGCAGCTCCGGATCCCGCACCCGATTCTTCAGGTCCATCAGTTTGGACCTGATATTAGTGATGAGGGAGTCCAGGTCGGAGCTGAATTTCCTGATGTTGTCGTCCTTCTTGGCCTCACAGTACAGGATTGTGGACTGGAAATAACAGTAGAGGGAAAGGTAACTATGGCAACCATGGTAATGGGTAGCAATGTCATTTCTAAATCAAGAATCAAATTGTGTCCATATTTGTAAACATAAACTGTCTTATCATTATCAACATGAATCTTACAAGAGTGGGTGAGCGACACACAATAAACCAGATCGCATGATACAGCGTTCTCTCGCTATTGCGCTCTTCAATATGGCGCTAATTCGGTTATAGCGCGTGGTAAAGTATGGCTCCCAAAGTTTAGTAACATAAAGTCAAGTTTTCCAATGACACGATGTTTTCCCCCATCAAACATTATCAGCTGATCACCGCGATCACGTAACACAGGAAATACCAGTCAACAAATCCGAACTGAAGTACGCAATTTAATCCTATTATTATATCTGGTTATAAACAAATTGTTCATTGTTTCAGTGTTGTTTATCTGGCAATATATTTTATTAATCATATTCAAAATTTCATTCAATAATTATAATAATGAAGGGATACGATGTGTTTTTATGAAAGCACTTATGATACTCGATTAATCTTGTTTTACACTGTGAATCACAAACAACTTCTATTCTAATCTTTTTTTAAACTCTGAAACGTGCAACGTAGATTGTGTTAGGTAGGCAGAACATGTATACTGTTGTTGGTCATGTACCACCTACGACTCGACCTTCATTAAACCTCTGATCATCAATAACGCTCATCAATTTGGACCCCAAAGGTAGCGTTGTAGTGAGGGATCACTGTATTACAATCCAACAAGAATAGAGTACAAGGAATTTATTCTGCCCTGGAATAACTCAAGTCCTTTCAATAATACAAGCCCTGCGTACCCTTTTGTAATTCCTTTGTTTTCGAGAGATTAGTTTAATAAACTGGAGAAGCCTGTGAGTAAGTGATGGTCATTCAATGTGTTCATAGTATGATAGTTTATTTAATTCAATTGGATTAACATACAATAGTGGTGTAAAGGGGGTTATAAAAGTTGGTATATTTGTACTGACTGACATTCTCATCATGAGTTAAAAACGAAAACGCATTGCTTACGATGCTGAATTCAAACTGCGAGTCTTCGCTCTAGCTGATATATTTTCTCACAGGTTCATAATTCTATATACACCGATTCACAAAATGGCGCTTTGTTGTTGATGGCAACATATAACGATCAATATGAGATTAAAAAAAACCAAGAGAAACAGCTTCCCACATTATAAAAGTGGATGACTGGTTTGTTAAATCTTTATTAGAAATAATAATGACTTTTTCAATATAATTACAACGTTTTTCATCTTATATTTTTGAATATCTGCGAGTACCGGCACATGTCTTGCAGTCCGACTTCGCAGTGTTTTTTGCCTTTCACTTCCTGGTTCGGCTTATCTGCGGGTCATACCATTTTCTTTCGTATTTCAATGGTCAAGTTAACACCTCGGCTTATCTACGGGGTCGGCTTATCCGCGGTCATATACCGTAAGTTGCAACAGTAAAGCATTTCCAAACAGACATTAAGCTATTTTAGTGAATTCTAGTCAATAGACAAGTAATAACATTAGGCCAGAAGATTTTCATCCAAATGTCTTTCTGATGTGAGGTAAGAAACATCTTACTTTTTTTCTTGCAGTCACAATGGGTATGATGAAAGTTTGAATGTTTTTCAGATTACAGTTAACCTGGTTTGTAGTACATGGGGAGACAGTATGGAAAGAATATAATAACAGAGCTCCAGATAAGCTTTTGGTGTTGTGGGTATTTTACACATGCATTTTAAAATCATTGGGTATCAGTAATTCTATCTGGGTATTCAAATTTCTGTTACCCACTAGTTTTAACACATGTGGGTATTTAAGTTAAATATTTAAAAACACTATTCTAATTAAAAACATCAAGTCCCTGCAAACTGGTGTCGTGTGGGGTCGAGAGCTTTATAGGACTCAAAAATACCACGATACTTCCACAAGAAAGTGTGATGGCAAATGATCATGATGTAAGTGTCATCGTGGAGTTTGGCAAGGTTGACGGAATGCCCGTTTATAATTTCAAAATAAGTTGCTGATTTGCTTATCGAATAAGCAGGGTTACTTCACAATATTTTGATGATACCCACAAGTTTTATTTTTGTAGCGTATCTGTAATGTTCGTTGCGTATTTGATACGCTTGGATTTTATTTTACTTCTTATTTCTGCATTTCTGATGTGTATTTTACGCAGATATGCAGCTTATCTGGAGCTCTGTAATAATCAAAGGAACTTTAAAGAACAATGTTATGACAACAACCATCCATGGAAATCATCACATTTGGTACAGCAGTTTCTGAGATGTAAAACGCTTTACCAGTCACCGTCAAGGCTCCCTTGCACGTGATTGCGTGATCGTGAGAATTACGTGTTGACATAGAATCGTCCAACAAAAACAAATATGACTTTTAACGAGTCACAATATGGAATTTATGATATATGTATCCATTCTCTGTCAACTAAAGTTCGTTTCAAGGCGTCAATAGCGGTAATCTGACCGTGGTTGCTGTTAATAACGGTGACTTGTGCGATCTTCTGATTGCTTCACACACGATTTCGCCAAAATTAATTAAAACAATATTAAAAGGAATTTTGAATAAAATTAATCAAATAAGTTACAAACATAACTCCAGATATACAAAGAACACTTTTTATAGCCAGACAGTGTAATTACATGACTTATTTGCGTACTTCAGTATGGATTTGTTGACATGGTATTTCCGGTGTTACGCGCTCACGGAAATGTCTTTCCATGGGGGAAAAAACATCAAAACTCATTAATTCGTGTATAATGTGCAACCCCTTCTACAAAGCTGTGTTTTTTGGAAAATAAGTGTGCACTATACTCAAGAAAATACGGTACTTGTGATGAATCATCAACGATGGCCAAAGTTGAGTGTAGACAATGCAGTGATGTGGTTTATCATCTACACATTGTTTCTGTGACTTAGAACATTCTTAACCCTTTTGTATTTTAAATCTATGATTTTAATTTCTTATTAAATAAAATGAAAAGGACAAAAATGGTCACAGAAACACCATGCTGTTACAAGCCATTTGGTTTCAGAAGAGCTTATGGTGGTGAATGACAGCCATTGTTTTCCAAATCTCATAGCGATCCTGTCACGACATCGAGTCAATAGAGCACCGACCTTCACCTACCTTCAAATGCTGGAAGCTTGGGCCAAGGGTCTGATACAGAGCTAGGTCCTCAGGTTCGATCGCTACATAGTAGTCCTTGGCTATGGTGAAGAGTTTGTTGACAATGTTGAACTCCTTCTCTAGAGCAGCCAGTTCGTTGGACATCCGACCCAGGAAGGACAGATGGTCCACAAACTCCTCCACCGATGCTGGCGGCTTGTCCAGTCGACTTGATGCTCCCTACAAGGCACAATATGTTATAGTGAGTGAGTGAGTGAGTCGGGTTTTACGCCGCTTTTAACATTATTCCAGTTATACCACGGCGTGTCAGCTTAATGTGGGAGGAAAGCCCGAAGTGATGCAGGTCTGAGATGTTTACCACTTCGGTGAAACCCACGAGCACGGGTATGGTGCTGACAAACCTAGAAACATAATCGGGGTGAACCGGGATTTGAACCGACATTCATAGGTTTCTGTTGTGCCCAAGGGACGCAACTCTGCACAGAGAATCGCGGCGCCTTAGACGACTGGGCCACCCCTGCCCCCGATGCTCCCTACAAGGCACAATACGTTATAAGTTGTTGCACGATCACGAGGAGTACAGGGGATTTTATGTTTCCCTCGTTAGGTTTTATACCACTTCCTGGAGTGAGTGATTTAAAACCTAACGAGGAATGCATAAAACCCCATGTACCCCGAGTGATCAGGCTACAACAAATTTATCTTACCGACATGTTTTAATAATGCATTGTAAAATACATCTTCCCGAGGCAAGGGAGTCAACTGACTTTAAAAGTCCAGTTGCCACCCTTGCCGAACTAGGCTGGTATTATGGAGTTACATTTTGGCTGGACTAACATAGTCTATGCATAGTCCAATCAAAATCGTGCACCGAAATTGAAATCCAGTTCGTAAACTGTCGTGCAGATTTCGGTCGATTGCAGAATTTGCAAAGCATGTGCACCGCCAACTCGTTGTCAACAGGTATTTTCCAAACCTTTCCATGTTTTTAATCGAGGTGGTCGTGTGATTTGAGGCACTTCACGATATAAGACCCGTTTTATCAAAATATAGATCTTTATTATCGATCAGATCGTCTTGCCTGGGTGCCGCCATTTTGTTTGAAACAAATGCAAGTGATGGAATCGGATTGGTCCATAGGAGAGGCTTAGAAGGGACATAACTCGTAATAGCCACTGGTGGCGCTACGATTGAGCCCAGGAATTCCAGCCTAGTTCGGCAAGGGTGGAAACTGGACTTTTAAAGTCAGTTAACTCTCTTGCCTCGGGAGGATGTGTAAAATATTGCAAACAAATTCAAAATTGATTGAAAACAGCTGTTCGATTGTCATGTGACTTCCACTGACTCGGAAAAAGCGGGCAGCTTTTCGCTTTGAAGAGGGGTATAAGGGATTTATTCTGGGCCTCAATCTAAAAAAAACATCCATTTTTAAAAAATGCTATAAACATGCTTCATAGAAAATGCCCCATATTGTCATCTGTCCCCTTATCTAAGCCATACAATACCTTAATGATAGAGAGCAGGTCTTCATTGCGCTTGTTGGCGGTGACTGGCAGCCGTCTGTGGATGATGTCAATGATCTTCTGGGGAAAGGGCAGACAGGAGTTGTAGTAGTCCGTGACCGACACCTGGATCATTGAGATTCTCCGACTCAGGATCATAAGATTCATCCGAGTCACCTGGAAAGAGTCATCATTATCATCATAACACTAAACATTAAGTTGCAACTTCAAAGAATGAGAGACCCGTGAAGATCTGGGGAAGAATAGGTCTTCAGCAACCCATGCTTGCCGTAATCGGGTGGTCAGGCTGGCTGACTTGGTTGATGCATGTCATCGGTCCCAATTGCGTGGATCGATGTTCATGGTGTAAATCACTGGACTGTCTGGTCCAGACTCGATTATTTACAGATCGCCGTCATATTGCTGGAATATTACTGAGTGCGGCGTTAAACGACAAACCAAACCGAAACCATCAAACAATGAGAGTGCTGCATAATGTTCCAAATTCACTTGAGACAGATTAGATACAAATTTGAGCTGGTGAATGAATCACTAAAAGCAATACAGTGAAATCACACTTATCAAGACAGGAAGACGACATTCTGGGTGTTCCTGAAAATGATTTGGTTGGTTGTTTTGTTGTTCAACGCGCAGTAAGCAATATTCCAGCTATATGATGGCGGTCTGTAAATGATCAAGTCTGGACAAGACAATCCAGTGATTGATATCATGAGCATTGATCCACTCAATTGGGATACGATGTCATGCATCAACCAAGTCAGTGAGCCTGACCACCCGATCCCGTTAGTCACCTCTTACGAATGAAAACTGTACTGCATTAAATTGCTAATTTAGATGGAAAATTTGAATCCAGACGGTCATAGTTTATGACTTCATAGTTATTGCATAAATATGTGAAAATATTATGTCATACATTCAAGCTTTTTATAACAAAACATTTGGAAACAACTAACAAATCACCTTAATTAGAAATATGGAAAAAGTATCACATGTGATGTTGTTCAAGATATTGTGGTTTAAAGGTACTTACGGTGGGAGGTAACTCAAGTCAGATTAAGAAATATGTAGATTCAGGTATATGGTTGATATTTATAACAGAGGTAGTTGGATTAACAGGGTTCCACTAAAAAGCCTTCATGTTCCACCTACAAGACACCCTGCAATCACGACCCCATCTTTGGAAAAGTCGTTTTCATACGGTTGTTGTTGTTGTTGGTTTGTTGTTTAACGCTGCACTCAGCAATATTCCAGCTATATGATGGCGGTCTGTAAATAATCGAGTCTGAACCAGACAAACCAGCGATTGATATCATGAGCATCGATCCACACAATTGGGATAGGATGACATGCATCAACCAAGCCGGTGAGCCTGACCACCCGATCTCGTTAGTCGTCTTTTATGACAAGCATAGTCACCTTTTACAGCAAGCATGGGTTGCTGAAGACCTATTCTACCCCGGAATCTTCACGGATCTTTGATACAGTATTCATTACATTAACTGTTTGGCTATTTGTAATTTGTTAAATTTTCATGAACATTCTGTGGTGGTCAGAACCATCTACAAGGCCTGATGAACATGAACTTGTCCTCACTCAATCACTTCCCTTTTCAGGTGAGATGGGGTGAAATGGGGATTAACGTCGTGTCCAAGATTATTGCACTTGTGACATGCACGTGTGTGTGTTTGTGTGGCTGCTTGTACTAGTTCGGACTGGTGCCGATTTATAGTGATAGCTCACTGAGATACCATGCCGCAGTTTAACATGAATACCCCACTCCGACACAGAAAACTGACTCCGAGCCGACCAATCCATGTTTTAGACCAGTAATGCCGAGCGCCAGACAGGGTAACAACAAGTACCATCTTTTAACGTCTTTTGGTATGACACAGCTGGGGATTGAACCACGGAATTTCCGCAGTTCGGCCGACGCTCTACCACTAGACAGCGGAGGCAGTCCTTTCCTTTTTAGAAACTGGTAAAGTGAGGTTTCTCTAACTGGATGTGACAAGACTACCCGTACATACAATTGTGTTAAACAGCATGTAATAAGTGAAAAATAGCCTGAGATGTTGTATAAGCCTGCAGAGTGGTGTTCTTTAAACTCCCCCCAGTGCCTAAGGGGTCCTTGCATTGGGTACGACAGAAATGTACCTCAAATACCTCTCTGTACACAGAAATGTACCTTAGCTCTAAATAGTAATACAGAAAGGGACCCAAGATGGCCACAGCATGGCGGTGGCTGGGCGAGTCTATCAAAATGGTGAGCAAAACAATTTTGGGTTTAACTTGTAATGTAAAGTCTTTCATGCTGTGGACCCGTGAAGAGTCCGGGGTAGAATATATCTTCTGCAACCCAAGCTTGCCGTAAAAGGTGACTATGCTTGTCGTAAAAGGCGACTAACGGGATCGGGTGGTCAGGCTCGCTGACTTGGTTGATGCATGTCATCGATCCCAATTGTGTGGATCGATGCTCATGATATCAATTACTGGCTTGTCTGGTCCAGACTCGATTATTTACAGACCGCCGTCATATAGCTGGAATATTGCTGAGTGCGGTGTTAAAGAACAAACCAACCAACCAACAATCTTGCATGCTGTGGGTGTAGATTGTTATTAGCGAGTGGAGACTGTGGTGGCAAAATAACAAGGATTTTGTTTATTCTCTCCGGAGTGTTTTAGTGTATGATAAACAACGACCAAGAGTTGTTTATTTCTTATATGAGATATTAGCATAATGTACAGCCTCTTTTAGGGTGATGATACAGAAATGTTTAAGCTTTAAAAATATGTACCCATATTTTTATAATGATGACTTCCTCAATATATCGGACCTTGTCAATGTTGGACAAGTCCATTTTATGCACAGGCTGGTACTTCCTATATATTCTCACAATCCTTACATCAATTTCTTTTCTCTCAATATCGATTGTCATATCTCTCCCGCTTTTGGATGCGATCATTCGGCAATCGCTTTTATCTGCATTGCCCAGCTAATGGGAACAGCTCACTAGACACTCCCCTCTCAAAAATAACATTGTCCACTACACGACGTCATGAAGTTGCGAGTGCATGTTCGAATCTCCAGAAATGACGTCATGGTAGAACAATGCATTATCGTGAAATAAACCACACTTTCTTTGTCATTGGTCTTCACAGTCATGATTGAGTTTACCGTGGCCTACAGTGTTTTGCTCACTGTTGGATGGACTCATCCATTTGCAGCAATACGTTGTATTGAACACCTAGATCTAAGTAGGTAGTCTGATTTAGGATCTAGTATACTTCTTAATACAGGGGGGGCATGAGTGGCCCAGTCATCTAAGATGTCACAGAGTTGCGTCCCTTGGGCATGCCAGAAACCTATGGTTGTGGTTCGTATCCCGGTTTGCCCCGATTATGTTTCTAGGTTTGTCAGCACCATACCCGTGCTCGTGGGTTTCACCGAAGTGGTTAACGTCGACCTGCATCACTTCGGGCTTTCCTCCCACATTAAGCTGACACGCCGTGATATAACTGGAATACTTTTAAAAGCAGCATTTAATACAACTCACTCACTCACTTTTAATACAGAAAAGTACCTAGAGTACATTCTGTAGTACCTATATAACAATGCCGCCTAGGCCTTTCAAATATTATTAGCCATGGCTGGGATTATTTCTACTTCTGCTAAAATGTCCTACCATCTCTGTATGAGCAGCCAGCACATGGTTGAATTCCTCGGTTGACCAGTTCCTCTTGGCCATCGACTCCTCCACATCCATAGACCGTGACTGGTCTACCATAGTACAAAACTGGTCGTAGTCCTGGAACCAACCAATCAACTTCATGTCATAACATTTGTTTGTTTGTTTGTTGTTTAACGCCGCACTCAGCAATATTCAAGCTATATGATGGCGGTCTGTAAAATAATCGAGTCTGGACCAGACAATCCAGTGATTGACATCATGAGCATCGATCCACACAATTGGGATCATGACATGTATCAACCAAGTCAGCGAGCCTGACCACCCGATCCCATTAGTCGCCTTTTACGACAAGCATAGTCGCCTTTTACGGCAAGTATGGGTTGCTGAAGACCTATTCTATCCCGGAATCTTCACGGGTCTCATGTCATAACAAGATATGCAGTGTAAATAATAAAGTCTGGACCAGACAAAAGTGTGATTGATATTATGAGCAGAGTCCAGCGTCATAGGGAATGATGATACACAATGTACTTAGTCACCGAAACTGACCATCCAATCCATTTTTGGTGCCTCTTATGGCGAGCATAGTTTGTTGGGAAGTTATTCTAAAAAAAGATTTCAGGACTCTCTTGTCAAAGAATTTAAATTACAATTTAAATTTACAATCTGAGGACATTCAGTATACCACCTCACAAAAAGCGATTTCAGGACTACCATTTTGTCAAAGCATTGGAAGGTAAGGTGATGTGAGGTCAATTCGGTTTTAATGTCACGTCCAAGATTATAGCACTTATATAGTCACATGCATGCACGTGTGTGTGTGTGCGTGTGTGTGTGTGTGGCTGCTTGTACTAGTCTGGACTGATGTCGATTTATAGTGCTAGCCCACTGGGATACTATGCCGCAGTTGATCATGAATACCCCACTCAGACACAGTATACTGATTCCGAGCCGACCAGTCCTTATTTCATCCCCTTAATGCCAAGCGCCAGACAGGGTAACAACAAGTACCATCTTTTAACGTCTTTGGGTATGACGAGGCCGGTGATCGAACCCCGGACCTCCGGCTCGTTGGACGGATACTCTACCACTAGACCACAGAGGCGGTTAAGTGTAAGAAGACGTTTCAACAATTGCTTTGTGTCATAAGGTCAAGGCTGTTACCGTGGAGAACTGCTTGATCAGCTCCAGCTCCATGTGGACGTAGGATGAGATCTCGGCCAGCATCTTCTGGTACTGAGGGTCATCCCGAAGCAGGAGGTCAATGTCAGGCCAAGGCATCTGCAGCTCTCTTCTCTCTTCCTCCTCTTCCTCATCAAACTTGAGGCGGAGGTCATGCTTAGGAGGGGAGTAGAACACAGCTAGTTTGGGTTCTCGTAACATTGGAACTACTTTTGCTGTGGAGAAAATACAGAGTTGTCATATATGAGCATGTAAAGGCAACACTTTTGAAGTTTTAAGATTTTAATATTTAATAAAATTAAAGGGTAGGAGAAAAACAGAATTTGTTTGTATGTTGCTTAACATCATGCTCAGCAATATTCCAACTATATAACCTCAACCTGTAAATAAAGACCAGTTTCATATTGATATGAGCCACATCCCACACCGTCAGGGCCAGATGACACCCAATTGACCAAGTCGGACGATCTGATCCGATTTAGTCATCTTTAACAACACACATTGGTTGTTGGGAATTTATTCCAACCCAGAATCCTCAAGAAGAGAGCGTTATGAGGCACATCCCACACCATCAGGGTCTATTGACACCCAGATGACCATGCCACCGAGTCTGACCATCTGATCCGATTTAGTCATCTTTTACAACATGCATGTAATCTATCGGACCGTCATTCAGGCGATGTTTCTGACAGATCACGATCTGAAAACTACTGTCATGAAAGTGCATCCCATGGATAAGCCGACCCCTTTCTACAGAATCTTTTTCTGGTCCTCAGAATTCGGCTTATCTGCGGACAAATACTGTAGGTTGTCCTCAAGAGGAGAAATTAATTTTCTAATCCAGTGTATCGTATATTATATAATGTAAAAGAATGTGTTTTATAAATGATGTTTCGTTAACAAATTAGTTTTCGTAAGTTGAAATAAACGCAAATGTTCATAGTTGTAAACTTGTGTGTCTGAATATATTTTATTTCATTCGGCATCACATTGTGTGCCATGGGTGTTTAGTTTCCATCAAAAGTACTGTTAGTGAAGGAATCGATTTGTTAAATTTAAACCTACCAACAGTGTTTTCAAAGCCAGTTATGAGTTCAAAGACACTGGTCTTAAAGTCCATCTCGGTAGGCGACAGGCTGACGTAGGACGAAGACAGGTCTTGTCGGGGAGAGGAGTCTCTGAAATATCACACATGTAACAACCATACTGTATTCGACGTAATAATCACCCCACTCTAATAAGCGCCCACGGCTATATTTGCTAATATATTGGCTAGTGAACAATCCCAATGAGCACCCCTTCCGATTGATCAATGTACACAAGTCTCATTTATTTGGGTATAATACGCACTCGTGTGTTATATGCATCCTTAATTATGAACAATTAAATTCTGAAAAATATATCTGTCGTGTATAATACGACTTTTCTTTTGTATCATTTCAGGTTGTCACCATAAACCACGAAATTTATGATCTTTCAACTCTGTTTTTTCTCACCAAAATTATATTCTAATAAGAGCCCCCTATTTCTAATTTTAAGAGTGCCCTGGGCTCTTATTATGTCAAAAACGGTATTCACATAAGGCCAGGAACAATTATTAAGAAATGTCACTGGAAGTGCAGACATGCACACTTACAAACAGGAGTGAAACATCCTACTCCAAGCTCTATACTGACTTCATATAATAAGTAGAAATAACTATAAACATGTTTAAAATTGTTTACTGTTTGTTTGTCGTGAGTGAGTGAGTGAGTTAATACATATTTTGTGCCTATTGCACCTTTTTTATTATGTAAATAAATGTTCAAAATCTTCAATAAATCTTGTAAAATAGTCTCTATTCATTATGTATTGTAGGCCACAGGCCCATTATATATTACAGAGTATACAGTGAGAGAGAAACATTATAATACAAAATTTACACAAGACGTAGTTTCATTGCTTTGTAAATGAATACGGATAGATTTTGAATGATTATTACATTATTTGATGCCATTAGAATATTAAACGTATGTATGGAGGGGTACAGGTAAAACATTTTGGGTATATATTTTCGTCTTAAATGTACATATCGATCACAAATTATTATGAAATGAAATTCATCGTCAATTTGATTTTGATTGCAAGCCAGGCACAACCTTTCAGATTTTTACTCTTTTTTTATACCTCCCAGTCTCAATTCGGAGCTGGTGGGAACAGCATCTAAATTGCGCTAGGGCACGCCTATATTTAAAAATTGATAATTCTTTTAAATATGTTTCTAAGCCAATATTTGTTTTGAATAAACTGTAAAGAGTTGATTTTGAGCTTGATGAAAGAGCTGCGTGCCAATTTTGTTCATAAGATAATTTTAGACGGAGTATAAATTCTGACATAAAGCTTATAAATCTTAGAGTAGCTAATATTTCCCTGCACTCACTCTACTGCCTCTGTGTAGGCAAATCTGTTCCTTGTGGGGTCCTCCTCCTCCTCATCCGAGTAGCGCTGGTCCTCTTCGTCAGACCCACTCAAGTAGTCACTCTCACTCTCTGTACACAACAGAACAACATACATGTATGTACATGAGTTTGGTTTAGCTCATCTTGGAACAGTACTCATCACTATCATGATATCAGGGTGAATCTGGGATTCAAACCCACGATTAGAGGATCCTGGAAAGGCTAAGTGATGCAACTCTGCACAACAAACTTTTGCAACTTACACCAGTGGGCCACCAATGCCCCTAAAGCTCAGCTTATGGACAGGGATGCTGACAAAACACACAAAAATGAAGACAACAATACGAAATAAGTGACATTGTTCATCCCATTAATGCAACACAAGCCCCTCCCATTCTATTATCAGCCAATCAGGAAAGAGTAGTCGCTAGTGGACCTGGCCTACTTTTTCCCCCTGCAGTTTAAGGAAAAGTAAACATACAGAAAAGTTGCTCAGTTAGCCAATCAGATGGCACGGAATCAGTTGCTTTTCATGATATCTTAAAAACATAAATAGTATCGAGCAATTACAACAGAAACTCCAAGGAAACTGTGAATAACTAAGAACATCTGATACAATGTATGCTATGATAAGAATTGTTATCAGATAAAGTTTCAGATCTTAATATTTTCAAAATGTCAAACAGTTGGTGAATGAGTGAGTGAGTGAGTATGTTTTCACGCCGCTTTTAGCAATATTCCAGCAATATCACGGCGGGGGACACCAGAAATGGGCTTCACACATTGTACCCATGTCGGGAATCGAACCCGGGTCTTCGGCGTGACGAGCGAACGCTTTAACCACTAGGCTACCCGACCGCCCCCAAATAGTTGGTGAGGTGAAATTGGGTTTAACGTAGCGTCCAAGATTATTGCACTTACTGTATTCGACGTAATAAGCGCCCAGGGCGCTCTCAAAATTAGAAATAGGGGGCTCTTATTAGAATATTATTTTGGTGGAAAAAAACAGAGTTGAAAGATAAATTTCGTGGATTATGCTGACAGCCTGAACTGTTTATATACAACAGATATATTTTTCCAGAATTTAATTGCCCATAATTAAGGGTGCATATAACACACGAGTGCGTATTATACACGAATAAATAAGTCTTGTGTACATTGATCAATCGGAAGGGATGCTAATTGGGATTGTTCACTAGCCAATATATTAACAAATATTGCCATGGGCGCTTATTAGAGTGGGGCGTTTATTATGTCGAATACGGTAGTTTATTAGTTACACAAACGCATACGACAACTTTCTTATTCAGCCACTTACCAGAGATAGGTTCCTCGTCGGGAAACTTGACAATCTTCTTTTTGACTGCCCTCTCGTCTTTGTTGAAAGAGCTGGTTCTCCGGCCTTGTGGGCTACGGTTGTGATGCCGGGGAGAGCTCTGTCTCCGTGTCGACTGCCCAGTGGAGGGTTTGGGGACGTTCAGGACGAGGGAGACATGGAACACAGGGGAGACAATCTCTTCCACTATCTCCTTGTGCCTCAGTTCCTCCAGAACCTGACAGACATAGATGCCACACGATGACAGGAATTGACATCTAGCTTGCCAGAGTTTTAGTCTATACAAGCTTATATTTCCATAATTTCCTAAGAGTCATTAGCAATCAAAATATCATTTTAAATGAATTAGGGTTTAATGCTGAATTTCAGTTAAATATTGTCAGTTTACGTCATTGAATATCCAGTGTACTATATCTCCATTCTGTCATTGTTCCATGATCATAAATACCCTCGATCCATTTGTTAACATGACATCATTTGAATCCTGTTCGATTGAAACAAAGCTAAAAATAGCCATCCAATCAAATTACAAGCTTCGATATCATCAATACTCAGGTCACCGTAAAACTAAATGTTTTATCATGTTTTGTGACTACCTCCTACAAGGCTGCCATTTTAAATGTAGATCTGTGCCAAACTCTCATTTAGAAGAATCACACTGACTGGTAGTTGATTTGAGGCTCATGAATGAGAGAAACTGTGTGCTAAGTTAGTGACTGAACTGGTAATATCACTTCCGAACAAACCTGTGGTAGCAAATGGGTCCAGGACTAAACTGATTTCAAACAGAATGCATATTCTATGAAGTAGCAGTAGAGTGAGTGAGTGAGTATGGTTGTACACCGCTTTTAGCAATACTCCAGCAATATCACAGCAGGGACACCAGAAATGGGCTTCACACATTATACCCATGTCGGGAATAGAACCCTGGGTCTGCGACATGACGAGCGAACGCTTTAACCACGAGGCTACCCGACCACCCCAAGTAGCAGTAGAACTGACAGCAACAATGTGACAAGCAACATAACATGATAAACCGTTTCCTCCTCAGCATCTGAAACTTGTCCGATTGGATTGGTATTGATAAGCGAGATGGTGATGTTGACTCCAAAACTAAGCCTTAGCTGTAAACATGGTAAATTGGTCCAGAGTATTCACCATGAGGATGCTTGAAGATGGTCAGTTTAACAAGGAGAAAAGTCCAAAGTGATGCAATGTAAACTCTTCAGTGAAATCCAATGCTGACAGATCTATGATCATACTTGGGTCTAATCTGGGATTCAAACTCATGATAAACAGAGCAGGACCACTGAACCACCCATGCATCTCAAAACATGGAAATATTACAGTATACATACCGTATTTGACGTAATAAGAGCCCCGCTCTAATAAGTGCCCACGGCCATATTTGCTAATATATTGGCTAGTGAACAATCCCAATTAGCACCCCTTCCGATTGGTCAATGTACAAAAGACTTATTTATTCGTGTATAATGCGCACTCGTGTGTTATATGCACCCTTAATTATGGGCATTTAAATTCTGGAAAAATATACCTGTCGTATATAAACATTTCAGGCTGTCAGCATAAACCACGAAATTTATCTTTCAACTCCGTTTTTTTCTACAAAATAATATTCTAATAAGAGCCCCCTATTTTTAATTTCGAGAGCGCCCTGGGCGCTTATTACGTCGAATACGGTACTAAATATTTACAGAATATTTTATCTTCAACTAAGAACCACTGAATTTTGCCTCTGTGATATTTACTAACCAACCAACTCTGACATCCACCAGACATTACAAACAACTGATAGTATTTGACCAACTTTCCTCAAATACCCACACTTTCAAAATGAGAGGTCCTGGAGTCCTTGATGTATGATTCTTTAGTATTTGAATCTGTATGATTCTATAGTGTTAGAATCTGTATGATTCGAAAGTGTTGGAATCTGTATGATTCTATAGCATTGGAATCTGTATGATTCTACAGTATTGGAATCCGTATGATTCTTTAGTATTGGAATCCGCATGATTCTATAGTATTGGAATCTGTATGATTCTATAGTATTGGAATCTGTATGATTCTATAGCATTGGAATCTGTATGATTCTATAGTATTGGAATCTGTATGATTCTATAGTATTGGAATTTGTATGATTCTACAGTATTGGAATCAGTATGATTCTATAGTATTGGAATCCACAGACCCTCTATATCTTTAACTGTCAACATAACAAACTCATTGACTTTCATTTTAAATTTTGGTCATTGCATACAAACATGGCCAGTATTAAAGTAAAAAATGAATGCCCATAACATGACAATAGTCCATTAAGCTTCAACATACAGTACAAATTAAATGATATTACCACGATTACCAAAAGACAACTGGAAGCTATAAAACTACTGATCACATAGAATAGAGCGTGAATGTGCACAAGCAGTTGAAATTGTGAAACATATACTTGGTGAAAGTATGAAACTCATCAACCATTTGTGAAAAGAGCATTTTAATTTATCATGGTGTTTGACATCAATCTACAATGCTATAAGAATGTGCCATCGTTTACACATGACAAAAGCAATGTTCTCTGTGATAAATGAACTGTGTCCCTGCATTTGCAATTTGTATGTGATACATACAGTCTGGAAGGTAATTTAAGGTACCGACGTTTACTACAATATCTGAAAAACTATCAGACCTACTCCAGTCAAAGTTGGTATGAGATTATTAAACAGTCATACATAACTGGATACAATCGGTGCATGAATAAAAAATCTGTCTATTTAGCTATCACTATATTTCATCAACAACCAGACCTGTTCGTCACAGGTGGAACGAGCATTCATTGAAACAGCCATCTGCATAATGCTACCCCTGCATCCCAGGGCCATATGACACAGTTGAACCAATCTACTCAACTCGAAAGGGTGCTCGGGAATCATGCACGTTGAGACGCCCAACGCTAACACCGTATTTGTGCGTGCATGATTCCCGTGCACCCTCTCGAGTTGAGTAGATTGGTTCAACTGCGTCATATGGCCCTGTGACGCAGGGGTAGCATTATGCAGATGGCTGTTTCAATTAATGCTCGTTCCACCCGTGACGAACAGGTCTGGTTGTTGATGAAATATAGTGATAGCTAAATAGACAGATTTTTTATTCATGCACCGATTGTCTTTAAATGTAATATCCAGTTATGTATGACTGTTTAATAATCTCATACCAACTTTGACTGGAGTAGGTTTCTGATAGTTTTTCAGATATTGTAGTAAACGTCGGTACCTTAAATTACCTTCCAGACTATACACCTAGACAAGTGGTAATGCTGTGAAAAGTTTGTCAACATGCCTGTTTACCAAGTTTTACAAACACACCAAATCTGTACACAAAAAAAGAAAGTGATGAAACTTGTAGACAATTTCCATTGTTGATTTTCAGACTGGATAATTTAATATTATCAATATCAAATCAAAAGCAATAAAAATATTTATACATCTAAACATTCCAAATGTTCATAAACAGCCTAAATCCATGAATATAACTAGGGAGTCAGACAGTCCGGCTGTCATAACATGAGTAGCTAGTTTCCAACTTAGTGGTATTCATCAGACTCTGTTTCAGGATTGGCATCCCTTATATAATGCTAGGTACCTGAAGGCCATAAGTAGTGAGGGAGTGAGTAGGGTTTAACACCGCTTTTAACAGTATTCCAGTTATATCGTGGCGTGTCAGCTTAATTGTGGGAGGAAAGCCCGAAGTGATGCAGGTCTCAGACGTTTACCACTTCAGTGAAACCCACGAGCACAGGTATGGTGCTGACAAACCTAGAAACATAATCGGGGCGAACCGGGATTCGAACCAGCAATCATAGGTTTCTGGCGTGCCCAAGGGACGCAACTCTGTACAGCGAATTGCGGCGACTTAGACGACTGGGCCACCCGTGCCCCCAGAAGGTCATACTAACTGATTGTCAGAGCCTTTGGCTTGAAAACTGGAGAATCCAGTTCCATCTATATATAGAGCATGAGATGGCATTACCAGAGGTACCTGATGGGGATGGGGGTGCAACAGAGGGTCGCTGTCCCAGACGAAGTGGCTGTAACGTGGCTGTGACAAATCTATGACAAATCCTGTTGTTCCCCTACAGTCTACTGCTCACTAAATACACGAATACGAATTCCAAATTTAATGTCTTTTAACTTATTTACCCATAATGTTGGCACCAATTATATCTCAAAACAATATAGTTAATATTTCATTCATTCTTTCATTGTAGATTTGTCCTAGAGCAGATATGGCTGAAATAATGCCGATGCGACATTATAAATTTTAACTCCTTGAGCAGATATCTCTTTCTGGCTTGAAAATGACATTCAAAAGTATGTATGTGATTGTTGCACTCAGCAATATTCCAGCAATATGATAACTGAGTCGGGACCAGATAATCCAGTGATCAATATTGTGAGCCCAAATCACCACCATTGTGGTACAATGACACGCAATTCACCATGTCACCAGCTTGACTGCCCAATCCATCTGGTGGCCTCTTACAACGAGCATAGGTTGCTGGGGAACCATTCTAAATTGGAATTACCATGGGGTACATTGAATCGTGAAAAGCTAGGTTCAAATTCTGACCTGGTCAATGTCAGGTGGTCCTTGTCTCTCCTCTGGTTGGTCAAAGTCATACTGTGGGATGACATAGCCATTTTTGGTCACTTCCACTGGACGGGCTGATGTCTTTGGAGTAAGGATGGACTCAGATGACATTCGTCTGTTGGTCAGATGGTATTTATCAAAATATGAAGCTACATATGATAGGATAAAGATTCTTTTCAATTTTCTAAACAAAAAACACCAAACAAAAGCTCATTTCACACTGAAAACATCAAGTTTTTAGACGCTGTAGATGTGTCATATAGACCCCACCCAGAGACCTGTCACCAATACAGACCAAACCCACAGGCCTGTCACCAATACAGACCCTACCTCATAGACCTGTAACCAATACAGACCCCACCTCACAGACCTGTCACCAATACAGACCCAACCCACAGACCTGTCACCAATACAGACCCATTCCACAGACCTGTCACCAATACAGACCCAACCCACAGACCTGTCACCAATACAGGCCCACCCAACAGGTCTGTCACCAATACAGACCCCACCCCACAGGCCTGTCACCAATACAGACCCCACCCCACAGACTTGTCACGAATACAGACCCAACCTCATAGACCTGTCACCAATACAGACCCCACCCCACAGGCCTGTAACCAATAAAGACCCCACCTCACAGACCTGTCACCAATACAGACCCAACCCATAGACCTGTCACCAATACAGACCCCACCCCACTGACCTGTCACCAATAAAGACCCAACCCAAAAGACCTGCTACCAATATAGACCCCACACACAGACCTGTCACCACTACAGACCCAACCCACAGACCTGTCACCAATATAGACCCCATACACAGACCTGTCACCAATACAGACCCAACCCACAGACCTGGCACCAATACAGACCCAACCCACAGACCTGTCACCAATACAGACCCAACCCACAGACCTCGCACCAATACAGACCCAACCCACAGACCTGTCACCAATACAGACCCAACCCACAGACCTGTCACCAATACAGGCCCACCCAACAGGTCTGTCACCAATACAGACCCCACCCCACAGGCCTGTCACCAATACAGACCCCACCCCACAGACTTGTCACGAATACAGACCCAACCTCATAGACCTGTCACCAATACAGACCCCACCCCACAGGCCTGTAACCAATAAAGACCCCACCTCACAGACCTGTCACCAATACAGACCCCACCCCACTGACCTGTCACCAATAAAGACCCAACCCAAAAGACCTGCTACCAATATAGACCCCACGAACAGACCTGTCACCACTACAGACCCAACCCACAGACCTGTCACCAATATAGACCCCATACACAGACCTGTCACCAATACAGACCCAACCCACAGACCTGGCACCAATACAGACCCAACCCACAGACCTGTCACCAATACAGACTCACTCCACAGACCTGTTACCAATACAGACCCACCCCCACAGACCTGTCACCAATACAGACCCAACCCACAGACCTGTCACCAATACAGACCCCACCCCACAGACTTGTCATGAATACAGACCCAACCTCACAGACCTGTCACCAATACAGACCCCACCCAACAGGCCTGTAACCAATAAAGACCCCACCTCACAGACCTGTCACCAATACAGACCCAACCCACAGACCTGTCACCAATACAGACCCAACCAACAGACCTGTCACCAATACAGACCCAACCCCACAGACCTGTCACCAATACAGACCCAACCCACAGACCTGTCACCAATACAGGCCCACCCAACAGGTCTGTCACCAATACAGACCCCACCCCACAGGCCTGTCACCAATACAGACCCCACCCCACAGACTTGTCACGAATACAGACCCAACCTCATAGACCTGTCACCAATACAGACCCCACCCCACAGGCCTGTAACCAATAAAGACCCCACCTCACAGACCTGTCACCAATACAGACCCCACCCCACTGACCTGTCACCAATAAAGACCCAACCCAAAAGACCTGCTACCAATATAGACCCCACGAACAGACCTGTCACCACTACAGACCCAACCCACAGACCTGTCACCAATATAGACCCCATACACAGACCTGTCACCAATACAGACCCAACCCACAGACCTGGCACCAATACAGACCCAACCCACAGACCTGTCACCAATACAGACTCACTCCACAGACCTGTTACCAATACAGACCCACCCCCACAGACCTGTCACCAATACAGACCCAACCCACAGACCTGTCACCAATACAGACCCCACCCCACAGACTTGTCATGAATACAGACCCAACCTCACAGACCTGTCACCAATACAGACCCCACCCAACAGGCCTGTAACCAATAAAGACCCCACCTCACAGACCTGTCACCAATACAGACCCAACCCACAGACCTGTCACCAATACAGACCCAACCAACAGACCTGTCACCAATACAGACCCAACCCCACAGACCTGTCACCAATACAGACCCAACCCACAGACCTGTCACCAATACAGACTCACTCCACAGACCTGTCACCAATACAGACCCACCAACAGACCTGTCACCAATACAGACCCAACCCACAGACTTGTCACCAATACAGACCCATCAACAGACCTGTCACCATTACAGACCCAACCCACAGACCTGTCACCAATACAGACCCACCAACAGACCTGTCACCAATACAGACCCAACCCACAGACCTGTCACCAGTACAGACCAAACTGCCAAGAACTATGAAGCCCATCTTACCTCCGTGATGTTGGGTAGCTGGGCCGATAGCTCATGTCTGTCCTGACAGACTCGGAGTCACTCTGGGAGTCCTAAAACACACCCAGAACCAATCTCATTAAAATCAGATCTTAGTTCTCTCTAAACAAAGATCTGAGGACATCCCATTACGGCTCACGTCAGACCGGCCTTGCACGAACTTTGACCGACCAATGCAATGACCAATCAGAAGGCAGCTTTCTTGTGCTTTACAGCACAAATTTCAAATTGGCAACTACGCTTCGAAACAAATTCTCGATTACCAGTTTGAAACCTGAACAAAAAAAACATTCTGGAATGGGTTATAGATGGTCTAGATTGTAAGGATTCAGTCGTTAAACCAGTGATTATCGTTCGGAATACATGTGAACGTTTTCGAGATTGCATTATTAGAAATCACATTCCGACTGTCACTTTCATAATCTGGTAAGCGATGCACTGATTGGTCGAATGAAAGGTCGTTCTGACGTGACCCTTAATGGGATGTCTTCAGATCTTTGTTTAGCGGTAGTCTGAGTCTGGACCAGACAATACAGTGATTGATATCATGAAGATCAATTCATGTAATTAGGATACGATGACATGTATCAACCAAGTCAGCGAGCCTGACCACCCGATGCCATTAGTCGCCTCTTACGACAAGCATAGTCGCCTTTTACGGCAAGCATGGGTTGCTGAAGACCTTTTCTAACCTGGATCTTCACGGGTCAGGTCAGAATATGTGTGTGTAATCAGTATGAGGAATAATATTATGAAGAATAATATGAACAGTGTGGAGCTGTAGTACAAGCATTTGTGCAACAAAATAGTTATAAGGCTTAAAAAAAATAATAGAATTGGTTCTCAGGCAATGACTTTTTAAAATATAGTGCCGGCAGGCAGTGTATTTGTCTTTTCTGCCTGTTGAAACTGGTATGCAAAATAAACAGTTGAGTACCATCAACCTGGGAAAGGGCCTCCCTACATAAACAAGCATACAAACTCCTATTGCTGCCATGACCATAACACGAGATACGCAGTAAAGCAGTGCCATGTAAACGGAAGTAACTGCGTGCTATATTGCATCCAATATTTTTGACTTTTTAAAAACATTTTGAAAGTGGAAATTAAAACCAAACATGCGGCAGACTTTATGATGATGCGGGCAGTGCCTGAGAACCAAGACTATTATTTTTTTTTTAGCCTAATATCTCAATAAATACAATTGTTAGTACATAATACATGAATAGGGAAAGTAACATGACCACTCTCGATACACTGGGAAGGCATATACATAGGCACATGGGACGCTAAGTAGAGAAGGATTTGTACCTTGAAGCAGAAGGCTAATGTTACAAAACACATGGAGCATATGACATAGGTCATCCCATCTTCCAGAGTTAACTGACTATAAAAGTCCTGTTTCCATCTTCAAACAAAATGGCGGTGCCCAGTCAAGATGATCTCATCAATAAACAAGATCATCTTCCAGAGTTAACTGACTATAAAAGTTCTGTTTCCATCTTCAAACAAAATGGCAGTGCCAAGTCAAGATAATCTCATCGATAAACAAGATCCATATTGCAATAAAATGGGAGTTGATGAAACATGAAAAGATTTCATCCTATTGGACTATGCACAGACTATAATGCACAGATAAAACGGGTTTTACCTCGCGAAGTGCATCATATCTCTTGAGCACCTTGAGCACAGCAGTTACCATGTTGTTTACAAACCGAATGTCAATTCCTTCACGCGATTCCTATTAGACTATGCATAGACTATAATGCACAGATAAAACGGGTTTTACCTTGCGAAGTGCATCATATCTCTTGAGCACCTTGATTAAAAAAATTAAAATATCTGTCTTCGCCCAATTGACAGTACACATACACTGTAAATTCTTCAAATCGAACGAATTCGGGACTTCAGTTGCCATGTTGTTTTATGAACCGGATGTCGATTTCGTTACGGGATTTTTATTGGACTATGCATAGGCTCGTTAGGCCAGCCAAAATATGACTTAGACGTTCCAGCCTAGTTAGGCAAGGGTGGAAACTGGACTTTTATACCAGTTAATTCCCTAGCCTCAGGAAGATGAGGCCATCTTCCATCATACAGTCTCCATTATGTTATGATAATACCCTGGACCCATTTGCAACCATAGCATTGTAAAGAGCCTGATACAACACTACAATTCACCATCCAATAAAATTACTCTCATAAGTGAGCAAAATTCTGTGCAAATTTGTGATCAGCAAGATCAGGTGATGTCTCTTCTAGAGTAGAGATATGGCGTATATTGGTCGAGGGTTTATCATCATAGAATGGAGATATAAAACACTGGATTACAGGAGGCATCAAGAACATGAAAACATATGTAACAGTAGACATGACAAAAAATAGAATCTTCGAATGACCTTGATACAAGGGACATAATTCATACCATACAGATATAAAAATGACAAACACAGTGTTCCCACTGGCTTTTGAAACTGCCAGTTCTTAGAAACTAAGAAATACCAGCCTCCCCTAATTTCTTTCAGTCCCAACTTTCAACAAATTAAAAAAACGCATGAAAATTATCTAATTTTAATTTTTATCAGCATCATGTTCAATGCAATGACGCTATCTCTGAAACAACTTAGTTAGATCTACATGTCATTCACACAAAGTTCAGTAACAATTTTCCCTTCATTTTGTTTTGAATATTTTGACGAAGTCGCCACAAATATATATTTAACCATGAAGCATGTGAATAGACAAGGGGGAACCCAGATGACAAGCTTTTTTCGTTCGAAAACTATACTTATATGAATATCGCCGATGTTTTGTTCAACAACAAAGATTTATAAGGTACTTTATTTGCCAGTCCACAGGGACTGGCAGTCACATGAATTACCGGTCCACGCCTAATTTTACAAGTAAAAAAATGGTAATTACCGGTAAACGGGAACATTGAAACATGGTCTGTGCTACAGAATTACACATGTCAGTATTTTAAAACCACAGACAACACAGACATAAACATGATGAACATACTCTTTGCTACAGAGTTACATGTGTCAGTATTAAATAACCACAGACAATACAGGTATAAACCTGATAAACAGTACGTGTAACATCATGTACATTATAAATACAGTAGAACACAGATATAACGCACAGGGACATAGCGAACAAACGGATACGACGAACTGTTAAAAAATCCCCCATTTATCTCCTATATAATATCATATAAAATTTATGTATATAATGAACTCTGTACAGCGAACTAGCGGATAAAGCAAACTGATATCTGATCACCAACAAGCCCATCTACCAATAATTAGTGATGTGTATAGCGAACTGAGAAATCTCACTCAGTGTCAAGTGTCACTGACAATTGGCTGTACGCAATCAGTGGCGAATCAACACAATCGCGGCGAATCAACACAATCAGCGGTGACGGATCAACCTTGTTATACTTAAATGAATGTTATGAAATGTTATCAGTTGAATGCTATGAAGCGATCACTGCTAATACAAGTCAATGCTGCAATTACGTGTATTGTGTTTCGTTTAATCCAAGATGGCGGACGTTTCCGAGCGAATACGTCTATTACGAACAACGGATATAACGAACTGATTTCTCCGGTCCCTCATAGTTTGTTATATCCTTGTTTTACTGTAAATGAAATACATGCGGGCAATAACATACATGTATAAACAATCCACTGTTAAACAAACTTCAGAAGAATTTGAGTTTGGGGACAATAGGCATTCAGTGGAAGAATCCATTCGATTGAACGGGGGACACTGGTGGAGTGAGAGGCGTACATGTGGAGTTCATGAACTGTGAGTATGCATCAATGTGCCACGTCGACTCGACATGTGCACTGTAGCCGTTCACTGGCCCCGGAGAAAACCTTCCACCCCTGTTGTTGTTATGGAATGAACAGATTATGCAGATCAGCAGGTTCAAATGTCGGGTCGTGATTTGCTTAAGTTCATATATCTGATAAATTGTCAGAGAGTGCCGTGAACATTAAGTCTGTGTTTGTTTGTTGTTCGTTTGTTTGTTGTTGTTTAATGCCGCACTCAGTAATATTCCAGCAAAATGACGGCAGTCAGTAAATAATTGAGTCTGGACAAGACAATCCAGTGATTGACATCATGAGCATCGATCTACGCAATTGGGATACGATGACATGCATCAACCAAGCCACCAAGCCTAACCACCCGATCCCGTTAGCCGTCTCTTTCGACAAGCATAGTCGCTTTTCACAGCAGGCATGGGTTGCTGAAGACCTATTCTACCCCGGATCTTCACGGGTTACATTAAGCCTTTAGTTTCAGGGAGATGCATGCATTTATCAGGGAGAATTTGAATACAGCATCCATGAAACTTTAATGTTAACCAGTCACCGCACTCTATCAATTTACAATGGCTTAGAACCACAAAGGTCAGTTTTCCTTATCTATAATCATTAAACTTGCTTTCTGGGCCTTTATTTATGAAAAAACAAACAATTTAAGAGAATAATAATAATTCAAATTTGTCCCAATTTAAAAGTATAGATGTAGCATGTTTGTTTCTATTTACATATTTAGATTTAAAATCATGATCGATCAATCATATTGTCAGTTAATAGTGACAGACTTAATCCAGATTAACTTCATAAAAGTATTCAGCTGTATACATATAAAGTAGTTTTTATAGTGGCCTGTGTATCCTTTTGGCCTTGTGGGATACATGGGTCAATAATAATGATAATAATAATATCACTTTCGGTTAAAGATCATCTCAGATAAATACAAACAGATATTGAAAACGAATGATTGATGGCTTGACCACTTGACGTGTTCAATCCGACCAATTGTAAGGGTTCCACATGATGCCAAAGATATATGAAGTCTGTTTATCGTGACACAACATGATCACCCCTAATTTCATTAAAAATAGTTTTTCTGTCTGTGGTCGTCTGTTCGTAGACTACTTTGCTTCATAACTTTCATAGAAATGTTCACGTCATTCCATTTCAAGAAATGTATGCCATATTTGGGAGCGCTAATACGTTTTACTACAATTTATGAATGAAATGTGATTCCTTGTCGTTGTTGACCTCTCTGACTTTTACGTGCATTAATCTCATTGGTTAACTAATTCTTTTGTATACAAATTATATTGCCGATCTGGGACGCAGGCAAACTATTAGCCACACAATTTGCGTAAAATAATCACATGATACGTTCTCGCGATATATGACAAAGTTTGATGTGTTGATTTCTGTGCAGACGAGTCACAGTATCAGCTAAATGGCAAATTAACAGGAGACTTACTAAACTGTGACTCCGACACTTTTAGTGAGTGAGTGAGTATGGTTTAACGCTGCTTTTAGCAATATTCCAGCAATATCACAGCGGGGGACACCAGATATGGGCTTCACACATTGTACCCATGTCGGGAATCGAACCTGGGTCTTCGGCGTGACGAGCGAACATTTTAACCACTAGGCTACCCGACCGCCCCCGACACTTTGAGGTATATTGACGTTTTAACATAGTTTCTGATAAATCTGATAACCAATAAAGTCATGTAAAACTGGGCCGGTCATATATATCTACATTTGTATTAATTTATGCAGGAATAAACACACTAAGAACAGGATGTGACAAGTACTCTGCTGATTATTCACTTCAAGTTCAACCCTTCAGGCACCTGTATGGCCTTTCGGAGTTTTCTTTACAGTTTACATTGTTAAATCGGTCACGATGTGGATTTAATTACCAGTTGATTATAAGACATAGACCCATCTGCATCAAACATCGGCGGGTGAGGGTTGCCCATCCGTGAGCCTCCCGGACAGATCGGGAAGTATCACATGTATGTAAGTTTGTTCAGCAGTACGTACACATTTGTTAAACATGTCTTGTTGAAACACTTAATATTTCTATAAACATTTCCTAGGAATACAGAAGTAGGAAAGAGGAGAAGTTTGTTAATGTGACAGATCTAAGACAGGTCAGAAATAAGCATTGTGGGACAGCTGTCGTTTTATATTCTAGGATAAAATGTGCAAGATTCAAACTCTCAAACCTTTAGACTTGGAGGAGACATATCCACATTCTGGGTGAAAAGACACATAAAGAACTGTAATTTATCATACCCCTGAAAAAACTAGTCTTACTTCTTGGAAGGTCAATTAAGGTAGTATAAGGGGCCATTTGGACGACTGGAGGTGAAGGTCATTGTGTCAGTTCATTGTTAGCTCAAGGGGGTGAGGTGTGGTGAAATGGGGTTTAACGTTGTGTCCAAGATTATTGCACTTATATAGCGACGTGCATGCACGTGTATGTGTGTGTGTGGCTGCTTGTACTAGTCCGGACTGATGCCGATTTATAGTGCTAGCCCACTGAGATACCATGCCGCATTTTAACATGAATACCCCACTCAGACACAGTATACTGACTCTGAGCCGAGCAGTCCTTGTTTTAGCCCCTTAATGCCGAGCGCCAGACAGGGTACATCAAGTACCATCTTTTAACGTCTTTTGGTATGACGCGGCTGGAGATCGAACCCCGGACCTTCCGCTCTCCGGGCGGACGCCCTTCGATTAGACCACGGAGGCGGTCTTTGGCCCACTGGAAAAGTCTACAAAACACTTTGTAATATTTGTATGAAAATTGTTCGACTACTTTGAATGATCTCAAAAGAAAATCGGCACATGTTAAAGTGGGTACGTGGGTGTTCAGTAGTAGTGGGACTACACACCGATGCATCGGTGGATCGTGATTTTTTACTTCTCGATACAAGTATCGATCACAATTGCACACAAAGTAAACAGTATCGATTCTTACCTTAAATGTATTCTTTAATAAATGTTACATAAAACACTAATTTCTAGTGAAAATGAGTAGAATGTCAGAATTCTGATTGATCACCTTTAAATTGACAAACGACGACAGGGGATTACTATGGGGATTCCTGAAAAAAAAGTGTCACGCTTGTCATTTGTTTAATAACATATCATGAAATGAAATAAATACAACGCTATGTCTGCGTACCTGTTCGTCGTCATCGCCGATGTTGTAGGATGCGATGAAGTGCTCCAGCAGCTGCTGCACTGCTGTCATCACCAGGTGGCGCAGCACGTCCATCAGAAGGTAGTCGACAGATCGCAGGAAGCAGGACAAGCGTGCAAGGATCTTCCTCCACTCAGCAATCTCAGCATACAAAGGTTTATCTTCTGTATAACACAACACAACTGTTACACCCAGACTACTATCTCCAGAAGAAGCGCTACATGGATGTGAGTGTTCGAGTGAGTATGGTTTTATGACGCTTTTAGCAATATTCCAGCTTTATCACAACGGGGGAACACCAGAAATAGGCTTCACACAATGTACCCATGTTGGGAATCGAATCCGAGTCTTCGGTGTTCTGACGTGACCTAGCTGTGATGGGATGCCCTCGGCGATAGCAAGAACTTGTATCTGATTTTAATGAGATTGAGGTAATCTAAACATGTGATAAATCCTGTTTACTTCATTTAAAACATTAATTGTTTATTGTTAAGCAAGTTTATCTCTGCAGCTGTTGTTATATGCAGCTACCAGCCGACTCGTCTCGCATCAAAACACAGGCTGTGTACTCGCAGGCAGATGACCACGGAGTACGCTGATCACTGTGTCGGATTAACGAGACTGATTAATGAGTGATTTCGGTAATTCGTTGCAAATTAGGTGTGTTGGAGTCGGAGTGCGAGACTGTCGGATTAACGGGTCTAAATAGCACGATAAACGACATAAAAATGTTATGGATTTTGGGGACTGTTAAAAAATGTTAGGTGGGGTCAGTCCCTAAATTGAATTTGGAACAGTATGCACAGTATTTCTAGCATCATAATTTTCCTATGTTCAAACATAAGGCGGACTTACACGGGTCGGCCTGTCCAATCGATATGCCAAATTCGACCGAGTCGTATCGTCTGAGTGAATAATTGAATTCGACAAAAGGGACAAATTGGCCGCTCTAACCCGCATCGATTGTGACGCGAGTGCATAGAGTCTGTTCTAGCTAATCGGCAAGTTGGATATGGCACGGCCAATCAAATTGTGTTTTGATGTCACGTGATATTTGTTTACACACAAGCGGGAAACATGGCTTCGTCTGCTGCGAAGAAACCACACCTACACTTTTCGAGAGAGGAAACCGAATGTTTTGTGGCTCACTATCTGAGTCACGAAAGCCTGTGGAATGTCTCAAGCAAGGATTATTGCAAAAGAGGAAAAAGGAACGCTGCATTGCTGTCTTCTTCACACAATATCGCGCAGCAGATGACTGCTGCCACATCTGCTTCAGACATTTTGATACCATGGAAACAAATTATCGTGAGATATCATGAGATGGACACTCAATCAGCAGATTGAATCTTGTGAGTGGTAGCAAATCGATTAGTCGATATTCGTTACAATCACCGAACATGTTGTACAACGTATGGAAATCGGCATGTCGTTACGACGTGTCGACCCGTGTGAGTCGCACTTTACAGTAGCCACATCCACCTTCATTCAATGACACGCCCTCCAAACATGCCAGTCGTCATGGCTTGCTCGTCTTGGTACACATATTTACCCAACTTCACACAGAAATGGCTAACAAATGTGTCTCAAACTGAAATGAATTGTTTGGTCAGTATTTGCACTGCATCATTTTTTAGGATGAATTTTGTTTGCCGCCACTCACTTTTCTTTGCGTCCTTTTTGTCCAATTTTGTTGCACCCTTTGAATGTTTCATAGCCTCAGTAATAGTTTTGGGCACGATGATGGTGACTTTCTTGTGACTGTCGCCTCTGATGCCCTGCGTCACCCCCTCCATCTCGGCTACAGTCTGTTACAGACGATCCAGTAGAACATCATCATTAAAACTGCATGGGTTTATGTAAATGAGAAACCACTTCTCCTAGGGATCACATAAAGGAGGGAACATACCATAGCCCCCCTCAAAGTATGTTCCCGAATGTCAGGGTTTACAATCTCAAGTAATCGCGAGTAGAAGTGGTTTGTCCAACTTATATAACAACTCATCACATAGATAATACGAAAACATTGAGATACCTTATAGTGAAATAATACAGAGTGTTGCATTATAAAAGGAATTCCATCAAAGCATGCAAGAGAAAAAACATGTGCAGCATGGACCCACTGGATTCATGACATGTAAAATTGAACAACTTTTCATCACCTGCCCCAGTGGCTCAGTGGAAAAACAGGGGTTACAAAGGAGGTTTCTAAACTACACTACAGTCCTGCATCAACCATGAATACATACTGGACTGTAGTATCTATTTTTTAACATGAATCACAACATGGCCTGGTTCCATTGGGAATCTGGTATCTATAAGTTTCCATTTGTGAGTGTTTCCTAACGAATGTCAATCTCTCACATCACATGAAATGAGTGTAATATACAAGGCTCTTTCAATATCTATTTCAGTGAGTGAGTGAGTGAGTGAGTGAGTGAGTGAGTGAGTGAGTGGTGGGTGAGTGAGTGAGTGGTGAGTGAGTGAGTGAGTGAGTGAGTGAGTGAGTGAGTGAGTGAGTGAGTGAGTTGAGTGAGTTGAGTGAGTGAGTGAGTGAGTGTGGTTTTATGCCGCTTCCAGCAATATCACGGCGGGGGATACCAGAAATGGGCTTCACACATTGTACCCATGTCGGAAATCCAACCCGTCTTTGGCGTGACCAGCGAACACTTTAACCACTAGGCTCCCCGAACCGCCCCTATTTCATTTAGAATTCATAAACAACAAAATTATATCAAAAGAAAATCAGATACAAATCTAGTAGTTTCAAATATTTTTTCAAATCATGGAACCAGTTTGGGATTATAAATCATATTAATCTGATTCAGCATTTGTGAAAATAAAGGTCCACAGATGGACAAATCAAGGGAGGTAACTCACAGCACAGGACTCCCAGACAATCTCTATGACCTTGTCCCTGAGAGCACTGAGCTGTTGCAAGGCCTTGACCCCTTGGTCTCTCTGACATGCTTTGAAGTCCTGGAGCATCAGGGTCTTGCTGCGGTCAAGGCTGACCAAGGAGATCTCATTGCTGGTGTCCAGTTCCTTCCCCGAGATCCCCTTGGCGGCCTGACACAGACACCGGACGTGGATCAGACACCCCTGGAGCACTTCATTGGCCACGAACAGAGATTTGTAGAGGCAGCTCCTAGGATGATTAAATAAACAATACACAAACTAAATTAAAATCCGACTTTTTTGGACTGATTCTCCCTGTGAAGATATGACTACAGGAAGTCACATGATTTGAATCAGCCAATCAGCATGGAGACTTCTAAATTCCAGAACCAAAGAGCAAAGCATCAGCACATGTGATTTATGTTTCTAAAAAATAAACCCAATGTCATTAAAATCAGATCTTAGTTCTCGCTACCGCTAAACAAAGATCTGAGGAGATCCCATTACGGGTCACATCAGACTGACCTTGCGCAAACTTTGACCGACCAATGGAACGACCAATCAGAAGGCAGCTTTCTCGTGCTTTACGGCACTAATTTCAAATTGGCGATTACGCTTCGAAATATATTTTGACAAATCCTCGATTACAGATTTGAAACCTGAACAAACGAACAGTCTGGAATCGCCTTATAGATGGTCTAGATTGTATGGATTCAATCGTTAAACCCGTAACTATCGTTCGGATTTAAAGTTTTCGAGGTTGCATGATTAGAAATCACATTCCGACGGTCACTTTCATAATCTGGTAAGCGATGCTCTGATTGGTCGAATGAAAGGTCGTTCTGACGTGACCCCTAATGGGATGTCCTCAGATCTTTGTTTAGCGGTAGCGAGAACTGAGGTCTGATTTTATTGAGATTGAAATAAACCTTAACAGAAAGTTGAGAGTGGAGAATTAAATAATATTCAATGTCCTGTCATTTTTCTGAGCACCATGGCATCTAAGCTAAAAATGGTGCTCTTCAAGGAGAACATTTGCGCTTTTCGCTTTTTATTTAGACCATGTTGACAAAATATAAAATTTTACAATAAATTGTATATCTATATCCTTATGCTATCTCATACTATGCATTTCTCTTTCTTCTTTCGATCGTGGTGTGGAAATGCCCATGAACAAAGTTTCCAGCTTAAAAAAACATTTCACCCGAACACATCTCAGCATCACCACGGTCACCACCTAAACAAATGGGTCACGCACTGTAATCCCATGCATAGCGACCTTAGAAGACCTGAAGGGACATAACTCGTAATGGTGGCGATACTATTGAGCCTGGAAATTCCAGCCTAGTTCGGCAAGGGTGGAAACTTGACTTTTACAGTCGGTTACTCCCTTGCCTCAGGAAGATGGGACACAGGAGACTGTTTCATGAGTACAACCTTGCAGTGAAGGGATGGTTAAACAACACGCTTTGGCTTTTTTGACGATGATGGCCCATGTTCTGCGTCCCTTAATTTAGAACGCCAGTCGATGGTGCGTTTTCTGACACCTGCATATGTAATTTTGAAAAGCTTACTCCAATAATAAGAACTCTGGGAGCAATGGTGAGCAGTTTTGCATAGACCATGGCAATCACATTATAAAAAGTTCATATGCATTATTTTTAGGCAGAGCATTTTTTCTTGTCAGCTCCCATACTTTGCCTAAAAAGTGACGTATTTGTTAGAGGAAGAAACAGAAATCAATTCTTTACTAACTTAAACACGTCCTAACAAGGTGGCGATGAGAAAGAGAATGTGGCAGGTTATGTCAGGTTATCAGGTTGTCCAAGATTGCTATGCACTGGACTACACATTCGTGACCAACTCGTGTTATTCCGGGACAAGCCGAATAGCGACTCGTGCCTCTCTCGTGGCCATTTTTGCGACCGGGTTCCATCTTAGCGCAAATCGTCATACCTAAAACAATTGTCAACTTGTTACATAATGGGTCACATATATTTCCACATATGTTATATATATTTCAGATGCAATTTAAAGCACATCTGGACGTGCGGAATTGTACAGTATGATTGAACACATTTATCTGTGTCTTGGGTATATTTTTAGATGCATGTAAAATCAAAAATTATTTCTGAGGGATTCTGAGGGATTCTCATACACGCATTTTGATTGGTTTGTCGTATTTTAGCACATAACATTCATCAATAGGGGGAAGAGTCTTCTTGCAGGTTACGGAAAGGGGCGAGTGGTGACGAATGCGGACCACAGTGCGTGCCCCATTTGTTCAGTTGGTGACCATGGTGATGCTGGGATGTGTTTCAAGGCGTTACCACACCAAGATTGAAAGAAGGAGAAATGCATAGTGTGTGACAAGATAAGTTTAAAAATTTAAAAATATAGTGAAACTGCATTGCTTAGAAAGCTGACACCTGATTGGCTAAAAAAACTGTGCAGTTTTTATTTTGAAAGGGCAGCCCAAGACACTCAGGGATCACTTGAGTGGGTCTCCTATGGAATATGGAGGATTTGTCAAATCTTCACTGAGATACTGAATCAGAACAAATAATTTGACTGTAATAAGATTGAATAAAGTTTTTAATAGTTTCATTTCAACCTCTTTCATAAAGAATTTTATGACCGAAATAATCAACATATTAGCAAGGAATACCTGCCATTTTGCAATCTTTCATTGTAATGATTATTTTCTACTTGGTACAGTAATGAACATGTAAAACATTTAGACTGTAAAAGATCAATTAAATCATTTTAACCAATATAATTTGGAATAACTTTGTAAAAATACATTTCTTATATAGAAGTCTCATTACCTGCTTCCAGTGTTTTTCTGATGGCGAATATTTCTTCTCCATTGTTTGAATGTTTTCCATTGCCTGTAATAAAAGATGAGTGAGTGAGTGAGATGGGTTTATGCAGCTAACAGTATTGCAGTTATATCCCAGCATGTCAGCTTAATGTAGGAGGAAAGCCCGAAGTGATGCAGGTCTCAGACGTTTACCACTTCGGTGAAACCCACGAGCACGGGTATGGTGCTGACAAACCTAGAAACATAATTGGGGCGAACCGGGATTCGAACCCATGATCATAGGTGTCTGGTGTACCCAAGGGACGCAACTATGCGCAGCAAATGGGCGCCTCAGGCGACTGGGCCACCCGTGCCCTCTAAATAAAAAGATGTTACTGAAGTTTATCACACATAAGAACACAAAGAAACAACACAAAAAACACATTAAAAAAGGCTAATACAATATGATACTCCCAATTACAAAAATGACAGCATATAAAAAAAGGAAGAAACTTAATATATAACTTCTACAAATATCTATAGGATTGATAGGAATAACTATCCACTTACCAGCATTGCACAGGTTGTGAATTAGCTGTAATGCCTATTAGCACAGTATTTTAGTTACATCAGCTTAATGTGTGTGGAAACTGCAAAAGATGCAGATGTGTGACATCTACACTTTGGTGAAACCCATGAGCAGAGAAAAAAAATATTACGTAAAATGAGAGTGTGGGGGGGAGGGGGTCAACAAAATGTCATACAAACCTTAGACCAATCTCACCACCTCCCCCCATAGTTAATTATCAGTCCCTAAGTATTGCCCAATCATACATATACTGCTTCTATATGCAGTTCTCCAGTATCTCATTGACTTCAAGCCTTTTCTCACCTGAACTTGACAAAGACCGGTAGTTTGAATATCATGTAGAAGAGACGTCGCTCCCACAGCCATAGCAGGGCGTCTGTGTTGGAGGAAGAGTCCTGTCCATTCTCACCCTGCAGACACTGAAATACTCGAGTTTATTAATATTCATTTCTGGTTTTTGTTGCTTGTATTTTCAATGGCTCAAAAGTAACAATTACATTTCTATGAAATATAAATTCATTGTCTGACAAAAATAATATCATTCCTTAATGAATCAATGTACTACATGATGAAACTGTTTCAGTTTCGGGAACCGGAATCTTATAAGGCTAGAAATCTCCAATTTCAGGCTAAAAATGATCCAGTAGATATTCTCAGCCCTACACCTACCCTGGTAATAAATAAGGCCGATACTGTTCAGAAGATACTCTCAGCCCTGTCTGCATCTGCCGACACAATCTACACCTACCCTGGTAATGAATGAAGCCGACACTGTCCAGTAGATACTCTCAGCCCTGGCTGTCTGCCGACACAATCTACACCTACCCTGGTAATGAATGAAGCCGACACTGTCCAGTAGATACTCTCAGCCCTGACTGTCTGCCGACACAATCTACACCTACCCTGGTAATGAATGAAGCCGACTCTGTCCAGTAGATACTCTCAGCCCTGACTGTCTGCCGACACAATCTACACCTACCCTGGTAATGAATGAAGCCGACTCTGTCCAGTAGATACTCTCAGCCCTGACTGTCTGCCGACACAATCTACACCTACCCTGGTAATGAATGAAGCCGACTCTGTCCAGTAGATACTCTCAGCCCTGACTGTCTGCCGACACAATCTACACCTACCCTGGTAATGAATGAAGCCGACACTGTCCAGTAGATACTCTCAGCCCTGACTGTCTGCCGACACAATCTACACCTACCCTGGTAATGAATGAAGCCGACTCTGTCCAGTAGATACTCTCAGCCCTGACTGTCTGCCGACACAATCTACACCTACCCTGGTAATGAATGAAGCCGACACTGTCCAGTAGATACTCTCAGCCCTGACTGTCTGGCGACACAATCTACACTTACCCTGGTAATGAATGAAGCTGACACTGTCCAGTAGATACTCTCAGCCCTGGCTGTCTGCCGACACAATCTACACCTACCCTGGTAATGAATGAAGCCGACTCTGTCCAGTAGATACTCTCAGCCCTGACTGTCTGGCGACACAATCTACACCTACCCTGGTAATGAATGAAGCCGACACTGTCCAGTAGATACTCTCAGCCCTGACTGTCTGGCGACACAATCTACACCTACCCTGGTAATGAATGAAGCCGACACTGTCCAGTAGATACTCTCAGCCCTGACTGTCTGGCGACACAATCTACACCTACCCTGGTAATGAATGAAGCTGACACTGTCCAGTAGATACTCTCAGCCCTGGCTGTCTGCCGACACAATCTACACCTACCCTGGTAATGAATGAAGCCGACACTGTCCAGTAGATACTCTCAGCCCTGGCTGCGTCTGCCGACACAATCTGTAGGTCATAGGGGTCGTACCGCGCTCGTGGGTGTCGCCTGTTCCTCGGTAGACAGTAGAAAAACTGACCGTCATCCTCTTTTATGACCTTGTCCTATGTGACACACATACTTGCATTAGACACATATCCATACACAGCACACACAACAACTGTGTCACAGGAATAACATTGAGAAAGGTCATAATATTTGAGTGATACAAAAGTGATTTGGTATCAAACAGCAGTTCTTGACTTACATCACACTAAATGAAACATTTTCATGATTACCTGTGACCAATTCAATATTCATATCTTTGTCTTTTTGTTAACCAACATTAGAACTGAACAAAATCATGACATGGTACACTTGCTCACCTGTATAGTGGCCATATTGAAATATTGGATAAAAACCTTTTGAGGTGAGGTGAAATGGGGTTTAACATTGCCTCCAAGGTTATTGCAATTACATAGTGATGTGCATGCATGTGTGTGTGTGTGTGTGTGTGGCTACTAGTCAAGATTTATAGTGCTAGCTCACTGAGATACCATGTGGAAGTTTAACATGAATACTCCACTCAGACACAGTATACTGACTCCGGGCCGACCAGTCCTTGTTTTAGCCCCTTAATGCCGAGTGCCAGGCAGGGCAACAACAAGTACCTTATTTTAATGTCATTTGGTATTACGCTCTCCGGGTGGATGCTCTACCACTAGACCACAGAGGCGGTCTTAAACCTGTTGAAATAATTTAGACGTCATCTTTGTTGGGAGTAAGTACAGTGCAATTGTCCACAGGTTTCTGAGGATATTATGTTAACAGAGATACAAATTTTATTATTGCATCTTGAGAGAATTTAGAGGATGGTCAAAATCCTAAGGTGAAATGAAAATTTAACATATTAGAGTGTGGTAAACATGCAAACTCAAAATTTAAAATAATGCGCAAAATGGAACAGATATGTGAAGTCCCATGACTAACAACACATACCATATTTGACATAATAAGCGCCCAGGTTGCTCTCAAAGTTAGAAATAGGGGGCTCTTATTAGAATATTATTTTGGTGAAAAACAACAGAGTTGAAAGATCGTAAATTTCGTGGTTTATGCTGACAGCCTGAAATGTTTATATACAACAGATATATTTCTTCCAGAATTTAATTTCCCATAATTATGAATGCATATAACATACGTATTATACACAAATAAATAAGTCTTGTGTACATTGATCAATCGGAAGGGGTGCTAATTGGGATTGTTCACTAGCCAATATATTAGAAAATATTGCCGTGGGCGCTTATTAGAGCGGGACGCTTATTATGTCAAATACGGTATATCAAAATAAATTTAAAAAATGGCTGCGTAATGGCCATAAGGTTTTTTTAAATGACTGCCGTGGCGCCCATATTGTAAATCAGATTCAAAACTTTTGAAAAAAATCGAGGGTCATCATGAGTGGGATCAAGCATCCCAAGTTTCAACATCGTTGGTCCAGCAGTTTCTGAGAAGATGTTTACAGATGCCATGCACAACGTCAGACAAGCAGGCCACGACATAAGCTCACTTGATTTTCAGTCACCAGAGCTTGTTTGCACATGGACAGACATATTTTCAGAAGGCAGGTAGATTTAGATGACCACCGCACAGGTAGTTACTTCAATCTCAGAGAAACTTTGCTTTTATCGTGTGACAAGAATGTTGTCCTTGATTGTCTTTGGTTATTTTGAAATGTTATTCGTGGTTCAGCACCCACTGAATCGTGATTGTCTCCAACTTACATCATCTTTAGATTTCTTCTGCATCATTTCCAGTAGTTTTATCTTGCATTCCGGGCCGTATCGAGGAAGCTCTGTCTCCCAGTTTAGGTTCTCACGCAGCTCGATGAGCTTGTCAACAACACTGTCATTTTCAGGAACTAAAAAAAGAAAAAAAACCAGTTCAAATCACAAAAATATCTCAATTTTAATCCAACTTTCTCACTTTGATACTTGACAATTATATCTTAAAATCAAAATTAAAACGTTCTATTTTTATCAATATCAACAGATGAATAATAACAATAACTGACGAACTACAAAGTAATGCAAATTATCTGCTTGGCAAGGAACTTTCAAATTTAGTTAATGTGACATAGATAATCTTTAATTCCGAGCTGCAAGTAGATTATTCTGTATATTACCATTAGTCTGTTTCCTGAGAAAATGTAGAAAAATGTGGGTCCCATCTCAAGTTGGGACTTCAGTTCAGGGTATTTATTGTTGGAACTATGTCCTATTACATTGCTTGTGACTTCATGAGTGAGTGAGTGAGTGAGTTGGGTTTTACGCTGCTTTTAACAGTATTCCAGTTATATCACAGCGTGTCAGCTTAATGTGGGAGGAAAGCCCGAAGTGATGCAGGTCTCAGACGTTTACCAGTTCGGTGAAACCCACGAGCATGGGTATGGTGCTGACAAACCTAGAAACATAATCGGGGCGAACCGGGATTCGAACCCACAATCATAGGTTTCTGGTGTGCCCAAGGGACGGAACTCTGCACAGCGAATAGCGGCGCCTTAGACGACTGGGCCACCCGTGCCCCCTGTGACTTCATGAACAAGGGATAGGACAATCTCTAATACTTGCAAAAATGAGTTTTCATGACACACTGCAATCATCATTCCAAGGCAAGGGAATTAACTGACTGTAAAAGACCAGTTTCCACCCTTACCAAACTAGGCTGGAATTATGGAGTTTTATTTTGGCTGGACTAAAGAGTCCATACATAGTTCAACTAAAATCGTGTAACGAAATCAACATCTGATTCGTAAACTGCCATGCAGATTTCGGTCGATTGCAAGATTTGCAAAGCATGTGTACCGCCATCTTGGCGTCATATTTTGTAAATCTTTTCATGTTTTTAATCAAGGTGCTCACATGATTTGATGCACTTCACGAAGTAAGACCTGTTTTATCATAATACAGATTTTGATTATCAATCAGACAATCTTGACTGGGTGCCTTCATTTTGTTTGAAGCAAATGCAAGTGATATGAGAGGTGGAATCTGATTGGTCAAAAGGAGTGAGATAGCAGGGACATAACTCGTAATAGCCACTGATGGCGCTTCGATAGGGCCCAGAAATTCAAGCCTAGTTCGGCAAGGGTGGAAACTGGACTTTTACAGTCAGTTAACTCCCTTGCCTCAGGAAGATGCACTGCAATGAGCCTCGTCACAAACAATGAACACAATGGAACAATGAGACCAACCCATCAGCAGGAACCCCATGAGGAAACAATGCTCAGTGAGAATAATGAAAAGAATGTCACCAATATCCTTGCCCCTACAGGTATTATATACAGGCAGTGTTATCCATCTTCCGAGGCAAGAGAGTTAACTGACTATAAAAGTCCAGTTTCCACCCTTGCTGAACTAGGCTGGTATTATGGAGTCACATTTTGGCTGGACTAACGAGTCTGTGCATAGTCCAATCAAATTCGCACACCGAAATAGAAATCCGGTTCGGAAACTGTCGTGCAGATTTTGGTCGATTGCAGGATTTGCTGCTCAAGCTGCTCACATGATTTGATGCATTTCGAGATGTAATACCCGTTTTATCACAATATAGATCTTGATTATCGATCAGATCGTTTTGACTTGGTGCCACCCTTTTGTGTGAACCAAAGCAAGTGATACGAGAGGTGGAATCTGATTGGTCCATAGGAGAAGCTTAGAAGGGACATAACCTGTAATAGCCACTGGTAGCGCTACGATTGAGCCCAGTAATTCCAGCCTAGTTCGGCAAGGGTGGAAACTGGACTTATATAGTCAGTTAACTCTCTTGCCTTGGAAAGATGAGTGTTATCATGTTTCCAGGATAGGATGAAATACAAAGATAACAAGGTGTTTTGTTATCCATAACAATCTCTTGTCTTCATGTACAAGTTCTAACAACTTCTAAATGCCAATCATTGTTTGTTGTTGTTTATTGTTCATTGTTTGTTGTTTAACGCCACACTCAGCAATATTCCAGCTATATGACGGCGGTCTATAAATAATCAAGTCCGAACCAGACAATCCAGTGATGAATGTCATGAGCATCGATCCACGCAATTTGTATACAATGACATGCGTCAACCAAGTCAGCGAGCCTGACCACCTGACCCTATAGTCGCCTCTTACGACAAACTTAACCGCCTTTTACAGCAAGCATGGGTTGCTGAAGACCTATTCTAACCCGGATCTTCATGGGTATCAAAATGCCAATCAAAGAATACATGAGTTTTGTACAACTTAAAGCACCATCTAACAACAGCTTAACAAGCTGGTTAAAAAACATGAACCATAAACGAAAGGTACAGAAAAATATTAGGGCTCTCTTTAAAACGTTAAATTACAAAAATTTTGTATCAAGTGAATCAAAATTTTTGTATCAAGTGAATGTATCACTCGTGTTTTTTAATATGGGAAATATCAACCGAGTCTTAGTTAATCGGTATTTGCCGAGCCTTTGGCGAGGCAAATACCGATTAACGGGACGAGGTTGATATTTCCTATATTAAAAAACACGAGTGATGAATTCTATTTATCATTTTCACATTTTTGCTTCCAAATTAAGGAATAATTGCATTAAACATTAACATCAGCAACTTGTCGAAATCTTACGTATAGATCGTGCGTAGTGATACATGTGTTCCATAGCCATGTAAACCAAAATAAACAATTCGCTGAGAAAAAAAGTTCCTCGGATTATTTTAAACAAAATACTTGAACAGACTTTTGCAGAATAATTGAAACTTTAATAACGGTAACAACAACGATTCTGTGTAATCTGATTATATCTCTGGTGTAACTTCACTTATAATATATAGTTTCAAATCAAACCGCTCCCTCTTCCGGTTATCTAATTTGCATATCTAATTTGCATACTTATGTCATTGGGGTATGACATACATGTTTTTATGTCATAAGCTTATGTCATGGATAAATGCTTAAGTTAAATGATAAAATGATTATGAGTATACTTATTCACACTTCTGGTTTAACTTTTATTTCAAATTAAAAAAAATGAAATAAGTAACATGATAACAAACAAACATTTTGAAAATAAAATGATAGGTTATCAACTCAAAACTGAATGTTTTCTATAATTAAATTACCAATCCGCGATAATATTCTTTTTCTTTTCGTTTTGGCCTTCTGTTTCTTGACATCTTTATCTAGAAATCCATAATAGAAGATATACCATTTGCCTTGCCGTACCATTCATGGAACGAGCAATCCTTGTATTAAAGTGCCAACGTCAAGGTTAAAATCTTACTGGCACAGTTAAAATAAGTTCCTGGGGCTTAAGGGCACACTTAGTCATGCAAATAATCATCTGTTTTCAACAAAAATACTTTGTGACATTTTATTAAATGAAGCCAGTGTTTACTGTACCTTCACACAACTCAAGAAATGAGTGAGTGAGTGAGTTACGCGGCTTTTAGCAATATTCCTGCAATATCACGGAGGGGGACACCAGAAATGGGCTTCACACATTGTACCCATGTACAATCGAACCCGGATCTTTGGCGCTAACCACTAGGCTATCCCTCTGCCCCAAATCAACAAATGAAAGCTTAATGTGCAGTATGATTCACTAAAGATATGGGGGGACGGGTGGTCCAGTCGTCTAAGGCGCCGCGATTTGCTGTGCAGAGTTGCGTCCCTTGGGCACGTCAGAAACCTATGATTGTGGGTTTGTATCCCGGTTCACCCTGATTATGTTTCTAGGTTTGTCAGCACCATACCCATGCTCGTGGGTTTCACCGAAGTGGTAAACGTCTGAGACCTGCATCACTTCGGGCTTTTCTCCCACATTAAGCTGACACGCCGCAATATAACTTGAATACTGTTATAAGCGGCGTTAAACCCAACTCACTCACTCACTCACTTTGGGAACGAAAACATTTCCATATCTGCCATCTTTAAAATCTGCTCAATTCAAGAATCAACCAATACACGTGGATTTTAGCCAGTTATTACTATTACTACCTACTGATTTATGACCATCTCATCAAGACACTCATATAAAGCATCATGAACATCCATCGGATGAGTGGTCTAGTGGTATAGCGTCTGCCCAAAGGAAGGTCCGGGGTTCGATCTCTGGCCGCGTCATACCCAAAGACGTTAAAAGATGGTGCTTGTTGTTACCCTGCCTGGCGTTCTGTATTTAGGGGCTAAAATAAGGACTGGTTGACTCGGAGTCAGTATACTGTGTCTGAGTGGGGATATTCATGTTAAACTGCCACATGGTATCTCAGTGGGCTAGCACTAAAAACCGTCATCAGTCCAGACTAGTACAAGCAGCCACACACACATATATAAGTGCAATAATCTTGGACATGACCTTAAACCCCATTTAACCTCACCTCACCTCACCTCACCTCACCTCACCACTGAATGATGTAGTCATCAGTAATACATATCTAAAACTGAGTATCCATATGGAACTTCTGGAAGAGACAAGGTCCCCAGTATATCAGACAGTCAAAGCTCTGTGACTTCAGCGGAGGGTGATGGGGCAACCTAGTGGTTAAAGCATTCGCTCGTCACACCAAAGACTCAGGTTCCATTCCCAATATAGGTACAATGTGTGAAGCCCATTTCTGGTGTCCCCCACGCCGTGATATTGCTGGAATATTGCTAAAAGCGGTGTAAACCTTACCCACTCACCTCAGCTAACAACATGCCATCACACCCCAATAGTGTTAACTGTTGCTCTTGCTTTCAGTGACAAGTTTGTCTGGTCCAGACTCTATTATATAAAAGTTACTGGCTGTTGCGACAGCCAATCTCATTAAAATCAGATCTTAGTTCCCGCTATCGCTAAACAAAGATCCGAGACATCCCATTACGGGTCACGTCAAAACGACCTTTCATCCAACCAATCAAAGCTTCGCCTACCAGATCGTGAAAGTGACAGTCGGAATGTGTTTTCTAATCATGCAACCTCGAAAACGTTAACCTGGGGTATTCCAAACGACAGTTACGGCCCGTACGACTGATTCCAAAAATATCGTCTATCTCTCGCTTCCGCGGGATAAACATTTGAACGAAGGAGGCGTTGCACAGTACGTGGGAAGCACTGCCTTACAATCTCAACCATATATTAGACATTCCGGAATGTTCCGGAATGTTCGTTTGTTCAGTTTTCAAAATCTCAATCAAGAACTGTGTCAACATATTTTCAAGCGTAGTCTGAAATGGAAGTAACCAGGTTGAAACGAGTGCCGTGAAGCTCAAGAAAGCTGCTTTCTATGGCTGATGTCGACTTCTTGTTAGTCATTTCACTAGTCGGCCAAAGTTCGCAAAAGGTCGTTCTGACATGACCCGTGAAGGATGTCCTCAGATCTTTGTTTAGCGGCAGCGAGAACCTAGATCTGATTTTAATGAGATTGTTGCGACAGCTGGAATATTGCTGACTGTGGCGTAAAATAATAACCTGTCTCACCTGAGTCATCGTACTTATTCTTCCTGAGATATGTCAACACAATGTTGGGGTCGGGTCTGGAAAGACTTCGAGCTGATGAAACAGACTGTTTGGCACTTAGAGCTCGGCCGCTGGGCGCCCTCTTGGGACCATCCTCCTTCGGTGCCATCTTGTCTAGAGAGAGTGGGGGAGTTCTTATCTCCAGAGTTCTCTCCCTTTTAGCTATGATTGGAATCTCGTCAGGGTATTTCCTACCAGCAGCATCGTCTTCAATGCCCTCCATGTCATCTTTATCCACACTCGGTATTTCAATACTTGTTACGGAGGCAGATATTGGTATCGAGTCCTGCCGGGTGTGTTTGTCCGCGGTACTGATGGTCACTGCAAGCAGAAGCCACAGAAATTGCTAATACCATTTGGCCATAATAATTTAATTGCTAGATGATCACCCTAGCTCAAGACTAAACACCCCAACAAATTAATTTTATTTGCCCAAGTGAAATGTTTAGAGCATTGTAACAACATCAGCTGTCAATCGGCCATTTCATGTTTACAACATACCGTAAACTGGTCTACAACCAACTCTATCGTCTGCTTGTTGGCTGTAAAGATGGAGCTCACTATTTTAAAAATAAGAGAGGGTGTGCAATCCATTAAAGTCAGGTATGCCTGTCCTTTGCCAGAGTCTATGAGTTAGGGAAATCTTCAACAAGTTCGCTTGTGGGGAACTTGACAAGTTAACGTCATTTGAGGATAAATTCATAAACGACGAGTACAAGTTGGGAAAACAAAAATAAGTTTGACTCAGATACATCTGACTGCTACCTTTGAAATCAATGTTTATTTATTATCTTTGTTATTTCAGTCATCTATTTTTCATACCAAGGTGTCCAGTCTTCAACTTGACGACTTTAATAGAAAATAAAACAAAAAAAATAGAAAACCTCCCTCCCCACTTTTGTAAAAAAAAGTGGATGATAATAAAGCAATTACCGTATTCGACGTAATAAGCGCCCTGCTCTAATAAGCGCCCGCGGCGATATTTGCTAATATATTTGCTAGTGAACAATCCCAATTAGCACCCCTTCGATCAATGTACGCAAGACTTATTTATTCGCGTATAATACGCACTCGTGTGTTATATGCAGCCTTAATTATGGGCAATTAAATTCTGGAAAAATATATCTGTAGTATATAAACATTCAGGCTGTCAGCATAAACCACGAAATTTCAACTCTGTTTTTTCACCAAAATAATATTCTAATAAGAGCCCCCATTTCTAATTTTGAGAGCACCATGGGTGCTTATTACGTCGAGTACGGTAATTTATCATGGCCTTATCACAGTCTTGATACTTTTGGTGTTCATTTTACCAATAAAGACGCAAAAGATCATCAGATCCCTGCTTACTCAAGGGACTTAACTCTGCACATCAACTCAAGGCATCTTAGTATAAAGGTCACCTATACCCCCTACAAAAGATTGCATTTATATTTAGGTAGAAGGTGCTGTTAGTATGTACACTGAAAACAGATGCAAAACTTGAAATACTGTATACTTTAAAAATGTAGAACATGTGTTTAACATGTTATAGAAGAGGCATAAATTCTATGTACAGCTTCCTTTATTGTGAAATAGGAATTTGTGTTTAATATGTCTAAGAAAACACAATAAATCCTATTAGCATCTCTTTTCATGTTTATTAGGATGTAGGAATGAGTTTAACATGTTTTAATATGTTCAAAAAAAAATTAATTCTATTATTGGCTTCTTTGTCAGGAATTAAGAAGTTTCATTCATGACAACCTACCACTCTCTGTTCCAACCAAACTGACTTGATCCTCCATTAGTATGTCCGGAGTTGGTTTGTCGTCAGGAACGAGATCAATCTCCCTTTTTATTGGACCAGCCTTCTGGATACTGGAAACAGAGTTAGTCGAGGTGAATGTTGTGCCAGTCATGTTCTGATTGTGACCCACACCTGGGTCAACCTACCCCATAATATACAAAAACTTCCCTTACGAAATGATAGTAAAGACAATATATCTTATGGATGCAAACTTCTTTTTTACATCTTTATTATGGACAGTGCCTTTTGATAGTTTTGGATTTTAACAAAATTATTTTTCGAGTTACAATGGCAATGACTTTGAATTAGACTGAAAATTATGGTAGTGCTCCTTTCCAAAGCAGATCTTGAAAAACGTACATTAATTCACCAAACTTGGCACATAGATAGGTCTAGTGGTAAACTAGTGCCTTTTGAAAGTTTGGGATTTTTTTTAAATTTATGTTTTCGAGTTTCCATAGCAACGACTTTGACTTAGACTAAAAATGGCAGTAGTGTTCATTTCCGAAACGATCTTGTACAATATTTCTTGACTTGCACACGACCGGACAGGGGATATGAGTATATCATGCTTGTTCTGTTATCATGCGACATTTCTGTATAGATCCATATACACTCTTGCTTGACAAACAGTATAAGGATCTTCACTGAAACGTCGCATCATAACAGAAGTTGTCATCCACAAAATATCTTGTCTTTACTGTTACTTACCAACTTCAAAAATGCCAACCCAACAGTTCATACAAAATGATAGTTCTGTTTCACAGGACAAACTGTCTTACTTCCAAGTACCGGGAGCTTTCTTTGCTGTAACCATGGTAACCTCAATAAATGAAACCAAACCATTTTAATAAGTGAGCAATATTACAGCAATATCGAGGGTGGGACACCAGAAATGGGCTTCACACATTGTACCCATGTCGGGAATCGAACCCGGGTCTTCGGCGTGACGAGCGAACGCTTTAACCACAAGGCTACCTGACCCCATTTTAATAAGATGGGATCTGATTGGCTTAAAAGTCTACACATCCTTCATATTGAGTGGGTGGTCAAAAGTCACTCATGGTTCACACGGTGACATGGTTCACATCAGTAGAAGGTCAGAATATTCAAAATACCATAGGCCATAGAAAACACCAATCTGACCTTCACCTTTCAATATGGCTTCCTCGTTCCAGTATTGATAACTGTATACATGGAATAAAGCACAACTACAGATCCATCCATCCATCCATCCATCCATCCATCCATCCTTTAAATACACCTGATTCTTTCATATTACTGTGTACAATTAATCGGCCATGCTTTGACAGATTAACTGAGTATAGTAAAATGACAGGACTTCCTTAACTTCTTTTGAGCTGTATATAGCTCTTTCAGGGAGACTGGACTGAACAATCATAATTCATCGTATCTCAGATAATCTCCACAAATTGTTTCATATAAACCACTGAGTAAGTGAGTGAATGTTCTTTTATGCACTAATCGGCAATATTCCAGCTCCACACAGTGACAGTGAGTGAGTGAGTTGGATTTAACGCTGCTTTTAACAGTATTCCAGTTACATCACGGCGTGTCAGCTTAATGTGGGAGGAAAGCCCGAAGTGATGCAGGTCTCAGACGTTTACCACTTCGGTGAAACCCACGAGTACGGGTATGGTGCTGACAAACCTAGAAACATAATCGGGGCGAACCGGGATTCGAACCCACAATCATAGGTTTCTTGCATGCCCAAGGGACGCAACTCTGCACAGCGAATCGCGGCGCCTTAGACAACTGGGCCACCTGTGCCCCCCACAGTGACAGTGAACATGTTAATATTACATTTTCTTCAGTACAGGTGGTGAGGAGAGTTCAATCCCAGCCGTTTGTTTCAGCTGCTGCTTTCGACGGTCATAGTCCTTCCTGAACATGGTGGTTCTGAAAGCTGGCATTGGGTGCTGCTCACGTTTACCAGAAGGAGGACGAGGAATCTGCGGCTGTAACATTGACGAACAAAAGAAATGATAATAATAGATAGTAGGGCTGGGACGAGAACAAATTTACTACCCGGGCCACCCCCCACCCCACCCAAATCACCCAACGATTTATTAAATACCATGTCATTCTTGCATTACCGTGAATTCGGTGTCTGACACCCAATGCCTGGAGCCATTTTAAGTTCACGGAATATTGGCTCATTCCTCACCACTTGTTATCTGTAGATTACGGAATGGGACGAGTGTGCCAAATGGCATCGGGATCACTCATAAGCGTTTGTAGACTAAAGTCACAAGACATCATGCCTATCCGTAATCTTTGTAAGTGTCCGTTACTTATTCTACCCTTTAATCTAGTTCCGTAACGTCTCAGGCATGACTAGGTAAATTTACATTAAGTTTAACAGTGTAGGCATAGCTCAGTCTTTAAGCTAACAATCCGAAGGCCGCAAGTTCACGTCTGGCGGATGCTCACATAAAATGGTTGCTTGTCTTAGTGACATGTGACCCACAGCAGAGATTATTCTCTTGAGAAGTTATGGTGCTGTATTCTAAAGGTGCTCCCAAAATAATTATTTTTATTTTAACAACTTGAACAAATTGGAATCCTATTATCATGATTTTGGTGATGGACATTCTAAAGCTTTAGGCTCATCCTTTGATCCTGGTGATACAAGTGAGTTGGGTTTAACGCCGCTTTTAACAATATTACAGTTATATCGCGGCATGTCAGCTTAATGTGGGAGGAAAGCCCGAAGTGATGCAGGTCTCAGATGTTTACCACTTCGGTGAAACCCAAGAGCACGGGTATGGTGCTGACAAACCTAGAAACATACAGTGAACCGGGATTTGAACCCACAATCATAGGTTTCTGATGTGCCCAAGGGACGCAACTCTCCACAGCGACGACTGGGACCCCCATGCCCCCCCTGGTGATACAAAACTAGTCTGACTTTAAATTACTTACATGGCCATTTGTAGATGTTGGTCCCAGTGACTGATACCTTGCATTGATGAGGACGGCAGAGTTTTCTGGTTTATCAATGAGCCTCTCTCTTAGTTCTGCTGCCATGTTTGGCATTGCTTTTGTTCCAAGTCTGATGCCAGACTGTAGAGTAGTTCGATTTTCTTGAGGAAATTTTGGTGAGCCAAGATCAAATCTGGCAACTTTGGTACGTGGAAGAGTCGGTCTAGATAACAATTCATTCTCCAATAAACCAATGTCACCTAAATCCTGATTCAAAACTGTAGATTCCGAAAGCTGGCTGATGAGACTAGCTCGAGAATCTCCACGTCCTTCCGACATTTTGTTCTTTTGATTGTGGCAGTCCTGGGAACAGAGAACATATCAAATATTTGAGGCATTACAATTCACCAACTTATTGACTCATTACAAATATAGGACCCGTGAAGATCCAGGGTAGAATAGGTCTTCAGCAACCCTTGCTTGCCGTAAAAGGTGACTATGCTTGTGGTAAGAGGCGACTAACGGAATCGGGTGGTCAGGCTCGCTGACTTGGTTGATGCATGTCATCGCTCCCAAATGTGTGGATCAATGCTCATGATTTCAATCACTGGATTGTCTGGTTAAGACTCGATTATTTCCAGACCGCCGTCATATAGCTGGAATATTGCTGAGTGCAGTGTTAAACAACAAACAAACTAACATCACAAATATACAACAGATGATGCGTTGCACATTACAACTACCAATGTTCAATACTGTAATTCTGTATTGATTTTCAAAAAGTTCTAATGATAAAACAAAGAAAATTCTATGCAACACTATGAGAACATAATATACAACTCCCCGAGAAATATAGTACTGCATGTTTGACAAAGTCATGATCAGTCAAACCGTTTACCATTGATTACAGCCTTGGGTGCACGAGAAAATGGCAATCAAAACTACGGAAATAGGCTAACTTCTTCATAAACACAGGTATATAATCCCTGATATCTTGAATCATTCATTACAGTATCGGAAAATCACATGCATGACTGCAGCATCGTTTATCTACTGCAACATACACAGTCAAATTTACCGTTAATCGGAGTGTGTCCAAATAATCATGTTGGAAAAACAACTATTTCGGAGTGGTTGACTTTGCAAAACTTTGCAAATAGACTTTTTTTCATCAATTGCGATTAATGACAGTCATTTGCGAAAGCTGTTCACGTCATGTATCCATGACATAAAATTTCACAAAAACAAACGTGCTTGGTACATTGCCTTACTATTATCAGCAATTATTCCGCATTACGAAATGTAAACAGCAAGGTGCTTCGTTTATGCCGGACGACGCCATGATGGTTTACCTTAGCAATACCCACAATGCTTTGCGTCAATAATGTGCTAGACTTACGTCGGCCGCTTTATATTGCTTTTTTATTACGACTCCAACTTTCAAAATAGGCCTTCTCATGAACTGGAAACCATAGTAAAAAAAAGAATAAATTTGGAATATGTCTGATCCACAAAGGGAGAAAATTTAAACTATAATTTGAAGAAAATTGTTAATTTAGATGTTACGTACCAGTGTCCCCTCTCCCCCTATACCCCTTTTCACATCTGATGACATTTTGTATGCGCATTTTCTACCATGATAACACGTCGATTTGGTTGTTAAAAAAGAAATTTTAATAAGTGGCACAAGTGGTCCGCCTCCCCTACCCCCTTTTTAAAAAGAAATGCGGACATGTGTGGCATGGATATAAAATAACTTTATAAATATTTCTATATATTTCATAAATAGTTCTATTTTACCATACTTTTATATTATAATTATTTTGATAACACACATTTGCATCAATAGAGAATGGAGTCGGTGAGCGTTGATTTTAGACCGGTTATTTTAAGACGCTTCATTTAACTTTCAATCCATTTCCTTTTTCGACATCGTGTTTTTGCAAACACGCGAATTACCATAAGTTTCAGATTCTGCATAAACATTTGCCTTAATAGTGCCTCGCCCTTTTCTCTCACAACATAACCTTTACATCCTTTTAGAAGTGTTATCACTTGCCCTCTGACTATTGACACGACCACAAAACCCATGGATTGAAACTTTGGATCGATGATCCCCGCAATGGCATCTGTAAACCTTCCTAAATACTTGCAATACTGTTCTTCTATCAATCTCACTGGAGCTGTCATTTGGGCATTAAAGTAGCTTTAAATCACGTGAATAAAAGTGAGGTGAGGTGATATGAGGTTTAACGTCGCGTTAATGCACTGGGGGTGGTGTGTGTGTGTGTGTGTGTGTGTGAGAGAGAGAGAGAGAGAGAGAGAGAGAGAGAGAGAGAGAGAGAGAGAGAGAGAGAGAGAGAGAGAGAGAGAGAGAGAGAGCATCGATCTACGCAATTGGGATACGATGACATGCATCAACCAAGTCAGCAAGCCTGACCACCCGATCTCGTTAGTCGCCTCTTGCGACAAGCATAGTCGCCTCTTGCTGAAGACCAATTCTTCCGGGACTAGTAAACATGTATTTTATGAGGCTGCTCTTCTTGTTGAGAGGTTTTCATGTACAACAATTATTGTTTCGACATTTCACCGGCTAAAGCCACAACTCAAAATGACGTTCAATTCTGTTAAAATATGAAACGTCAAAACCAGAGAATAACCAGTCTCAACACTTAAGCCATTTAATACTGCTTTCTTCCTTTCAGTAATACAACATAAAAATTAGGTGCACTTTGACTTGACCATGTCCGATATGAGCACCGTGTTTATAATTTTTTTCTTATTAACTGAAAAAATCATACTATGCATATATATGCATCAGTACATACAGGGAGTGTTTACCCTATGGTATATACACCATAGTGGATTCCCCATAGTGTCTGTACACGCCATCCTATTCCACCTCATTGCTGAGTCTTTTCACAAGATCCATGTATTCTATTTTGTCGCGCTTGAAACATATCCACAAAGACAGTGTAAGAGAGCCCGTCTATGCAAGGTGTAGTTTTAAGTTACACTACATAACGGCTCTCTACAAAAGTCCCCTGAACGCGACCCGGGCGCGACAACTGACGCTCCCGGTCGTGATAGAGGGGACATTTCTCTTGATCAGTAGTGTAGATCTCAAGCAGAAAAACTATTAAACCACCAGAGAGCGTGATGGGCAGATCCACTTAAAAAAACCTGTCCCTTGCGCACAACGAAACAAAGTCGATCTAAGCTCAACAGTGTTTGATGTGTAAACTTCAATCCGTTTCCTCTCCGAACAACCTGGTTATGGGAAGACGACCTGACAAGATCAAAATACACTTTGCTACGAACCGTTCACAGGCATTCACAAACATCCTCGGAACAAACTGACAGGATAATAATCAATACCTATCAAGAACGCTTAAAACACATTTCCCCCAGCATAATAAGAGCGCCTGATCTGTTCAATACTGCACTAGTAATTGCACTAGGCAGCAACGAAAAATACCATCCAATGTCATCATAGCAAAATACCCCCCTCCAGTGATCTGTAAACTGACTTGAAATAATAGAGTGAGTGAGTGAGTTGGGTTTAACGCCGCTTTTAACAGTATTCCAGTTATATCACGGCGTGTCACCTTAATGTGGGAGGAAAGCCCGAAGTGATGCAGGTCTCAGACGTTTACCACTTCGGTGAAACCCACGAGCACGGGTATGTCGCTGACAAGCCTAGAAACATAATCGGGGCGAACCGGGATTCGAACCCAAAATCATAGGTTTCTGGCGTGCCCAGGGGACGCAACTCTGCACAGCGAATGTCTGTGCATTAGACGACTGGGCCACCCGTGCCCCCTGAAATAACAGAAGGCATTTCGGGTGAGGTACTATTGTTTGCCGATTGTAGCACTATTACAGCGATATGTTATTATGTGGGGAATCGAACCCGGGTCGTCGGCGTAACGAGTGAACGCTTAAACCAGTAGGCTTTTTCTACGCCTCTTTACACAAAACGGATTATATTGATAAGGGAATGGCAAAAGGAATTGGGTTTAACGTCGCGTTTATGAATATTTCCCCTCTATATAGTGAAGTGTGTGTGTGTGTGTGTGTGTGTGTGTGTGTGTGTGTGTGTGTGTGTGTACTAGCCCACCATGCCATAGCATTACCCCACTCGCGCACAGAATACTGTCCCCTTGTTTTATCCACTAAATGCCTAGCGCCAGACAGGGTAACAACCATTTTTTAACCTCTTTTGGTATGGGGGCGGTCGGGTAGCCTACCCCGAAATTCCGGGTTCGATTCCCGACATGGGTACAATGTGTGAAGCCCATTTCTGTTCTCCCCCGTCGTGATATTGCTGGAAAATAGCTAAAAGCGGCGTAAAACCATAGTCACTCACTCACTCATTCTGGTATGACGCGACCGGAAAACGAACCACCGACCTTTCCTGTCCAGGCAGACGCCAGACAACGGGGGCGGTGACAACAAAGTGACAACTTTTGGGTTGGAATCGCGGCTTCTTTATTCTCATATATGGTGGTTTTTTTCCATTTTTGATGATTTGGACAGTTGAGCTACAAAATTATCTAACCGGTAAAAAAAATCCATCCTACCAATGATCTGAAAATATACAAAAATATTTAGCTCATTGTCTGTTCATTGTGGGTTCCAATCCCGGTTCGCCCCGATTATGTTTCTAGGTTTGTCAGCACCATACCCGTGCTCGTGGGTTTCACCGATGTGGTAAACGTCGGAGACCTGCATCACTTCGGGCTTTCCTCCCACATTAAGCTGGCACGCCGTGATATAACTGGAATACTGTTAAAAGCGGTGTTAAACCCAACTCACTCACTAACTCACTTAATGTCTGTTCAATGTTTTGTTTAAGACACAGTGTAAGCTATAATAGATATAATAGTATCACAACAACCAGTAACAATTCTTAATTGTCTCTTACACGAAATATAATTCGTTATTTTCTTTTAAGCGAGCTCCCCGCGTATTTGAACTAAGGTGAGGTGAGGTGAATGGGGTTTAACGTCGCGTTCAAGATTATTGCACTTATATAGCGACGTGCATGTACGTGCATGTACGTGCATGTGTGTGTTTGTGTGGCTGCTTGTACTAGTCCGGACTGATGCCGATTTATAGTGCTAGCCCATTGAGATACAATGCCGCAGTTTAACATGAATACCCCACTCAGACACAGTATACTGACTCCGAGCCGACCAGTCCTTGTTTTAGCCCCTTAATGCCGAGCGCCAGACAGGGTAACAACTACCATATTTTCACGTCTTTTGGTATGACGCGGCCGGGGATCAGCCCGGACCTTCCGCTCTCCGGGCGGACGCTCTACCACTAGACCACGGAGGCGGTCTTGAACTAAGGCCTACACAGTGAACGATTCGCCTGGAAGAGAGAGTATATGCCTGTCCGTCGTCAATATGACGTGTATTCCTCCTGTTGCATAATGGCTCAGTCACACATTCAGGATTTTTACTGCCGTCCTTGATAGGACCATTTCTGATTAAATTTTGACAAAAGTCTGATCAAGATCCTGTGATTCGTGGGGGGAAACATTTATCTAATTACGACAACAATCAGATATTGTTAAGGAAGCGTCCCGATTCAGCCGTTTCCAGCCGAATTCGTCCCGAATCTCCCATTCTCAATCCGAATCTGATCCGATTTGTAGCTTCCGCATGGTAAAAAACGACCGAATCTGTCCCGACAACGTCCCGACAGCGTCCCGATTCTCCCGAATGCGATCCGACAGAGATCAGACAGTGACCGGACAGTGAACCGACACAAAGACGGTTCGCATTCGGCAAGATCTGGACGCAATCGACAAGAAACGGCAATGAAGACAGCGCCCTGATCCACAGGACACCGTCCAGACAACACAGGACATTGTTACGATTTTGATCCGATACAGCAGAATCTGTCACGACATGGTCACGACTGTAATCCGACTAGACAAAATCGTCTGAGTTTCCCGAATGTTACGGGACGCACCATACTGTCGGAGATGTTTGGCCGACCTCTCTGGACCTTCCCGATCCGTAGGACAGTTACTAACGTATACGACTGCTTTCAGACAATGATAGGACATTCCAGATCATTGAGGATAGTAATCCGACCTTTTTTACTTTTCGTGTCGTAGCGCTGTCTGATCTCAAACGGGAGCCATAATCGGCACTGTGTGAACGTGGCCTAACAGCGCGCCACCGTACTCCTAACAAGGTTCACACAGAGGGCTTGTGGTATCGACTGACTCGCTAATCGGTGCATGCTCTGTACGGAGCCGGAAGATCACGGGAATAACTTGCACTAATGGCGATGTTCGACCATTAGTGCTGAAACAGTTACCGGTATGCTTTTGTAATAAATCTA